GAGGCAGGTGAGCTACTTTTTCTTCGTCTCAACATCTTGAAGATCAGGGACGCAACCACCCTCCTTCTTGAGTTCCTTATCGGCAGCCAGTGCCTCAAGAATCTCCGCTTGTCGGAGAGAAAGCAAGACTTTTTGGTTGTCTTCCGAGTATGTCACAACCAGATACTCAACCTAGATGGAAGTGAGTTGCGGTTTAGACTTTCATTTCATAACTGAAAACTAACCTCATCGCCCCATAACAAAGCATCGCGCTCCTTGCCCTTTGCCTTGTTCCAGATTTCGAGAAGTTGCTGTTTGAGTTGCATACGTCAGCATTCATGTCTGGATACGTCATTGCCAGTGACCTCATCTACCAGCCACTGACACGAACAGCGATTTGAAAGAGAATGAGACTCACCTTGATACCCCATTCCCGGACTTGGGGAGCGCGCTTTTTGGCCTCGGGCCAGTCGAGAGCAGTTCCCAGTGCTCTGAAGTCAAGTCAGCTTGATGATGCTTCTGAGCAGTACCTGACAAGCACTCTTGCACTTGTGAGTGATATAACTTACAGTAAACCCATGGTGATGAGTTTGAAGTTGAGAGTGAGTGAATGTGGGCAAGAGTTGAATTTTCGGGTCTAGGAAGTTGGCGTCTGAGTCTGGTTGGTGGCCCAGAGACGCCGTCTCAAAGTTCTGGGCTCTAGGCGTTTACTCGGAAGTTCGGAAAAGACAACCCAGAAAGGTTAAAACAAGCGAGAAACAGCTGATAGAAAAAAAAAGATACGATGGTAACAAAAAATGCTAATGAGATTAATAGAGGAGACAACCTCAGGTTTCAAAAGATGGCGAATGATGTCGTATATACTCGTCAGTGAGAGCGAGAGCGAGACCGGCGAAATGCCGCTAGGCGGGGGAAACGCCAAGTATCGGAGGGGTTCGATATTCGATCTGACAAGAAAAAAACTGGTGATATCCTGGTGAGAGAATCCCTCAATTGAGAACCCAGGACAAAAGATGAGGCGGAAATCTCTGGCGCAAAACGCGCTCTAGTCTGGTATCGCCTCGCTGAACCGATGGATGGTTGGTGAGCGACGACCCGGAGGCGTCGCCGAGGCTGTCGCACGTGAACCGAGTCTTGACTTGAGACTTGGAGAAGACCAGGCGGGCCGTGTAGATCGTCAAGCACAAGCGGCCCTCTTTTTTGGACTCTCTTTTTTTGTGGATGATTTGAGAAGAGCGAGTCAAGGTGATGATAATGGAGAGAAGAAAGAAAACAAGAGGGAATCGCTTATTAACCACGAGCTCTTGACAGGTCAGGTCGTGGGGTTCCTCTCAGGAAGCGCCGAACGAAGAGGAAACGGGAGCGGGATGGGGATGGAGCGATTACGGTGGTGGTGGTGGTGGTGTTGTCTGTGGATCCTCCAGTGGAAACAAATTCTCTTTGCTCGACTCGCACTCGTTCGCCTCTAACTCGAATCGTCTCGCCTTCCAAGCATCGTCGTTCGGCTTGTGGTGGTTGTTGCTGGGTCCGACCTCTTTTTTTTCAGTGATGCTTAGAAATCCGGTCGAATCAGATAGAGCGCCGATTGCATCATCGCCTCTTAGACCCGATGCGGTATCCGAAACTGCGGCGCTAGCTGCAACGGGGCGGCGCTCGTGGGGGGCTTCTAGCACGGCGACTCCGCTGTGTCGTGGTTGTCTAGGGTAGGGATAATTGCGTGCGATGTTGTGAGTCTGGTGTTGAGTCGTTGATATATATATATATATCTGCATGTTGTTGGTGATTATATGTTGGGTGCGGCCATGATGTAAACTTGCCGTGAATCTCTACATAGTACTTACATACATCTCCGAGGCGCAACAAGGGCCCAATCAAAGTGGCCCTCGCCTAATATTGCTTGCACCTGCGGAGACTACTCGGCATCGTGTCCACCCGGGTTGATTACAATAGCATGCCGTCTGCGCGAATATGTAAGCAAGTAATCCGGTAGTCTGCCGAGTTGATGAATCTTTGACTGACAAAATCATGCGCCCTATTTCCGACAACCGCCTGGAACATCCGCGAGGTTGCGGTGCGGTTACGAGATGAACACCGGCTTCCGACATGTGGAGCCGATGCCCCAGATTGTCAATCCCCTTCTCCAGACTTTCAACTGTGTCTGTGGAGGTCCAAAGACTAACACACAGTTTCGCCGATAAATTATCTTGACTGATAGTCGAGAACTATGTCAACGGCTTAAACACTCCGTGGAATCCAGGGGCCGAGCTCGGGGGAACTGTGCTGTTAACCTCAGCCTCTTGAGAGACCGTTTCGCATACATTGTCGTCATAGCCAGTTCCAACGGCTGATTGGTCTTCTTCACTCCGCCCTTCCAGAAGACGACCAATGCATCTCCGATCTATGCCCGTCGGCTCCATGAACATACCGGGTCGTATACCTCGATATTCAAAGCCCGAGGCGCCAGTTGAAGCGCAACGACGTCCACGGCGCAAAGATCACCGACATCAGGGAAATCGATGACCCGAGGCACACGGTACGCCGTGGTCTCCCCTTAGCTGAGACTCCAGCCCGGTCTAGAGCGTTGCAAGCTGCCGCTCCCTTCCCATCTCCGTCGTAGACCTGTGAGTCGCCCATTCCTGATGATGCGGCATTTCACTGGCTGCGGGCCAACAAGGTGCGGTAAGCATGCAGAAGGGATGCTGCAGATGGAGGGGGATGGACACTACGCCCTCCCACCCACAGTCTGGGGGACTGGACCGTCGACTTGTGGGTGACTTGGGTTTCTCATTGTCAAGTTTCGAGTGAAACTTGGCGAATGGTAGACGAGTGGCCCCAAGGGGGCACTCTTGTTGGTGGCTTCCTCTACCAGGCGGCCGGTCCCGTGAGCATACATTCCAGCGAGATTTCATGGGAATCAGCAAGTTGGGAGGTGAATGTGTGAATGCCATGCCGAGAAACAGAGCACGGCATCCTGCACGAGCTAACCGCTCCAAGGACTGGTTAGTCTCTGGGTACAAGTCTTGGTGAAGCCTGAGACGCCTCTGTTTCCCACACAACGCAGTTGAGCGTAGTAGTCTGGATGGTTCTTCTGAGACAAAAGACCCAGCACCTATCAAGCAATTGCCGAGCTTCGAGAACCAGCTACTACAATATGCCTGTATGATACTCGGAACATTCGGTCCTCTGGTTATCGAGTTGGTTGAACTGCCGATACTATCAAAGCACGGGACACTGGAATTGACTTTGCTGCCAACCCAAACCTTCAACTCGCCCTACCTTGCACCACCCATCAGTCAGCGGCCCTTTCACCTGGACGGACGGGCTGAAGGCTCGCTCGCTTGGATCTCTGCATTAGCACCGCGGGTCCGCAGCCGCGGGTTGCGGGGTGCATGGCTGCTCTCTTTGGTGTGCCCGCGAACTCTATCGCGAGAGAGCGACGATCACCACAAGCCGCACGACCCCTCCAAGCCTCGAAACCCAGAGCTGGGTTTGCCTTGCCTCGCTCTTTGATAAGAGATGGACATTGTCGTACGATTGCCACGAGGCGAGACACTGGAGAGAGATGTCAGCTGGTGTTGTGGTTGAACAAGGAGGATGTGAGTATTGGTTGAAGCAAGATCTGGATAGATACAACATGGGTTTTTACCAATGCTCCCAAACTAGATGGCAATGATAGTCCGGAGATGGAATGCCGGCAAAAGAAATGATGGACGACGGGGCAGCGGACCGTGTTGGTGATGTTCCTTCGTGCTGTTAGTCGATGGCGCTAGAAGATTGCCATGTGAGTTGATGCAGCGTGGTAGGTAAGCCGCACTATGAGAATAGAAGCATCTCATGTCCTTATCGAGGTGACGACCAAACCGGCCAACCAGAAAGCCTCGAGGAATCTCACCGGTTGAATCTCTGCTGGTCGTGGTCCCCCAGTGCCAATAAAGATGGACCATGACAGGCAGACACAATCTCTGGTCCTCGACAACGTCAGTCTCTCATCAACCTCGTCACAGATCCTTAGAGGACGTGTTTCGACACCCTCTCTCCCCGTGCTTCCCTCCCCGGCAGCCAGCGCCCAACAATGCCCGTCGTTTGGGGCCCGGGTGCCCAAGTGTGGCTCCCTCCCCTTGGACAGTCCGGATCGGACCCCCGGTCTCTAATAGCTCGGGCAAGGACCTGTAATGAGTGAAGGGAACGCCCTGACGATCCTCATGATTTCTCCTGCCTGGCCAACCCGGCTCGTCAATCCATCATCTTGGAGCATCACATCGGCCCATTTCGAGGACAACCCCCCCCCAGCTTCTTCGGCGTCCTGCTGCCATGGCCGTGGGACACGGGAGGACGGTACGTCAGCCCAACGGCTACTGACGACAGGGACCAGGGGAGCACGGGTCACCACGAGACCTGGGAGAAGCACTAAGGTGTACTTTATGCACAAGGTGGCTGTCTCTGACTCTTTTTGAGATGCATAGAGTCCATCTGTTGTTATTGTTGCCATGTCAGTGATACTGTGTCGCCCGGGAGAGCATGAACCAGAGTGTTTATTCGACATTGGGCCCTCGTAACGCGTGGCATATCAGCCGCTGATATGGGTGGTTTCAACCAGTGACGTTGCCCTCTAGGGGATGAATGCATGAAACACAAGAAGGGGGGAAACACAAAAAAAGAAACAAGGGCTCAAAGAAGCGTTATCATCGGTGCCTCGACCACTAACCAAGATATCAGACGTGGTCCCTGACATATGTCACTTTCGTTCCCGAAGGGAGATAAAAAGATTAGACATGGACGCCCGTGGGTAACCAAAGTTCCAATCTCCAAGTACAAAGTTGGGCTTGAACCAGTGACTTCATCCCTCGGCACAGTGATTAACCCCGCTACTTACAAGCCTTCACCCCCCCCCCAACTAGTGCCCGCGTTCCTCCCAGCTACATCATACGCTCTTCAGCCCAATCAGGCACGATCCCCTACCACGACCTGCGACCTTCTCCTGGCTCCTCCAACAGAATCCCTCTCCCCCCCAGTCAGTCTGAGGAGAGCCAACCTCATCCCCCTCCAAAAAAGCGACAAAACCTCGATTTTCTCTCCCTCTCCCGCCTTCAGTCAAATTCATTCTAGCCATCTCGAATCGACGCGTGTCTTTCGCTATGAACCCTCACCAGAAGAACAAGATCGACGTCAAGGTAAGCCGCCGCCCTTGAGAGGAATCCCCTCCATCCCACCTGAGACGGACGATTTCGACCCCTCCCGATCATGACTCGACCCTCACACGACGACACAACCTCCCCCTTTCGCGCCTACACCACGCCCGCCGCATCTGTCAACCTCTGAATAAATATTGTCGTCCTATGCTAACGCTCGTTCCCCCGCAAAGTCGCTCTCCCCCGAGGAGCAGCGTCTCTTCCGTCTGTACGGCAAGCTGCCCTCCCGCTCCGACCACTTCGCCAAGCATCTCAAGGACCGAAAGTACTTTGACTCGGGCGACTACGCCATGTCCAAGGCCGGCAAGGGCGACGGTGTCGATGCCGGCGCCGTCGGCTCTCAGCACCCCGTCCCCGAGAACATCCCCCACCTCTCGTCCCCCGTGAACGGCTCGGGTAACGTCCCCAAGCACGCCCACCACGGCTCTATCCCCGGCATCCAGGCCGGCAGCCCCATCAAGGAGAGCAGCTTCCTCAAGAGCGAGACCAGTGCTGAGGAGGGTCAGGCTGACGGTGCCGAGGCCGAAGCCGACAAGGACAAGAACGCCGATGCTGCCGTTCCCGAGCCTGTTGCCGCCAGCGGCGAGGCCATCCCCATCCGACGATAGACAGTTGTACGTGGCAAAACAATGACAAGAGAAAAAGACAAAAATTGCGCGTGGAAGTAAGATCAAGGGGAAAGGTTTCTTTTTATCATGTGCGAAATATGGCGAGTGGATTGACTCTTGTACGAAGGAAGCCTGGTGGGCTTGCGTGGACTGCGAATTTCGGTATTCATGACTTACGAGGATCGCACAGTTGGCGTTTGGGAATTGGCAAACAATCTGGTTCGCACGCACACAAGAGGGAGCTTGTTTCGATCCTGAACGGGGATCTCCTTTCAGATGGGTTGCTTTTTCTGAGCGGGGAGGGACTTTTCGGCGATACATGTCCTGTCCTGTCGTCTCTCCCGCGTCGAAATCATCATGTTCATTTGGTCGTTTAGCTATCCGCTTCATTTGCTGAAGCACCCTTTCTATCTCGTTTCTTTCCTTTTTGTATTTCCCCAGACTCCAGGTACCGGTCCATGGTTCTCATTTTTTATAAAAAGAAGATGCCCCAAAATCGTATATATCTTGAATCGTCATTCCTGCCTCGGAGGTGTTACTCCAGGGCCTTGGTCGCCATCTGCTTGGCGCCCTCGAAAGTCTTGTTACCGCCGATGAAACCCGCGGCATGGACAAAGACGCAGCCAGGAATGCCGCTGATGCCGTCGAGCTCCTCGTCACGGAAGCCTCTCCAGGCCTCGGGCAGTGGTTTCCGGCTGACAAAGGAGTCCTTGCTCTCAGGAACGCACTGGATGCGCCACTTGGCGCCAGGCTCAGGCTTCTCCGCATATAGCACGTAGAGAACCGAAGGGACCTCGTTCTCGAGGGCGTAGAGGTGGTCCTTCCAGGGAACAGACTGACCCTCCAGGACAAGGATGCGGCCCTGCTCGTCGTACTGCGAACGCTTGGCAAAGGCCTGCTCAACGATGGAGCGGGCGGGCAACCAGGATGAGGCGTAGCCGTCAAGGTCACGGTCAAACTCCTCGCCGATGCGGCGGCTGGCCTCGTTGAACTTGGCATCCTCAGCAGCCTGAGCCTCGGCACGATCAGCGGGCGCGGGGTCGTTCCAGTTGGGGTTCAGGCGGCCCACGACGGCGCCGAGGCCGAATCCGCCATTGCTGAAGCGCTTCTCGATGCCGGCGGCGGCGATGGCCTCGGGGTCGTAGAGGGAGATACCGTTGTCGTGAGCGTCGAGGGCCTCGACAAAGTTCTCGTACAGCTTGTTGTACAGAAGCTCAACATCGGGCGAGTCCTCTGGCTGGTTGAGACGATCGGCGACGATGGCGCGGCCAAAGTGCATAAAGACGAGGCCGGCGCTGGAGAGCTTGGTCGGGCGGCCGGGGAAGGTGGTGGCGAAGCCGCGCTGGTGGTGGTCGAAGCGGCGTCGCTCCGGGTCGTACTCACCGCCGACGTCGACGACGGTGTGGCAGGTCTCGAGGACGGCCGGATCACGGGTGCGGACGAGGCCAGCGTCGCGGTAGGCGGGGAGACGACGGAGCATGTGGACGGCGAGGGCCTCGTCGGCGTGGAAGTGGCCGTTGTGGGTTCCGATGAGGGGACCCGAGGTCTTGATACGCTTGGGGGCTGATTCGGCCATGGCAAAGAGGCGACGGAACATGTACTAGTGTTCCTGTAGGTGTAGATGTGGTTGTTGTTGGTGTTTTGAGGGGCGATGAGGCGCGATGAAGGATGAAAATTGAGGTGGGTGGGAGCAGGTGGGGCAGTTATGTATTCACTTTGATGGCTGCCATCAATCCATTTTTGCGAACCTTGAGGGTAACTAAAACACCGGTCTGATCAGAGTATGTACATAAGATTTAATATACATTCTTATCAAGACAATCTTGAAGAAGAAGTGCGACAATGCGACAAACCCTCTCTAGCAGCGGATATTTGACACGCAACCTACCTCTATAGCTCCTATGAAGGCTATTGTCAGGAACCCCTCATATATAACTATTCATGTATTAGATACTAAGAATCTGACTGTGTGGGATAATAGACATATACGGTAAAGGAGAGTTATTATCAAGAGTCTCATCTAACGCTTCTTCGTATTATAACCAGTCTTAAGGTGTTGAGTTGAACCTCTCAAGGGAAACATAGGCTGAGCCAATCACGGCAACCTGATTACACGACAGACCCGCCTAGCCTAAAGGGTGCATCGACTCTGGGGCAATTAAACACAGAGATGCTGGTGAAAGGCAGCTCTATAGTAGTTACTTGTGAACAATAGCTGGATAAATTCACGTTTACGTTTATAGAAATTCCTGAAAGAGTACTTGTATAGGGCTATCATGGTCTCTCGTGAGCCACTATCACCCGTCGTGGAGTGTTGGATATGCCTTCAACCACCTAGCTCTGTCAAACTCCACACCCGTTGGCCGTCTATATCAACCATCACAAATGCTCCCATCAAATCTTACAGCAGAAACATTGTTTTTTTTTTTCCTTTCTTTTTAGCTTCAAGAGAATCCTCTTTTGCTGAATGAATATGCGGCCATAACCTTTCTTTAAATTGGTCTCCTCCTATATGTAACGTAATCGCCAAACTTGTCACCTACCAACTATGCAACGCATCACATCTCATCAAGCCAAGAACCAGACTCTCGCCTCACCTGACTTGTCACGGCGCATTTGACTAATTTATATCGTGAAGGAATGCCGCCCGGTATCTCGCATTGGCCACAGAACCCTTATAGTGGTTCCCTGCACCGCGGGTCGCAGATATAGAGATAGTTTCAGGTTGCGACAACTTCGATGCGCGTCCTGCTCGATATATCATGAACCAACATCATCTCGCATCTGATATTCTCCTGTCATCCGAAACCCACAAGGTGAATTTCGTCATTGACGGGAAAAAGCAACATGCTCAGATCCTTTCTCATCAATCTCTAACCGGCCCCCGGCAACGGAGCCAAAAACAACGAGATATCCATCACAGTCCCACCCCCAGGTATCCGAGCGTGCAGATGTCCCCTCTCTTCAGATGGCCCGAGCAGCCATGTGGTCATGGACATGCCCATCATCAGCTATGCAGCAGTACGGAGCATGCTGATGCTCCGTAGAGCCGGAGGCGCGTTAGCCAGGCGAGCAATCCCAAGCGTGCGTGCACAGGTCAATTTCACGGCGCGATAACGTTCCCTGCATGTGGTCTGAGCAATCGTCTTGTGTTACTCTATCTAGATAATCTCTTTTGTTTTTGTTTGCCGTGCGCCTCGTAAATGTGCCACTGAAAAGTACAGTATGTGATGTGTTTGTGGGTTTCTCTCCAAGAGAGTAATCGATTCAAGCGTATAAAAAATGGAATAGGGTGCGCCCTTAGGTATCATGCAAATGGACAGAAAATGATATAATCAGACAGCCGCTGCGCCTTCTCCACCTCCTTTTGATTTCATCTCATGACCTCAGCGAGTCATGACTCATCTCCCATCTTATCACCCTGCGCTGCAGTTCCGGATGGCTCTTCCGGTAATCATCCCAGTGCCGCCCTAGGCGACAGCCTTTCCCGAGATTACATTCCACGGGGGGATGGTTATACAACTCGAGGTGAGTTTGGTTGGTGTTGGTAGAAGGGTATATCGAACGTATATATCGCGTTGTTCGGCTGGCCTGAGCTGAAAACGCAGCTACTCTAGTATGGAAAACGTACAATCCAAAAAGGGGAATAGGTGTCGCATGGACTTCTCTCGTTGTTGCTGGTGGCCCCACGCCGGCGGCACCTAGGCGAGAGTGAGAGTAAGATGAGTGGTGGTGATGGGGATGAGGTTGAAGATGTAGCCGTAGCTTGTCGCCACAGCCGAGAGCTGTCGTCCGTCCCAGTTGTTTGGTGACGTCGTGGTGCTCAATCGTATCTTGGTAGAGGGCAATATGCCTGAGTATATGAATGCGCGATCAAGACCTGAAGGGGCCTTACAGTATGAGCTGCTTCAGGTTACGCTGAATAATCATGTCCTGCACCGAGGCCATGGTGATCTTGAGAAGATTTGTGTCGGTGGCGTTGGTAAAGTGGCCATAAATCTCCTTCTCCGTGTTCCGGTTCAGCGCCTTGAACTTGTCCAAGAAGTACTTGCTAGCGGCCTTGTAGTCATCCTTGGGGCCGTGGTAGTCGGTGAAGCCGTGGTTGGTGATGGGGCTCTTGGGCAACTTCTCCTTGAACAGGTCCATCTTGTTGAGGAACAGGATCAGGGCCGACTTGGTGAACCAGTGGGAATTGGCGATCGACTCCCACAGCATGAGGGCCTCGTTCATTTGGTTCTACGCGACTCAGTCAGTATGGGTCTTCCAGTGGCGGGGGTTGAATCTACTCACACCATCCTTGTCTTCCACTAGACACTGGTCGTATCCGCTGATGGCGACAAGGAACAGCAGGCAGTTTACGTTCTCGAAGCAGTGGATCCACTTCTTTCGTTCTGAGCGCTGGCCACCGACATCGAACATTCGGTACGTCAACTGTCCGAGGTCGAAGATGGTCTCTGTAATGCCTGTGGTTCGGAGTCGGGATCGGAGAAGATCTTGGTCGTCGGGAACATAATCTTCGGCCCAGAGCCTGTCGACATCCTCAACGAAGCTTGAGACAAGTTAGCGCGGGGCCTGTGCCATACATCAGGGGATGCTCACTATGTGAGGTTGTCATGTAGGGCGTATTCATTGCCCAGCTCAACAGCAGATCGAACGCCGCTATCGGCCCACAGAGCCTTGATGGGCTCGAGGTAATCGACAGGCATTCGATCATGGGGACTCAATTCATGCTCAACGAGAAGGTGTGCCATGTGTTTCTGCAGCGCTTGTTAGTCAAACCCTAGAATGTCTCACACAGCCGCCTCTACAATGCCACGCGTAGCATTCACGTCGCATCAGTGGAGACGGGTAGAGGTAAGGGTGGAAATGACTTGCCTCGTTATCGGGGTTCTCGAAAGCAATATTGTGCTCGCTCATGGCCTCGGAGATGACCTTGAAGGACTGGACAATGTTGCTGAAGATGACGGGCTTCCATTCAAGCTTCTCATTCTTGCTGAAGCCTTGGGAGTAGATGAGCTTCATCTGTTTCAGGACGGTCGATTTTCCCGACTCTCCAGCTCCTAATAGGAGGAGCTTAACCTCCTTGGAAAGCCGCTTCTCATCCTGTCGGATCTGGCGATCAATGTCGCGAGAGCGAGCTTGACCGCGATCGCCCTTGTCTCGGCTGCCGAAGCACATGATGGGTGGTGGTTGAAAGGTGATTGTTGTGCGCTCAAGGCTTTTGTGCGACCAGACCGTACGAGGTCAGAAGCTTTTTGGAAGAGGAAGATGGCGTCGCGCCGGAGACTAGATGTGAGCGCGACAGCGGGGCTCGACGACGGACTCGGTGGTTGGTTGTCCGCGGGAAGATCGGGAGGACGAAGCTGCCCTGAAGGAGAAAGGGTTCCTCTCGAAGGGGGTGGGCGTCCAGTAACGTTGTCGCAATTGGCGGGATCGGTTTTAGTTGCAAGGTTTCAGAGGAAGAGCGTTGGATCGACGGTCGACGAGGAAAAGGGAAAAATGCAAGAGTGACGGGATGTCGCGGGAAAAGACGAAACGGGGCGAATTCGAGCGAGCGAGCGTTCAACGAGGGTCCAGGTGATGTCTCGGAGCTGGCGAATGCGGAATGATGACGCAAAGCAGAAACAAGCTTCCCATTCCCGTGGGCCTTGGGGGAGGAAGAAAGCAAAAAACCTAAACCAGCCTGAGGGAAGAAGATGGAGGCGAGGTTAGGTTAGATGAGGCGAGACGAGACAGGACAGTTCAGGACGAAGACGGGTAGTCAGTCTGTCAAGGTACAAGACAGGACAAGTCTGGGCTGGCTGGCACTGTAGACAAGGCAAAGGCAAAAGAACGACGAGGGATAACGAGACGGGGTCCTTTATTAATATCCGAGCATCCATGGCCGGGATCCATGGATGGATGGGATGGATATTTTATGACGGACGGGACGGGACATTCTTTTTAGTCGCGTCTTGGTAAGGCAAGCCAGGCCCACGTTCACATCCACATCCATCCGGCGCAGAAACGAGCTCCTGGGACTGACTCTCCTGTACCTGGTCTTGTCTCTGTTGATTCCTCCGTCTCTGTCTCGGGCTTGTCTCTGGGCTCTGGAGACTGTATGCACATTATTCGCTTGTCTAGCACAAGGCAAAAGGGAGCCCGCCCCCAGCAGGGGCATGCGGTGTTGGCGTTGGCGTTGGCGTGAGAGTGGAGTCTACGACGGGGGTTGGATGGCGCCCGTAGACGGTGGGAAAAGAGAGCTCCAAGGGGTTCTGAAGTATTGGATGGGGCATCTTGATGGGTTCCCGTCATGTATCTCAGAGGTAGCACATGGTGTAGTTTCCCCCTGAGCAATACCACCAGTGTACTTGGCCTCGTGCTGGAGATCGCCCTTCCACACCAACAATCGGCTCGCCCCCTTAAAACACCAGACCCTGGTCGACGACATGTTCTCGAGAAGGCGACTTGTAGTTCTCGCCCTCTCGCGATACAACCCAAGAGGGGCGCCGACGGACGGAGCAGTGCGGCTCCTCTCTTCTAGCCTCGCTCTAGAGGCCTGAACCGGCCACTTTCTGCAGCTGGGTCGACAGACTGCAGAGGCAAGGCGAATGGTCATGATGGATCCCCAGTGGATGGATGCTAGGAACGTTCCCCGCGAACCAACTGTCGATGCGATGCTTCCAGGTGTGAGTGGTCTCGCATCGCTACGCCCACTGCCGCTGCCGCTGCCGCTGCCATGGCCCGGCATATGGACCTTGCTGTATTGCTTGCCCGTGCCGTCGTGGAATGGATGCCATCCGCGGCCAAGCAGCCAAGGTTTGCCGTCTGTCTGTCTGCCCGTGCTGCCATGTGGTCCAGCGCGTGTTGGTGGGCTGTTCCCCAAGAGATGGCGAGACGCTTGTGACACCCGCCACTTACTCAACGCTGAAGTCGTAAAGGCAACCGCCAGAACTTCAACGTCAAAGTAAAAGTCGACGGAGTGTGGGAAGCATCATAACGCTTCCATTCCTTGCCGACCTCTTCCTAAGCAGCCTCCTTAACCCTGTTGACGCTGCGCTACTGCACACTTCTGCTCTCTCCCCTCCCCCCTGAAGCGGACTCACGGCAGAATCCCGAGATATTGTCCATCAGTTCACCCACGAGACCGGCAAGGAAGGAAGCTTTGTGCACTCTTGTGCCTCTGGATACCTAAACCTTGGGTACGGATACACTGGGACTTGATTAGCCTCGCCTGGTGGTTGCGGCAATGGTGGGTCAGCAGAAAAAAGCAACGAGCATCCCCCCCTCTGCTCCAAGATTCATGGCTAAACCGGATCCGTCGTCAACTCTGCCAGAGGTCAACGCCAGGGCATGCGCTACTGCACAAGGGGAAACCAGCTGGCGGGATCTCTCTGATTTGAGCCTCGAGGTGGAAAATTACGAAGCATGGCAATGACTTGGGACTCAAGAGCTCTCAGGACTGAAGAATGTGCTTACTGAGAAGCTCAACGAACCCTCATCTCATCTCGCAATCAAAGTCTAGGAAGGCATCTCCGTCCTCGTGCAGGCGATCGCCATTAGCGATCCTTCTGGCACTTCTGCGAACCTGGGTCAACCCCGGCCTGGCTTGCAGACGTTCCCGGAACTGCCTCGAGTGTTCCTGGCTGCGCCCCCACCAATCTCCGTTGAGAGAGACCGGGGGGCGTAAGACGCAAAAAACATGCGCAGAGAAGAAAGTGTCCGCTTCCAGCGATGCCTTCAGACAAACTGGACTACTGTACGTGCCAGCTTTGGGCTCAACAGGTTTGGCCGCCGGCTGGACCAGTTCCGCAACCCCCAGGAAACGGCATCGTGGAATAAGCAAGTTTGCCCTTCTGAGACTGTGGCTTGACCACCGGCTCGACATGGCGTCGGAATTCATGAGCCTAACTTGATGAGCCCAGGACAGGACCCCAAGACCTGGGCGCAGAACTTGACAAGCCAGAGAGGCGAAAAGGGACGCTAAAACATGGAGACTTCGGAAACGGCGTCAAGCTGCTGCTCGTCCGCCGCTCCACCATGAGCTGGACGAAACAGCAGTGGCATTGGATCTCTCAACGGGGAGGAAGAGGAAAGCTCAGGCCATCAGAGACACAAAGAGGCAGGGCATTTCCCACCTGCAGGCGAGCGAAGCAGATGCCTGTGGTGTCATCTCGTGTGTCCACGGTCTTGGGCCGGACGCTGGAGCCATGTTTCATCACTCATCAACCTTGGAAACTCAAGAAGAGGTCATCGTCCCCTGATGTGGGTGGCGGCTCCTTGGTGGGCAAATCCACGGGAGTCCAGCCCAATAAGGGCATAGACTATCAGAGGCCGGTCTTGGGCAAAGGATGCGAGTGGTTTTTCTTTGGATGAACCAAAATATGTGAGATTTTCGACTGTTTTTTCTTCTCTTCTTTACTTTTTCCTATCCTATTGTTCGTCGGGACCAGTCCCCGGGGACCATCATCATGCATCAACGACTCACCGGATTACTGCTAATTCATGCAGGCCAAAATGAACTGCAATCCTAGAGGCAGCAAGCAACAAGGCTAGCTCTCCAATGGTTGACTGAATTCCGCACTTCCGGATGGAGAGCTGCCGGGCCAGACAAGCCAAGGCAAGGAAAAGATATGTTCTGGCTGGGAACAGGGGCGCTGGGTTGAGTTGAGTTGCAGAAACCTTGGGATGGTGGTGGAGAAGTTATGGATATGCCATCTCGCTGCAGGTGCGCACTCAGGCCGGCGTGGAGCTGCTCGGGCTGGGTCCGTAAGCTCGGGATCGGGATCCTCTCGTGAACCATAGCCGGGGTCTATATTTGTTTGTTTGTTTGCTGCACCTGATGCTGGAACGCGTAGGATTGAAGGGCAAAATCTCAACCAACGCCCAACCCGCAATTACTTATGGGTGGACGCCAGTCAAGGTCCAGGTCCATTCAACCTGATCGTCAGATACAGGCACAAGACTGCGGCTGCGGCAGCGCTCGGCGCCATTGGACCTTGTGCCGGAAGCCAGAGCTAGTGTATCCGAATAGAGGGATATCCCTGCCTTCCAAGTCGAGGGCAGGAATCCTGCCTTGGCGGGCACACTGCAACGTTGGGAAGACCAGGGGAAGTTGGCGCGGCCCCTGTTATTCGGGGTTTCAAGTTGCCAACGGCCGAGCTAAAGGGGTCCTGGGCAAGCCCATCCATCGAAGGATATACGGGACTGAGAAAAGGACTCATCGCCCGATCGTAACGGTTGCCCACGCGTCGTTTCGCTATGCTTGACTAATGTCCTGGCATGACTCTCGGGGAGCTGCGTGAACCATTGAAACATGGGATGTGGGTGATTGGCTAAAGTCCAGGGTAGGGGGACTGACTACCGTGATACCGTAGTCGAGAATCACGATGAGTGTTTCGTTTGCAGTCTTGGGACCAACAGAGAACTATCCATCCTGACTAATGCGAGGTAATGTCGGGGTAACGCGCATTGCTTTTCCTGTTGCAGGTTCAGCAGAGCCTACGGGACAAAGGGCCAAGCAATGTTAGTTGTTGCAGAGATATGCAGGAGAGCTCGTTCAGCTCAACCTAGGCAAAGTGCGTACAACGCCATGCTCCGATGGCTGTAATACAGTTCCCCAGCAAAAGGTGGCTGCAACTGACAAGAAGCGTGACAATGGCCATGGCTTGAGTTACACCAGCAGCCCAACGACTATGGGGGCTTTATACAGCCAACACTCTCAGATGCCCGTCCCGGTTCCCTACCCGGCATTAACCCCCACGACATGATATGAGGGAATGATTCGATACTGGCCTCTAACCGCCAAGTACCTGCGCATACCAGCATCAAGCCACGAGAGCTTACCGCCGGGAGGCTCAAGAGGATTGAAGAATGAGTTGCTGAAGGAATGGAATTCATTGGGTGCTGTGACTCCGGGGAGCATACCCGAGCGCCCCATTGGCCTTGTGTGCAGAAAAGACGCAGCGCAGCGCATGACACACTGCGTAACGCAGGTACTGAGCTCACCGGGAACACACCGTAATTTTTCTTCCTTTTTTCTTCCCTCGACCGCCGGCAGTGAGTGGGTTAGGTGAACATTCGAGGTCGGTGCCCAATCGGAGCATGTTGGTTGACCGTGCTCTCCTTCAGCTCATGCTTCTAGCTTCATGATAACCCGCTATGACGTGGGAAGAAGATGACGTTGAGCTGTGAATTGCTCAAGCATTGAGGCGGTATCGAGAGTCGTACATGGATCCGAGTAACACTGAGCTCGGGTCTTACAGTGGTGAATGCTGGTAGGTAGACTCTTATCATGATACGTCGATTGATATACCATGCCCAACATGCTCGACCCACGGGACGGGAGAACTCTTGCCGTCTACAAACCGGACCAGCAGCCGGTGATGCTTAACTAGTTACTACAAATGGAAATATCTGGAGAGAATAGCGGCTTCAAGACCCCACGTTCTGCCCAGTGACGTCTAATGTCTTTAACTGTAAGGGGCAGCAATTTGACAGACAGAAGCTGTAAGCTTGTCTTGGCCCTTTAGACACAAGAAAAAACTCGACGCAAAAAACATGGGTTAGCAAGGCCAGTGCACTCTCTGCTAGTGGTGCCAGGTCATCATGTTTCTGGGAACACCCTTCCAGGCACAGCCATTGCACGGTTCAATGTTATCTGATGTCCAAGGATGCTGTTTAATACCTCGCGTAGGACCCCATTCTTTTTTTTCCATCACCGCCTAATCGACATCTGGGGTTCTAAGTTGGGGTCTGGAGGGTATTGGTGCCCAAGTAGTGAGTGTGAGACAAAAAATTATGACGCTGCCGTGGTCTGTTTTGCGGTGGGCGTCAAAAATTTTACCCGCATCCCCACCAGGAAGGTCCGGGTACGTGCAGGTGCGTCGTGGCTGCGAACTCGTTAAAAAGACAAGCCTCGCACCTTTTTCGACTCTTTCATCACCGCTCGCAGTTGGACTCATCGGCTCGTCGCTTCATAACTATCGTCGCTTTCACTCTCAATCTCTACGCTTCTTCAGCACAATGTCTTCCGAGGAGATTACCCACGAGACCATCAAGGGTGAGTTCTACACACAAAGTTTCTACCCCGCGCTGCCCCTCTCCCATGATGATCGCCCATCCCACTTCGTCTCCCCCATTGTCGCGAATATCCTCAAAAATCCGATCCCGACGATCCGTATCTGGAGAGAATTGCACCAAGAATTCAATCCTCGAATAAATGACACGCGTCGACCTCATCTCGACACCACAGCTCAACTTCACCTCACCCCTTGTTGGAGAATACCCCAAGCTTCCCCTCATGATGAACCCACCGACAGACCGCTCCATTACTCGCACTTCAACCCAAACCCCAACATCGGCTGACTCGTCAATCTCTAGATGGCTGGTTCCGAGAGATCTCGGAGATGTGGCCCGGCCAGGCCATGACCCTCCGCGTCGAGAAGGTCCTCGTCCACGAGAAGAGCAAGTACCAGGACGTTCTCATCTTCAAGTCTACCGACTTTGGTAACGTCCTGGTCCTGGACAACGTCGTCCAGTGCACCGAGCGCGACGAGTTCTCCTACCAGGAGATGATCACCCACCTCGCCATGAACTCTCACCCCAACCCCAAGAAGGTTCTTGTCATTGGTGGTGGTGATGGCGGTGTCCTCCGAGAGATTGTCAAGCACGACTGCGTCGAGGAGGCCATTCTCTGCGACATTGACGAGGTATGAACTTAAGGATTCACTCACAGACTTCGGATACTCACACACACAGGCCGTCGTCCGTCTCTCCAAGCAGTACCTCCCCAACATGTCCGTCGGCTTCGACCACCCCAAGGTCAAGGTCCACATCGGCGACGGCTTCAAGTTCCTCGACGACTACAAGAACGAGTTCGACGTCATCATCACCGACTCTTCCGACCCCGACGGCCCCGCCGAGGCCCTGTTCCAGAAGAACTACTTCAAGCTCCTCCACGATGCCCTGAAGGAGGGCGGTGTCATTTCTACCCAAGGTTGTATGTTCCCTATTTTCCTCAGGGAAGTAACTGGGGTCACTAGGAACGGCAGAATCGGGGATTCCTTCACTGTCAAAGTTGGCTGGTGTTCATGGGCTCTCCCTCGATTGGCACATCATGGTGCTACTCCCGACCTAGCGACTACCAGAAGCCAGTGCTGCTTCTCCAGCTCAGCTTCCGGTAGTCCCGCGTTAGCATGCATTTTCCGTTCCTGCTTTTATGCGTGCCGCGTTCTGCTGTTCCTGCCTCGTTACTTGTTGCACTGCGCGATAGTTCATGCTTGGACTACGCTTACACAGTTGACTCTGCCACAGCCGAGAACCAGTGGCTTCACCTGCCTCTCATCACTCAGCTCAAGAAGGACTGCCGCTCCATCTTCCCCGTCGCCGAGTACGCCTACACCACCATCCCCACCTACCCCTCGGGCCAGATCGGCTTCATGGTCTGCTCCAAGGACCCCAACGCCGACGTCAAGACCCCTCTCCGACAGTGGACCAAGGAGGAGGAGGATGAGAAGTGCCGATACTACTCTTCCGAGATCCACAAGGCCAGCTTCGTCCTGCCCAAGTTTGCCGAGAAGGCCCTCGAGTAAGGTCACCATTAGCAACGACCGAAAACGAGATACGACTGGGTTGGGCATTGCTTACGAGTTTAATGTTGGAAATGGGATCACGGGGGAAAAACCAGGTCAAGGTGGCCATTTGGATTCATGGATGCCAGGATATGCATCAAAATACGGAAAAGACTCTGGCGTTACTGCGAGTAGGGCTCATGGAGTCATGAAATATAGAGGATTTCAATCTCTCATCTGGGTCTTTGTCCATGTGAAAGTGCTCTAACCATGTTTCATATCACTAACCAGCTTGATCAAGGACATGCGAAGGTCTATAGATTTTGACAGGTTTCTATTATCTAGTCTCATGCAATCATAGCTCGTCGAACTGGACCTTTCCTTGGCTCACATCCGGATACACGTCAAATCTCCGTTGTGTGTTGAGGGGAATATTCCTCCTTGCCTCGGTAATCTTTTCAGGCTCAAGCTCCCACTCGATAATGGTCTCCTTCTCATCAGCCTCAACAGGGACGTGTGCCAAAGGGTCGGCGACAAGACTGTGACCCCAAGCAACATAGTCCGAGTCGACGTTGCGGGCGGGACTGCACAGCGCAACGTAGAGCTGGTTATCGGCGGCACGGGCTCGGCCGAGAAGTTGCCAATGCAGAGCGCCAGTGGTGGTGTTGAAAGCTCCGGGGTAGATGAGGGCAAAGGCACCCTTGCGGGTTGCGATGGTGGCCAGCTCGGGAAAGCGCACATCGTAGCAGATGGCAACGGCAATCTTGCCGTACTCGGGCAGATCGATCAGCGTCACCTTATTTCCTGGGCTCAGGACATCAGACTCGCGGAATGTGACCTTGCCCGGAATATCAATGTCGAAGAGGTGCACTTTTCGGTGTGTAGCCAGCAGTTTGCCATCCGGCCCAAACACCAGACAGGTGTTGTAGTGCTTTCCCGTGTCAGGGCTGAACTCGGGAATTGAGCCTCCAACGAGGTAGACGCCGTTATCAGCGGCCATGGCCGAAAGGGCGTGGAACGAAGGCGCGGCATCGCGGGAGGGAGGACTCGGCAGGAGTGTCTCTGCGTACTCAGGGAAGTGCTTCGTTCCGTACGGCGAGTTGAAGCACTCAGGAAGGACGACAATCTTTGCCCCTGAGGCTGCGGCACGGGCGACGTGCGAGGCTGCGCTGGCGAGGTTGGCCTGCTTATCTGCTCCAGAGGCGAGCTGCACTAGAGACAGCTTGACGGGCTTCTTGAGGACTGGATCGGGGATTGACGACATTTTTCGGACGAGAGAGGGCGTGTAGCAGGTACGTGGGATCGAGGATGAGAAGAGGGATCTTGAGGTTATGGCGACTCGACGGAGAGCAGTTCGCATGGTGAGATATAATAGAAGGAGGAGAAAGAAGATGGCTATATATCATGCACAGAGAGATGTCGTTTACTCCTCCTCCTCGCCTCCGGTGACCGGATGGAAGTGGGGGTGGGGAATTACGCGATGGGGTTCGGCATGTCGCGGGGCAAAAAGAAATCGTGAGGGACGCTATTTGTCAGGACGAAAAAGGTAATGGGGAGCGACGGAGGCGGTTGTCCGCTCTACGACTTTCCTAAGGGTTTAGATAGTACAAAATAGTATGTTCGGGGTGTAAAGTAGTTCCGAAACTGGCCGAGATTCTGAGATTAAAGCACTAATTCGACAGTGAATTAAAACACATCATCTTAACCGCCTCTCTCCTGGTGCTGAAATACACATCTTATACCGCCATCTCACTTTGTTTTGTTAGTCTATATCAAAGGTATTAGCTTATTTTCCTCTAAGAGTAGCTATAGTAATCCTGTGTATTTAATCTTCTCATCCCAAGTTGGGATTACAAGAGTCAAATGAAATGAGGAGACGTTGATAGCTAATTGCCCATGTTGGAACCTATGTTGCAACCTATGTTGCTCTGTGCTCACCATCAATTGGGTATATACAACACCAATTGGGATCAATCTTGACTTGGGTCCAAGATGGACATTGAATACGAGGTGCCATGTAAGTAAAACCTGATAAATGCAAGGCATAGTCTCATAGAACAGCATTCATTGACCACTATTCAAGTGAAGCTGGAGAGAGATTGTGTCATGATAAGTTGTGCAGTCATAAATTCACTGTCACTCAAGAACAGAGTAAGTGCTTGGAAAGAAGATAGTTGCTGTCGAGGTTTCTAGACACGGCAGAGAAGCATATGATGTTGCCTCTAATGCCCAAATCAAGTAGCTCATCAACGAGTGACTCAACACATCTTCCTCAAACAATTGCCCATAGTATCGTTCCGTCATTAAATAAAAGGGAAAAAAAGAAAAAGAAAACAAGGTATCTCAAAGCATCAACTCTCGTAGACTCATAACCCTCGTAAACATGTGGTTGACATATACATGCGGACCCATCAGGTCCTCGATGTCCAGGGAGCCCATCAGGAAGAGCGACGGCTGTACACGCCTTGGTTGCTTGGCGGTGATCCATGATTGTTGTTGTTGTCGCGCTTTGGCGGTGCAGGCGGGTTACCCCCTTGACGTTGCACTTGCGGAGGAGCAGAGGCTGCCGCGAGATAGTCGTAGGAAACCCTACGGACTTTGCTCCCTTGGCAGAGCTTGCAGATTTGTCTAGTTCAAGGTTAGCAATGCTTGACAACAGTATTATGATGAGTAAACATACGCTTCGCGTTGGAATGAGCCGCTGCAAAGATCACAAGTGATCCATGTCATGCCATACTCGTCAAAGACGTATGAGGAAAGGGGTGAGCTCATGGTTGCAACTTGGGAAGACGTTTGTCTGAGATGAGGTTAAGTTCAAGTTGATCTTGCTGCTGTTGCTCAATTTGCTTGCTCGATCAAAAGAACACCATCCCGAGACGTTGGGAATCCTACCGGTATATATACTCGGGATCTGGACATCATCAACGGCGCCAAAGTATAACAGCCAACAGACTGGGTCCCTTCCGTCCATGACGGCAACCAACACTTCACCGCCCCACGGGGAGTTATCAAGACGAGGGTTGACACAAACGCGTCTGTCTGTCAGAGTCGGTAGCCGCTGTCATGACGCCGGCTGCAATCGGGTCTTGTGATGGCGATCATGTCAAGGATGGGCAGTTGCCTTGATTCGGGCTCTCACACCTTCGACCGTCAAATGTCTGGAACATAATCTGAGCCCAACCCATGAAAGGAAAAAAGACTAGGCGGTAACGACTTCCACATTCGCTCTGTGGTCATCTTGGGGCCTCATTTCCAGACGTCCCATCCATGCTCATGCCCACGCCTTTCTCCGCAGTGCTCCAACTACAACTGCAACTGCACGCGGTGGACCGAATGGCGAGCAGCCTTGGCTTCCCACGCCTCCTGCAGCCTCCCCCTCGGTCTGCGCAAGGAGCGCCTCGCGGACCACATCCTCGGTGCCTACTGGAGTGTTGGGCGGGGAGTAAATCCCTCGACGTCTTGACCGGTTCCGGAGAGGACCGGCAAATGGAAGCCCGCGCTGACCAAGCCCGCCGGCCTGCTGCATGATCGCTAGGTCGTGCTTCACGCCCCGGCCGCCGACGAGCCAACTTGGGTCAAGACCCGTCGAGAGCGGCGGATTCGGCTGAACGTCTGCGGCCTCGCGGTTGGCCGCAGCACTCCAGCTCCAAGAGACAAGCACCTAGATGCTATTGCGTGCATCCATGATTAAGCTCCTGCATCAGCCATGAGACCATGTGCGAGGGGATTGTTGGGGTAGGGCAAGAGTCGACCAAGTCATTCGTCAAATACACGTCACATCTTGTTTGAGAAGCAGATATCTGAGTCTCGTGCAAGGTCAGGTGTAGCCTTACCTGGAGGTGGCCTTGGGCTGAAGGCAAAGCAATGACTGACAAACGGCTCTATCCGATGATGCAGCTGTCGTCCAGTGGTTCTCTGTAGTGTTTCCATAACAGCCTGTATTATCCAGCATGTAGAGGCCCGAGGCTGTGGACGCCTTGGCCGCCGTCCCCGTCCCGCGTCCGTCCCGTGTCGTCGCCCGGTGCATCCTCCCGATAAGCGTCGGGACCGTTCAGCTAAGCAAGGATTCTTTCCTTTCACAACTAGACCGACTTTTTTTCGGCAGACCGTTTACATGTTCGTTTCTGCATCAGGGAGGGCCGAAAAGCCCGTTCCCGAGACAGGACCAAGCATGCAAGGCCACGACGTTTTTGTCGACATCCCACGCTTGTGTTCCCCATCGTCAGCTAGACCGGTCAACAATAGTCGTCCTAAATCGACCAAGCGAATCCCAGGAATAGAACGAGTTAGACCGACAACTCTTTGTGATTTCATCGACGTATACGTGTGCTTCTCTTCCCTGGCTGTATCTTGTCGTGCTACCCTCTTATCCTCTGGGACCCTTGTCACGCGCCTTGTCGTCTGCCCATTCATGGTTATCCAAGAGTAAAAATCACTCGTAGAAAGAGCTGTGACCAATCTGAGAGTTTGTCATTGATTAATGCCGTCTCTGGCCTTTTGCTCGGCACAAGAAGTCAGCCAGTGCAAACGAGGCTATTCACGATCTGACCACCATGTTCCACCTCCCTTGGTTCAGTTGGTCCACGACTCACAACCCATCATCCGTAGATACTTGTCGAGGGAATCAAGGTGGGGGTCTGGCGTAGAAGTTGGGTACAAGGCAATCTCGAGTCTGTTTCGCAAAGCTTCTAGCAAGGCTCATCAGGAGATATAATGCCACATGCCTTGATTTTCAGTCCTGCAGATCCAGTTCCCGACAGTTGAGCTACTTTGATTAGATGGCATCCACGTTGATGCCAAAAGATCAGATGACCCGCAATGCAGCTCGAGGCAATCGATGGCAAGGCCGGGGATACGAGGCCTCAGCTCAGCGGAGGGACAAGCTGATTCGTGGGGCAACGTGGCTATCAATAGACAGCCCAACTATGTGCCGCATAGCGCGGCTTCGGCTTCGGACTCTGGTCCGATAACTGACTGACAAATGCTCGGTTGAGAGGGCCTCAGATAGGTCAACCACCTTCTCGGCTTCGGCGTTACAAGTAGGGGCTCCGGCACTTGCGCATGCCACTGACGAATATCTGATGCATCCTCCGAAACTGAAGCCGAGTTGGCAGGTTTTCTGACCAAAATCTGAGACAAAACGGTAGGTATGTCTAAGAATTTCCGAAAGAGCAGGGGTTGACAGGCCGCAGTCAACTCCAACGGCGTCGCACAGCATTGGACCTGCATTGTGACATATTCGTGAAATGATCTGATAATGTTGTTGAGAGGTATTTGAAATTGACGTTGGCCAAAGGCAAGGGGTATCCGCTGAGGGTAGAAGAGACCGGACTTGACATGTGGGTGAATACTTTCTCAAGCTGAACTCGTCAAACAGTCGTCATGGATCACGCATAGAGGCTGAATGTTGAGAATAATAGCAAGTAATATGTGTGTAGATGGTAGCACTCGAGTCCAGCCATGATTCAGCGTGGCGTTGTCATAACGGCTGTGGGCAGCCGCCTGCAAAGCAAGGCTTACCTGCCTGATCCAATCGTTGAACAGTCCACTGGAACATGCTGGCGTGGATAGGTTCTGGTAGCACTCGAAGAAAAGAATCCCGACGTCCTGAGTCAGTACCCCATGCAAAAACCTGTCGCCAATATGCGAGACGGGTGATGGCATGGACAGAAACGTCGATGAGTTCGTGTGACCTGTCGCACAGGCGGAGGTTCCCTCGACACACAATGACGAGTTCGGCGGATAGGCAACGCTCCGTGGAGACCCGTAGAAGGACAGTTGTTCGTCTGAAAGCTTGTCATTTCGTATGTGACCTGAGTCCAGCCCGTGATGGTGTCATTCCTGTGATCGTCTTCATGGGATGAGCCATGTTGTATGCCGAATGTATACCGAAACAACTCATTTCGTTCTCTAAACGCCTCGATGACAATCCCATGTTCACGAAGAGATGATTTCTGGTCTTTACTTGCATTGAAGAAAAGTTTGTGGTTAAAAAATAAGAAAAGTAGATGTCGTGCTGTGAGGAAGGCAGGGAGGAGGGTTATGCTTGACATCGGGGTCACGCACGGATTAGAGCATACCCCGATTGGTGCATCTCGGAGACCGCGTCCCGCGCAGCGCAGGCCAAAGTTAGGAATCAATGGGAGTTACGATACCCGCAGAGCTACCTCTCAACCTCGTCACCCTAGAAAAGGCTACAAAGTCCCTGGAGGACTCGTCTACCATGAGCTGAGCTTCAAGCGACTGATTTACCGTCTTCAACATGTCTGTCATTCTCTGCACTGGTAAATGCGACTGACCTACTCCACGACTTGCGACTCGCGAGCTAACCCACGTCGCAGCTGGATATGACCACACGATCAGGTTCGATTCGACCCGCGCTTCCTCTACGAGCTTCCACAGTTGACACTTCTCTCGATAGGTTTTGGGAGGCATTGTCGGGTATATGTTCGCGCACCATCCAGCACCCAGACTCACAGGTGAACCGCCTGTGCATCTCACCCGACAAGCGATACCTCGCCGCCGCGGGCCACCACACCGTCAAGCTCTACGATATCAAGTCGACCAATCCGAACCCGCTGCTGACTTTCGAGGGCCATACGGGCAACATAACTGGTGTCGCCTTTCACTGCGAAGGAAAATGGATGGTGACTAGCTCCGAGGACGGTACCGTCAAGATCTGGGAGACAAGGACAGGGACAATTCAACGAAGCTATAACCATGGCTGCCCTGTGAATGATGTTGTGATCCACCCAAACCAGGGTGAGATTATAAGCTGCGATCGGTCTGGCAGCGTGAGAGTCTGGGACCTGGCCGAGAACAACTGTTCCCACGAGCTTATCCCAGAGGAAGATGTCTCAGTCTCCAGCGTGACAGTCGCTAGTGATGGCTCTCTCCTATGCGCTGCGAATAATGCTGTAAGTTCCAATCGTGTCACCTGAGGGTCTGATCTTGACATATACAGGGTAACGTGTTTGTATGGAACCTTATCCAGAACTTTGACCGCACCCAATTAGTTCCAGTCACGCACTTCAGCGCTCACAAGGAATACATCACGCGTATTCTACTCTCACCTGACGTCAAGAAGTTGGCGACCTGCAGCGCCGACCACACGGCAAAGATATGGGAGGTCAAGAACATCGAGCCCTCCACGGACCCGGAACCCAAGCCGTACCCGCTCGAGGCAACCCTCACCGGCCACCAGCGCTGGGTCTGGGACTGCGCCTTCAGTGCTGACTCTGCCTACCTGGTGACGGCCTGCTCGGACCACTACGCGCGACTTTGGGAACTGCATAGCCAGCAGATCATTCGCCAGTACAACGGGCACCATAGAGGAGCGGTTTGCGTCGCGCTCAACGATTATTCCGAGACGCGATGATTCAGGCATTGGGTGCTGTCAAGATTGGTTGGCCGGAGAATGGCGTTGGGTCCGTGTGTTTTGGTTGTTTAAAGATGTGTTGATGATTGCTCGAGAGGTTTTGTATGCTCCTCACATGGCAGGCTAGCTGTTCCCTATTGTGTATGAATGGCAAATGTTAGACTCGGATGAGTTTCATGTTGTGGCCACCTTCTCGATGCAGCTTTGCCTAGCAAATCGGTGGCGAACCATCCCCTCAGGTTGCAAAAACTGGAATCAACCCCATTTGCTGTAGTTTTTGAGGCCTGTTATGCTCTTCACTGCAATTTTAACCCCACCCAAGACAGCGGTTGACGCCATGTAAGAGGGCTATGTGAAGAAACTCTCATCTCTACATCTCCTTCATCCTTACCTAGGTATGCTAAGATGAACATGGGGTGAATGCGTGCCACACCTGTGGCATCCAACAGCTCCCACCAAAACTATGACACTACAACCCTCCTGACGGGATGTCGTGCATAACATGAAACATATCTGATAATATTGTCCGGTGTGATGATATCGGGCCAGGTGTGGTTGTCGACAAGAATGTGGAGTTTGTAGTTGAGAATATTTGCTTGGGCATGAAGTATAGTTCGGTCAAGGTCACAGCAGTGGTTCAAGAAATTGTGAAGCAGCAACTCGATTGCTCATGCTAGATACAAAGCTGATAGGTCGCTGCAGATGTCCATATGGAATTCCATCGCTCGTGAAATTATTCGCCCATCTTGTTAAGACGGTCCTTGGCAGACTCCTTTGCCTCCTCCGAAGCATTGGGGTTGCTCAGGGTCCTAGAACTCGGTCAGCACAGCCCTATACCTCTGAAGACGAAGAAACTCACGACTTGAGACCACCGGCAACATTGCCAGGGTTCTTCTCCTTGCTGTCTCCGGCCTTGGGGACTGACTTGCGTGTTAGAATCGGTTTCATGGTCAAAATTTGAAGGTTGTTTACCATCACCGTCGTTAAACTCCTCATGGAGGACCTTCTTGGAGTGCTCCTTGGCCTCCTCGGAAGTGTTGGGGTTGTTGATGGTAGCCTTGTGGCCGCCGGCGATCTGAGCATCGGTCATTTTGAAGGTTGTGGGTGGTGGGTTGGAGTTGTTGGAAGTGGTTGCTGTTGCTGAGGATTGCTGTGTTGATGAGAATGATGAAAGAGTCTTTTCGAAGAACAACGTCCCCTTCTTATACTTGTTCCTCGACACTCATTCTCGTAGATCGCCGATGTGCTCTTGATCGACGACCGTGAAAAGCAACTTCATTGACGCAATTGATGACCTCCTTGATCCTCTAGCTCATCTATTCCGGCGGTGAAGCTACTGGTAGTTTTGCACATTTCACGACTTCCTACTCGCTCGATCACGGAGCTTTCATTCTGGAGACGGCACGGTATCGCAGAGTGGTGACGTGTGGGCGTATCCGGGGTAAGACTTCTACGGGGATTCTTTCTCTCGGTCAGGAACAAACACTCCTTACCTCCCGTTGCATGCCAGTTCGTTCTCTATGGTATTAGGCATCTTCGGTAAAAGGCGTGCCCGGGAGATGCTAACTCGTGCGATCAAGGTTAGTTCCGATCCGGGCTACGGCGAGGCATCATGAACAATGTAAACACCAATGGCCTGGGTGATATTAGGCAGACGAGGAAAAGTCCCCCACCAAGATTCACGGTCAATAGAGGAACTTTGGTTTACCACCGTGCTGCAGCAAATATCACCGTTTGTTAACGTCGTAACCTAGGGGTTAAAGTTGAGACTGTCGGGGTTGGGGGCCTAAGATATGAAGTCATGACGCATCAATTTTGACGGTTGATCAATACAGACACTTTGCCCGTTGTAGAAACGGCCGGCGAGATGACGGGTTTTTGTTTCAACAGAGAAAAAGACGCCAAAAAAAAGCAAAGGAGACGCGGGCTGCTCCGTCAATGAATCATCATGGGCGCGTTGTGCATGACGTCGAGACGTGTCTGGTGCTGACACGAACACTGCGCGAAGTCCCGTGAATCTGCACACATACGACTCACCGTGTGAATCAAGGTTCAGGTGAGATGATGAATGAGAGGTCAGGAATTGTTCCTCTTGAGAATGTCTTTTGGTGGATTTGAGTGGTAAAGAAAAAGGACAAGAGTTCAGCCGAATGCAAGAGACGAGCTGAGATGATACTGTAACACGGCTCGGAGGTACGCGATCATGTCAGACCTGATCTCACAGAGTTTTTCATAAAAGGAGATGGCCGGTGATGATCGGTCATTGCCGGATTATGTGCATCTCTTGTCACAGAGAAAAGGGGATTGATTGATGATAGGGATCCATGGATAGCATTTGGTCCTTCATCAAACAAAAGGCCGCAACCAGTAAGCCAATGATCATCGTGATGCCGGATATTGTATGTTGATCCGAAGAAAACTGATCCAGGCGACCTTTTGAACGCCACGTCGATCAAAAGAGTCGTCGGCGTGTCCGCGTCAAACCCGACGAATCAGGGTCAAGATGTGCCCCCTGCGCGGCTCTTGGCCATGCGTCCATTACCACCCGCACGAGGTCCCAACTAGAAAAGATTGGATCAGAGAGGCCTACCACAGACTCATTCGGAGTGTTTTTCAAGACGGCACATGACGTCGTGTAAGAACCTTATACCCCATGTCCAGCTGAGCAGGGATCTCAAGAGTGAGCGGGACCCAAGCGCCCGGGGCGGTCTGCATGACTTGACATCCGTTGGGATGGTTGATGTCGATTGCCAAAGAAACAGCCCTGAGGAAATGCGGCTAAAAACTTCAGCGCAGCCAACCACGCGGCGTGTGGGGGAATAGCAAGCCACGCCCAAGCCCCCTGAGATCATCTGGAGTCTGCTGGGACCCCTGTAACAAATAGCGTCAGCTAGAGCGAGGCTGAGGCTGTGCCCGCCACCTCCAATAATAGAACGCATCTGGCATCTTGTGTCGATGACATCCACCTTGGATCAACACCATCTACACACTTGCAACTCCGCTCACAGGCCTCACAGGGCTGCCAGACGAAAGCCTCCCAAACGCACGAGCCTCCTGTTCCCTCACTTCTCACATTCTCTTTCTACACACCCCTCCCCTGGACTCCACGCATCCATCCTTCCTTTGAGCCTAGAACAAATCATGACCTCAGACGAAAAGCCCCCAGTCTTCAATTACATCCTGAGCTTCATCCTCGTAGGGCTCGCGTGGGGCTTCACGACCCCTTTCATCCGCCGGGCCGCCCAGTCGCACAACCCCCCGACGCATCCGGTCCTCGAGAGCCCTGCCGTACAGGCCAGCTGGCTCAAGCCCAAGGTCTACGGGGCATTCTTCGGGGTTGTCGATCTCCTGAGGAACCCTCGTTACGCCATCCCGCTGGTGCTCAACCTCACGGGGAGCGTGTGGTTCTTTCTGCTCATTGGTAAAGCAGGTAAGTCTACTGTCTCTGATAAGCGCCTGTTAGAAGGAGTGTCGATCCTCCCAACTAGTCTAGACCGGCCGAGGTTGACAGGTCGCCACCTCTAACCTTTGTATCAACTGCTAATGATGACAATTGTACAGAATTGAGCCTGACAGTACCCATTGTGAACACTTTGGCGTTTCTATTCACCGTTCTCGGTGATTGGTACGTTGACGGCAAGGTAATCAGCCGAGGTGAGTGTTTTCGATACCCATTATCCAGGGGTTGTCTCTAATCGTCTACTCCAGATACCGCAGTTGGGATGGGTCTCATGCTGGGTGGTATTGCCTTGTGCGTCCAAAGCAAGCGTTGATATATACCAGCATTCTATGTATAACATGTGCTGTTATTATTCTTCATGCACAAATGTCAGTCCGGTGTCTCCGGATTGGTTACCGCCGTTTGCGGCATGTTGATGCGTACTCCACCGTAAAGCCTCCCACGCTTGGAGGCTTTTGTTGAAGATGCAAAAATATACTGTCAATTCAAGTCTTGTAGAAACTATCAATAGCGAAAAATAGTGTATTTTACATGTATGCCTAACTATTCTTGAGTCAGTATTTTGTTATAATTGCAAATTGGACGCACCCCTTAGCACATTGAAGCACCTATATGTCCCCGTCTTACCATGATGCACATACTCGCTTAAAAGCAGGAACAACGCCTTTTCTGGTAAACGGTGCATACAGTAGAGCGCCATAGTATGCACCACGCCAAGAGTATACATTAGCACATAAGGATGTCTATCCAAATATACCAAGTTTTGTCACACCTGTTCATCATCTAGAGGCCAAATGGTCCAAACAAGGCCAGCTAATTGTCCATGTTGATCTCTTACAGCACCTTCACTCCTCATAAAATAGTCAAGCAAGGTAAAGTAATTGTTCATGTTGATTCTTCTGCTCCTGGCAGTAGTTGTATTACAATGGAGCCCAGCCCCATGTTGACCCCCCTTGGAGGAGGAACCCTCTCTATCTCTTTGGATATGATGCCCATACCGGGTTGCAAATGCCAATTTCATGACCGTAAATAAAAAAAAAGGTTCATGAATCTTTCTCGGTCGTAAGAATGTCAAACAGAAAAACACATTTCTCTCTGACCCCCCTTTTTCTCCTTGCGTGTATTTTACCAGTTCCCTGAAAAGAAAAACCCAAAGATATAAGAAAAACTCCGTGCAAAAAATGTTCCGGCCGTTGGGGTTTATCTCGTAAGAATCGTAGGCGTCAAGAATAGAAAATTCGTGTGAGGCGTTGGGGTTGTTGTTTTTTTGTCGGTTCATTCATCAAGTTGTTGTTTGTGTTGTTGCTTCCGGGGTATCTTTGATCGCTTCATCACTTCTTCTCCCCCCCTTCAAGCCATTCGTTCATCGGCGTGCTCGAAGCCAGCGGAGCACGCTTCGAAGGCTGGGGTCTTCGGCCGTCCAGCGGCCCATTCCTTCGTCCGAGGCCTTGAGCTCGGCGTAGATTACTTCGTCGGTGATGGCTGCCAGTTCCTAAACAGAGGCGGTCAGTTGGAAGCCTCCAAAAGAAATCGAGAAGACGGTCGTACCGTTCGAAGTTGGCGGTCGCAGGCTCGGAGTTGCGACTGGTTTCTCGATGGTGAGCCGCTCTGCAGCACCTGTCGTCGGTATTCGACCCATCGTTGCGCTGCCGCCTGACGAAGATAGATCTTCTGCCCCTCGTGTCGTCTTGCGTACGCGTCCAGAAGAACCCTTTACCACAATGGTCAGCCTCGAAAACCCCTTATCCTGCACGAAAAAAACACCTACTGCTTGAGCTCGGCCTTCATCTGCTCGTCCTCGCCACCAGGAGGGTTAGGCACGCTCGTGTCCGCCGCACATTCCAGAATGTGCTGTCCATCCAGTGAACACTGGCGGAGAGCGGCCCAGCCCTCGGTGTAGTAGTCACCCGTGTCCTCGGGGTCGACAGGGGCCGCGGCGATGTAGTACTGCAGCGTTCGGAAATCGGAGAGAACCTCAGCAACCCGTGCTGTGCGAAACTCGTTCACTGTGGGGAGACAAGGGTTTTACGTGTCAGTGCTTCTGAGCTCCTGTAGGGAGGGTCGGGGGGAAGAGATGGGTTGGGAGGGGCGGCGGTGCAAGGCTGCGGCCTGGGGAACCAATTGTTCTCCCAGGAGAGCCGCCAAGGTTGCCGGATACGACGTACATCCGTCCATTGTTATAGAGATTCCGGAGTGGTAGAGAGTGTGTAGAGAAAGATTCAAGAGTTGACTAGGAATGGTTGAGAGTCGTGTGTCGGTCAAGCCAGTAAAGGTCGAGAGATATTCGAAAGGGATATAATTGCGATTTTGTTGTTGCAGAGGAAAGCAAAGTTGGTTAAAAGGTCGAGTGGTAGACGGAGGAAAACAGGCAAGGAAATGATTATAGAGACTTTGTCATGCCGATCACTAGACAATTGAGAGAAGCCGGTTCTTCAAATGCTGCTTGACTGAACAAGTCATAACACGATTCCATCAACCGACTTGGGCATCCTTTTTGTATATCGTGATGGTCCGTCGAAGGCCTCCCGACGGGTAGTCCCCTCCCCCCTTCGGAGAAAAAAAAAACACAAGGAACCACAAGCCTATCCTCCGGAAAGGGCTCCATCTCCTAGAGGAGAACAGACGAAGGAGAGCTGCCAAACAGCCTTTCACTCTTTGCACCCCACCAAAACGGGAGCGAACGGCTACTAGGGGCCACCCCCTCCTTAGCTTAGACACCACAAACGAAGACGACACGACATCCATCACAGAGTGTGAGGGACCCGGCAATTGAGCCAGCCTTCCCCTGCAGGCCACCAGTGAGAGGGTCGGGAGCGGTGCCTCCACCCGGCGGGTGGCAGGGTCATATCCAAGCTGGAAAGGAGCTCAAACACACAGACGACCCTGGACGAGCTGTGGCGAAAACCACTTCTGTCGAACCGACGACCGAAGCCTCGCCCTCAGCCCTATCCCACCCCTGGCAGCAGCATAGTTTAATGCAGGGCCCGTAGGATGGGCACGTCATGGGTCATGGGTCATGCGAGGTGGTGAGGAATTGGGAGCCGTGAATGGTGGACAAGCCACTCTCCGCGATAGGTCTGCATGTCCGAGAGAGTTTCTTGAGGCGTCCTAGAGGCTTCTCCTTGGCTTTTTCGGCCGGCAGATACACCCACAAAGCCTCGTGTCACCACCAACCCTGGATGGGGATAGAGACGCCGAGACGCGATGCTGCTTGTCTGAGCTGCGTGGGTCGGGGGCATTTGCGAATCGAAAGGCGTCGATTCCCTTCTGGTTTCTTTACAAAGCAGAAAGGGCCGGGCTGTGTCCACAAATCTAGAGATAGGTACCGGAGTGTAGTTGCAGGGGTTCCGGAAGAGGGGGGGATTGACCAAGTACCACTTGACAGGCGCGCCAAGTATCGTGCCAAACGTCGATGGTACAAGTTGAAAGGCTAGGGTATGTCGGTTCAGTGCCTGATAGTCCGCAGTCCGGCGCGGACAGACTGACTGCATGTGCATGTGGTGGTGGTGGGTTTCTGCGGTGGGTGGAGTATTTCGTGGTAGTGGCGCCGGCTCAGCTATGTCGAGCCACCCACTAGTCGCGCCAAAAGAGGAAAGGGCTTGGGGCTCTATTGCGGGATAGTCGGCTGGGCGGGACCAATAGGCGCGCGGATGACGCCTAGGGCAACGGTTTGGGGCGAGCTGAGGAGGAGCAGTTTGGAAGAGGTTTGACGCATCTGATTGGTCAGTCGTGGTCGAGTCGCTAGATCTGGTCAAGCCTACGAGAAAGAGGCCGTCTGAAAACAAGAGAGAATGTAACCCTAGGTACACTCAAAAGAAAAATGTGAGGTTGAGAGAAATAAAACAGTCGCTGCGCTGCACTGCACTGTCAGGGGGGTTCCAGCAGGCTGAGTCAAATCCATCGCGGTGACACCGATTATGAGAAATTACAGGTGATGATGATGGAGTTGAGGGTCATGAATGGAGGCGAGAGTGATACAGACAGCTCCCATCATGATGCTGTACTTGCCGAATCGGGTAGGTGTCAAGTGTCCTGACGTCGGCTCAACTCTCGATGCAGGCCTCGTGAGGCGCAGGCTCAAGCGCAGGCACAGACACAGACACACACAAGCTCGAGCGCAATCTCTAGATCTCCTGAAACATTACTACACCATGCATGCATCTTACTGCTTATCATCCATCCTTTCTCCATCTTCCAGCTCGGCCGGGTTCTTTCAACAAAAGCCCGAGATCATAATCGTCCGTTCCCTGCATCCTTTCTGTGATCTAGGCTGGTTCCATCGACGTCAAAGAGCCGCCCGCCAAACTGTGGCGTCACGCTTCTATTGTTTGCATGGCGCCGTTTATTCTTGAGGCCGCCTCTTTTTGTTGTCCCTCAACGTCTTTGCTGCCGCCATTCGCCTCCGCCTCTCTCCAACAGTTCACCCGTTGAAACTAATGTTAGCTGTTTGTACCGTTCGCCTCCCAACGGCCTCATCACGGCTCACCCTTCCCGCTCCCGCTCCCGCTTCCCCCATTGTCTCTTCGTGTGCTTCGCTCTTCTCCTCGATTGGATGTGAAATCTTCTTCTCAGCGCCCCTCGGAGGCTCAAATCGGCGCTTACCGGAGTCAGCCAAACTGCCTCCCAGTCGGTCCCAGTCGGTCCCAGGGACCTCCCAGCCCCCAACCGAGAGACTGGCCAGGGCCCCCCTGTAGACAGATCCGATCGACTGGAATGCCTTTCAGATGCTCCTCTTCAAGCCCCCTCAAGCCTCTTTTCGTAACTCACGACATCCATCACACCCGCACCATTTCCAAGCGCAGAATCGACGCCAGCCATCGTCCACCCTGGGCCCACCACGCCACTCGGGAGCCCTCCTAGTTCCAAGGTCTCGGGCTGCTAGTCCTTGGCGCAAGGCATACTCGCCCACCATTGGGCTATCAGGCGCGCCCATTCACTTGTCAGTTGCTCAAACCGAAATGAAGACCTCGTCAGAATCTATTGCACATGGTTTGGACGCCTACGGAGTACCAGGACCCACGCCAACCACCACGACGGCATCCAAGTTCCTGATCCCCATGATCCATCCCCCTGCATGGCCCACGTTCTTGGAAGCAGCACGCACGTCGTGTCTACTTGCTTGTTGCATTACATGCTGTGAATCAACTTTCTGCCCTTCTAGACCAGGTCCATCGTCTCATTCATCGTCGGCGGCGCTTCTTCTATGATATCATCATTCTCTCTGTCCGCTCAGTCCTTCTCAGCAATGGCTTGTAACCGGTCGTCAATCTCCTCCTCAGTCAAGGTTCTGAATCCTGGGTAGGTTCCCTCCTCACCGTCGGCTCGCGGGCCGCCCACGATACCAATCTCAATCTCTCCCTTCTTGAAATCCATGCTAAGGACGGTGCTCAGCGTCGTAATGGCCAGCTCAACCACATCCTCCCAGGAACCCTCAGCGTGATCCTTGTTGCGCAGCTTCTTCTCGAGGTGGTTCAGCGCTTCCTGCTGCTTCGGGCCCGCCGCGGTGCCCTTGTAGCCGATGTAGTATCCGGCAGGGTCGCACTTGAACAACTGGGGACCATATTCCGAATCGAGTGCGATCAGCGTCGTCGCGACGCCGTAGGGCCGCATGTATGCCTGGGGATGATGTCAGCACATGATTGGCCACTCTGTTTTGACCGCTAGAGCATGCTTACTCGCTGAGTGTAGACCTGGCTGATGTTGGCCAAGCGCTTCGCCAGGGCATCAGCTGGCATCTCGTAGCCGTACTTGTATCGGAACTCTGCCGCCTCGCCCTGGGCCCTTTGAGCAAAAGCTCGGGCATCCGCGATGGATCCTGTAATCACGCATCCGACCGAAGGCGAGATCTGGAAGATGTGGGAGACGGAGGCAGGGTCGATCAGCTTATCCTGTTGCCTGCATCAGTCTTTGATCTCGACATCTCATTCGATTTCCAACATACGGGGACCTTCTTCTGGGACAGGACAACGGCGCAGTCCTTGCCTCTCACACCGACAGACATGATGTTGGCTGCTGTGATCGCCTTGAAGGCGTACTCTGTTCAGGATATCATGTCAGTCTCGGTAATAGTCGCTCGTCAACGTCATCGAACAAGGGAGCATCGTGGGGTTGGCTTTGCTCGGGATCGATGGGGGCTCGCATACCAACTTGATACAACCGACCATTGTCGGCGAAGATGGTGATGTGTCGGTCGTATGCGCCGGCTGTGATAATTGAGGGTTAGCTGAAGCTCAAGATGGATGGATTGCGGGTAGGTGATAGCCTGACGTACCCGACATTGTGGAGGATTCGATGGGTTGTGAAGGTCGGTGTCGGATAAAATTAGGCTGCGAAGCTCAAGCAGAACACTGTAAGTCCTGGATGAGGAGATTCAAGGTGGAGGTTGACGATGTGGTGGTGGAGGGGAGCTGTTGCTGGTAGATGGTAGTCGACGCGTTAGCAGGAGCTTGCCTAGAGGCTAGAGCACACGAGGCAAGCAAGCTCAGTGGGAAGGCTGAGTTGATGCCTCGTTGGATTACTTAAGCCTCAGGCAGAACATTCTGGGTGATAGAATAAAGGACCACCGTTATTTTCATATGTGAGCACCATGTCTCGGGATATAGCATTCCATGATGTTCAAAAAGCGCAATTAATCAATCTCATATATAAGTGATCTATCAATCTTATGATATCCTCATCAAAAAGCTGGTAGTTTAGCCAGCTAATGAAATGCATCAACATACAACTCCCCTCTATAATTATGTCGTCCTAGCTCTTATCTTATCAGCAACCATCCGGCTCCACTTGCGATATCTTCCAGATCCATTCAGAAAAAAGTTGCAGCCAACAAACATCAAAGGAAATCCGGCCCGCAACAACACGACACTCTGCATATCGACCTTGCACTTGCGCTAGAGGTCCTGCCGCCATTGGCAATTCTTACAAACCGCTTCCTTGCCCGTGCTTGGCTGCTATTGGCTCCCATAGGCCAGTGTCAACAACAAGTCCACCGCCCAGCAGCAGCTAGAAGAAAAAATTCAAGACCCCGGCAACCGCGAAAAAAGATCCGGTCCAGGACGCGCAGAGCAGAGAAAAAAAAAGACTGGCTTTTGAGGTCAGAGCTTGGGTCTCTTTGCTGCATCATCCTCCCCTCTCCCTCCCGTTTGTTCCCTAGCTCCTCAGAAACACCATCTCCCACACACAATGTCTTCGTCCACAGGGAACGCGCCAGCGCAGCAGGTGCCAGCGTGGAAGAGACTGGGCCTCAAGCTCAAGCAGCCATCTGCTGCATCCGAGCCCGCAAGCACCCAAAGCTTTGGGCACCCAAGCACAAGCACCACCCATTCGGCCACAAAGAGAAAACTCGACGCCCCGCAGCCTTCCAATTCCTCCCAGGTTGCTAAGCGACCACGCCAGCATGAGACCACGGCAGACCGGAATGGACAATTAAAGAGGCAGAAGTCGGTTACCTTTGCCGACACACCCTCCAGGAGCACAAACGCTGGCGTCACCTCCAAGTTTAATACCCCGACAAAGACCCCCAAGCAGAGCAAGGCCAAGAGCAAAGGCCCCGCCAAGAAGGAAAAGCCCCAGGCTCCCACGGACCTCAAGCCTGCTCTGGAGCACCTGAGACTCTGGAAGACGGCTCGTGATAGCTGGAAGTTCAACAAGATCCACCAGAACAACCTCGTCAAGCACGTTTTCGATGCCGATAAATTCCCCGCCGCCGACATCGACGCCTTCTACGACTACATCCAAGACTTGAAGGGCTTCGGAAGGATGCGCCTGCGAGATACTGCTCGGGAGATTAGGGACCAGGACCAGTCTGAGGGGGCAAAGGCCTTCCCCGAGGGAACCAAGGATCTCGAGGCCACCCAGCAACGGTATGAGACGGTACTTGCCAAGTATCTGGAGAACCAACCCGTAGGGACCAAGAGGAAGGGCTTCACAGAGGTTGACTACCTCTCTGATTCAGACGATGACGCCATTATCATCCAGCGCCTCGTCAAGCGCATGAGAGCTGAGCTGATCATTGAGGAGCTGTCCGACAGCGATGACACTGAGACCAGCACAACCTCCTCTCAGACTATCACCGCTAGCGACAACAACGCCACGACGACTACAGATGCTGATAAGCGTGTCAAGCTCAATGACGGCTCTGGAAAGCGGAAGCGGAAGTTGCGTGTCAACTTGGACGACAGCGACACTAGCAGCTCTGAGTCGGAATCTGACTCTGATTCAGAAAGCGACTCTGATACGAGCAGTAGCGGAAGCTCGTCGTCCGAGTCTGAATCGGAGAATGAAGGTCCTGCTCGGCCTTACCGACGTCCAGGTGAAGAAGACTCGAGCGACTCTTCATCGTCTTCAGACGACACCAGTTCGGAGGAGGACTCGAGCGAGGACGAGTCAGATGACGAGTGAAGTTGATGATACCAGGACACCATGCCATGATAATGAGGGATGATGAGTGTCGGCGTGGTGAGATTGGACAGGCTGTAACAATTTTGTTTGAATACCAGTTCCCTGTTAGATACCCGCGGAACCTGTTTGTCACTCTGCTTGCAGTGGCTTAGTTACTTTTGGATAGGATGAAACATAGATGGATGCTCCAACGAGCACTTTGATAACGGGCTTGCAAGACGCACCTGGCGTTTATTGTGTAAGTGAACCTAGCTGTACAGTTTCGTGAAGCCCTCTGTAGGCGGCTGGAGCCAGTTCTTCTCGTCATAGTCCCTCTCTTGTCCCTCGATGATGTGGAATGTGTAAATGATCCTTCCCTTCTGGCTGGTGTTCCTCTCGCTCTTGTGCAGCAGGTTGCCATGAATAAGAACCAGATCACCAGCCTTGACCTCTCCCGGAACGTACTCGGCCTTGGATTCTGGCGCAGCTCCTCCGTATCCATCCTTTGCCGGGAACCGCGGGCCCTCATTGTCCACCATCTCGGTACCAACATTACCAGCCTTTCGCACCAACCTCTTTTCCACAGGCGCCCAGCGGTGCGATCCAGGTAGGAAACTCAGACATCCATTCTCAAGCGTCGCATCCTCAAGAGCATACCAAAAGCCAACAGCGGAAGGTGGGTTTGTGTACAGAAAAGTCGAGTCCTGGTGAGGAGGCACGGCACCACCAATCTCGGGCTGCTTGCAGATAACCATGCTCTGGAGGCACCGAGGATCCTTGAAGCCGAGGCTCCGGGCGACTGCCGGCGGGCTGACGCTGCCGGCGTCATGGTCAAGCAGACGGGCGAAAGGCGGCGATAGAGCATGCAAATAGTGACCAATCTTGTTAACAGCCCGGGCCTTGGGCTTGACGAGCTTGCCATCGTCATCAAAGGCGTCCTCTTCGAAGAAGAAGCGGACCTTGTCGCCAGAACTAAGGAAGTAGTCGTCGCCAACGTGGTCGCGCTTCTCTCCGGTCGAGAACCGGGTCAAAGGGTGGTCATCGAGGGAAAAGGAGTCGAGAAGGCGATGAGTTTCGTCTAAGAGGGAGGTAACGGTTGAGCTGGAGAGGGCTCCCGGGAGGATGAGATATCCATCACGGTTGAAGGCGTCGAGCTGTTCGGCCGAAAGTCCAGGCGTCGATTCAGTTGCCATTTTGTATGTCTGTTTATATGCGCCGTGATGTTACAAGTCGAAATGGGGATATGGTGAAAGCAGCCGGCAAGTGTCGTTAAAAGAGTTGTAGGTGTTAAGATGAGGTTGGCGATAAGTGAAGTTGATATCTTTGGTTGTGAGTGGCACAAGGTGGGGGAGGGGTCAACCCCGCCTGCAACATCACTTGGATGCCTCACGCCGAGGCAAACAACGTCGAGGCCTCCCAATGCGAAGCTCGATCTATTCGCACTAGTACTAGGTTTCGATGAAAGCCTACCTAATAGCTGGGTGAATAAAAGAGACATCCAGCATGATACACATTCACAATCTTCAGTGACCGACCTAACCGTAAGATAGAGAGTGACAAGATACTCTATAGGAATTATCCTAATTATTTGATCTTCTTATCCTAAGTTAGGATTATGAGAGTCAAATGGAATGATGAGACGCTGATAGGTATTTGCCTAAGCTTCGCCTTAAAGGCATGTCGACCACTACCTCGCCTGCAAGCCTGAAGCTGCTCTCATCCTGCTTACTCCACATCATTAAGTCCATCACCCTGCTCCTCTATGTTCTCGTCGTCACCACTACTGCGAGTGGGAGCAGTGGAAGGTGATGCCTGCACAACCCCATGAACGGACTCGTACTAGCGAACTTAAGCAACAAGGCTATTCAGGGTGCTCTCTAGTCGGGCAAGTCGATCATGGTCGCGTCGGCACGCGGCGGCCCCTTGCTGAAGGGTGCCTATGTCAGACTGCGCTTGCCGGACGGTGCTCTCGATCGCGGCGATGTTGGTCTCCATGTTCGTCAATTGCTTTTTTGTTGTTAGTATCTGGGAAGCTCAATGCGAAAGATGAGATATTACTTACAGGACCCATCGGAACCATGTTAGTGTTGAGTGCAGCTCGAATGCACGTGGCTGAACTTCTCGGTAGAAACGCTTGGGTAGAGATGAATTGCGCTTCTGTTACACAAATTGAGTCAGATAAAATATAAAGGCAATGCAAAAGGACATACATTGTGGGTAGCGGGCAGAGGACATCCAAAAGAAACTCCAAAAAGAACCAAGAGGAACCAAAACAAAAGGAACCAAAAAGAACCTAAACACAAGGTGCCCCGAGTCAGAAGACAGCAAAGGCGCAAACGCCGAAAGGAAGAGATGTAGCGAGCCGGTTGGGAGGATGAGTTGGACGGAAGATGGTAAAGATGAAAGAGGAACAGAGGAGGAGAAAGACGAAAGTAAGAGGAAAAGTTGTGTGCCCCTAAGTCTTAGGATCCTAGGGCAAGGCACATCCTCTCCCGCTCCTGGGTCCTAAGACTTACCTAAAACTACCTAAGTATATGTGCTAGAACCGAGCCTCTCTCACCTTCCCAAGTAACATCGACGACGAGTGCTGAGCCAATGACCCAGACGTGATTGGTGACAGCGCCTTGGGGAATGTGGCTGAATAGAAGAAAGGGGATGCTCCGAGCTAAACAAAGACGCGCAATTGCAGTCAGAAAAGAGATGAAGCCCTCAAGAAGAGGAAGTCAGCAGTTTTTCGAAGTGTCTATGACCAGGCTGGCGACAGGAGTGGCTATCGAAGACGAGTTGCCGTACATAACAGGAGCCCTTTAAGGAGAATAAGCTGGTGCCTTAAACCTGATTCAGCTTATGGAAGCTTAAGAAAAGTGAAACAACATTATGAGATGTGTATTTTGGCACCAGATGAGTGGAGGCTGAGAGCTGTATCATATCCTTCGTGTAAGTGGACAGTGCGTTGCAGAAAATGACACTGTCCTCTTGAAGTGGGTCTGAACTTTTTTTCGTGATGCCTCTAGCTCGTCTTAAATCTTTCACGACGCCAACTCTCATCACCGTGACACACTCTTTCTTCACCCTCGTACGTGACTCTACGGGTGATTCAACATGGCACCTATCGAAGAGACTGGCGATCAATTCGCAGTCCTCCCCATAAAGATCCCAGCGACGCCATCCTACCCAGAAACAGCCATCCACGAGGTTCGCGTCCGACGAAATGCGCCCAAGATCCCAACGGCAAACGATTCACGAAGTCTGTTCCTGAAGAACATCCCCGTGGACAGCACAGAGCCGCACTTTCGCGCTGTCTTTTCAGAGCTTGTTGGCGCCGGGCGCTTCGAGAGCATTGTCTTCGAGGACGAGACTCGGAGGGCGCTCCCAATCGATCCCGCGCAAGCCATAAAGGTCACGGGTTTTGCGCGCAAGAGGAAGCGCGGTGACGTGGAAGCAGAGGAGCAGGACCGTGAAGAGCAGGCGGCTCAGCTGCCACAGATCTGGACTCGTCGAGTCCAGCGGAGTAGTAGCACAGCCATCGTGCTTCTCGCCGACGACAAGAGTGTGCAACTGGTGCTCAAGGCTCTCGCGAAGCTTCAGAAGACAAAGAAGTATCCATCATGGGGCAAGGGCGTGTCTGATGTTGTCCCGGCTCTCGGCTCTTCATGGATTGCCTCCCATCTACAGCTCTCGCGTGTCGACAAGCCAGCCACCCAGAAGGCTGTGCACGCCTTCTTCAACACCTTCAACCGCAAGGAGAAGGAAGCGGCTGAGCTGGCCAAGCGCCTCCGCAACGAGCCCGACGAAGATGGTTTCGTGACAGTGACGCGTGGTGGACGAGCTGCTCCAGCTAGCCGTAACGAGGCTGAGGAGGCCAAGAAGCGAATGATTGAGAAGGACAGCAAGAAGAAGTCAGAAATGAAGGACTTCTACCGCTTCCAGATGAGAGAGAGACGGAAGGCTGAGCAGGTGGCACTGCTCAGGAGATTCCAGGAGGATAAGAAGAAGGTGGACGCGATGAGGGAGAAGAGAGGCAAATTCCGGCCTGAAACATGAAGTCAATTGAGTCAAGAGAGAATCAAGTAAGTCAGCCTGGTGTTTCTTGTCCTTTGACTTGCCCTATGATCTTTCATGATGACGTCGCGGGGCCATCGAAGCATGAGAGAAGTTTGAGGCAACTCGAGCTCCTCTCTGGGTGCCGAAAAAAACCGCGATATTTTAATCTTCTCAACTTGTCTGAGATCTTTTCATTTTTCTTCACTTTAGTGCCGGCCTTTCTACCCTGATAGGAGCTAACTCGGTGGCACAGTAGAATACCGGCTTGACCGGGGCAGAGGCTCAAGTCAAGTTGCCTGGTAAGCTGCATATGTCCTCTGGACGACGACTCGGTTCCATCTGCATGGTGAGAGCCGCGCTGTGGAGAGGCAAAATTTTGACAGATGCCTCCACTACGGATGGAGGCAGAGACGAACTCCTTTGCCAGGCTTCTCCTCAACAACCGAGAAGAATCCTCACGACGGCCCACATGAGGGGATTCCAATGCTACATAGGGGTCCAGGACCCCCAGGAGCCCCAGCAGCCCTAGGTGGGGAGAAACGGTTATCAGGGTAACCCTTGAGGCCGTTGAGCCGTTCCGGCAGCTCGGGTGTTAGCCTTGAGGCTCGTGTGGGCCGGTCACGATGACAAGTGAGGGGGAAGCTTGGATTGGATCCGACGATTGATCGGGCATTGACAGCTGGAGAGGTGTGTAGACGTCAATATAAGCCCCTGCATTGACCACTTGTACCAATTCTTTTTCTGGACTGCTTCGTGTTTTTGTGTCGTGTCTTTTGGCCGTCTCAAGTCAAGGCCTTTATGTGAGGACAACGTCATGATGGACGGGTCCCCTGCAGCAAAAATGTTTGTTGTCTTGACCGCCTCGACCCATTGACCCCTCCGCTCACCCATAGACGCACGTAATAGCTGTGTCTGCTGCATATGGCCCAGTCTCTGCCGTAGAAACGCTGTGATCTGACCGACGGTCTTGTTGCCCAACATGGCGCTCTAGTCGGACGAGTGGACCTGTCGACCCAGGCGACGGCCCGCGGGCAAGACCCCATACTCCAGTTCCAAGGGCATGCGGCTCGAGGGGAGCAAATAGATCATCATGTTCATCCTGCAGTGCCAACTGTCGAGGCTTGTCCCGCCACAGAGTACCTTGAGACCCTGGTAGAGGTGCGGCCTGGACCTTGGGAGCTGGGGCCTTGATGCGGCCCCTGCCTTAGTCATCCGTCCACTTCCTTTGTTCTTCAATGGCTTGGCCACTCGATTTGTTTACTTTGCAACCCCACATAGCAACCAACCCAAACAAAGGAGACCGACCAGGAGCTTCAGCTTTTTCTGCTATATGCGCATTCATTCCCGATCGTTGGGCAGTTTCTTGAAAGAAAGGTCACATCGAAATTAGATTAGGGACATGAGTATCGACGCTCGACATTGCTTCAGTCTCTTCCCTAAGCATGATCGACACCGACAATCTTCGTACAGCGTCGCTGTACATCAACAATCAGCTCCTCTCGAGAGGACTTCTTCGCGATGGCCAGAGCATTGACTTTGCCAGTCCGGCAATGTTTGATGATGAAGCTGCCGCGACAATGGGGCGCATCGTGAGCGTCCTCAACGACTTGATTCTACGGCGCGATGTATGTTGCCTTTTCTCTTCTGCTGAACGTCTACTGACTAGCTCAGCGCGACGCCGAGCATCGCGAATCGCTCTCTGCAACCATGCGAACCCTCCGCGCCGACAACCTCAAGCACACAAACGACATTGCGCGCCTAGCAGAGAAGCACACCGAAGCCAAGAGGAAGCTCGACATCGCCGAGGCGTCCGAGACCTCCCTCAAATCGCAGATGAAGTCGGCTGATGCCGCTATTCGCGGCTTGAAAGAAGAGGTTGCTCGCACAAAGGGATTGGTCGCCCAGGCACGCGCTGCTTGCGCGACTGATGTGCGTCGTCGCGATCGCCAGATTGATACCCTCAAGAAGCAGCTTGGCGAAGCTGGTCGCGCTCGAGGAGCTCGAGGAAACCCTGCCGTGACCTCGATTATCGTCACAGGAGATGTTGGCGAGCAAAAGTCGTCCCCAGCGCGAGGAGGAAGCACACAATCGGATGACTATGATCTGCGCAACGAGACAAACTGTTTCCTGGCCAAGCTGGCCCAGAACCTTAGCGAGGAGAACGAAGCCATCTTGACCATAATGAGGAGGACGATGAAGCAGCTACGCAACATGAGCGGATGGAGCAACGAGAACGAGGATGGCCTCGTCGTTAAGCAAGAGGGCTGGGAGGACATGGCCGCAGAGCTGGACTCTGTGTTGGACCACATGCGGACGATCCTCACCAACCCGTCCTTTGTGCCCATCGAGGAGGTCATGGTCCGCGAGGAGGAAATTAGCCGTCTCAAGGACGGTTGGGTCAAGATGGAAAGCCGCTGGACTGAGGCTGTCCATCTCATTGATGGCTGGCGCAAGCGAATGGCCGCCAATGGAAGGCCCATCTGCGAGGAGGAGCTCCAGATGGGTCTTCGACTCAGCCCTGTGCGCGTTAGAGACGTGGCAGAGACAAGACAGGCGGTTGGACTGAGACTCTCGGCTGTGGCTGAGGAACCCGAGGACGATGGCGACGTCATGAACTCGCCGTGTCCTTCGGCGCACCGCTCTCCTCATATGCAGACCATCGATGAGTATGACCAGGACGACCACGAGAGCGACCCCGAATCCGATTTTGACGACCATGTCCCTGTGGAAGAGTACGATGTGGAGGAGCCCAACGTTCAGATCCTTCAGCAGTCAACAGGAGTGCCCTTTATGCAGCATGGGCCCGACTCTTCACCACTACCAGAACCTCCTCAGATGACGCCTCTACGAGATTCTGCATCAGCAGGCAACCGTGGCTCTGCACGAATCAACAGACATCCCAAGAAGCATGGTGACTATACCACCATTGTCGAGGAAGATACCTGGGAAATGGCCGGATTGGCTGATCCTCTACCCATCCGAGCCAACCGGGATCCTCTGGACCGTGTCTCCTCTGCTTCGTCACTCGAAGAAGTCCTCTTGGTCAAGTCCCCTGAGCCTGCGCCTCAGGTGAGCGAGACAAGGACATCTACTCCTCGCCGAGGAAGTCCCCGACGCAGTGATAATAGAGCGTCTACACCCCAGCAACAAACCCCTCGTCGCAGTGACAGAGCGTCTACTCCTCAACAACAGAGTCCTCGACGAAGCGACAGGGCTTCCACACCTCATCGAGACAGCCCTCGACGCAGCGTAGATCGACCCGACTCTCGATCAGGGACTGCGCCGCCATCTCCTAACCGCTCCCCACGCCGCACCGCCTCCCGCCTTCCATTGCCTCGAAACATCGACCCGGCCCCTCAACAGAGCCCTCTCACAATGGCCACCATTGCCGCCAAGCTGGCTGCTTCTGAGCGCGAGGCCGATGCTGCCCGGGTGCGGGCGAAACTCCGCGCTGCTCGTGGCACCCGTGGCGTCAAGAAACCCACCATCACCAGGTCACAGCCAGAGCCAGAGCAGACCACACAAGAGCAAAGCTCTCCAAGAAACGGGCTAGAGGACGTGGATCCCGTCAAGAGGGATCCCACGCCACCAGCAGATGAGCATCAACTCAAGCCTGAAAAGAGACGGCGTGAACGACGAACAAGCAAGACGGCCTCACGGCGGAGGAGCACCCTAAGCCCTTGGGAGCTGGAGAGCTTGATCACAGGAAAGGTGCAATAGTGATGGGAAACGAAAAAGAAGAAAAAAAAGGGCTTTTCACGTATTGATGACGACGATGCTACGAGTTTGTACGCCTGGGATATCCTTGGGAAAGCTTGGAGCGAAACGAAACATTGGTCTGGCGTTTGGGTGTAAAAGGGGGGATTGCGTGGGCTCATCGACAAAGGGGCCAGTCAAATATGTAGTTTCTCTAATGCATGAGACAATGAATGACACGGGGCGGAAGTTTGTATATCTAGATATTGAGATACTCAGCTAGTTTCTTGGCAATACAACACCTGTCTATATGCCTCATCTGCCCCTAGAAACCGGGAGATATTTATGTGATGAGTTGAACCGGCGTCACGTTGATCTTCAATAGGTACGTAATCATCAATTCCTAAGAACACTTGACAAGAAAATCATCATCCGCGCCTGTCCTCCGTCTGTCTGAGCTCAGAGCTGGCGCATTTGTAAAAGATAGCTTGCCCCTTCCCTTCCCTTCCAGCTTTGCATAGTCCTCATGTTCACATCAAAAGCCAGTAGTAGCATAAAGATCCAGCCCTCAAAGCCCCAATTCTCCCTTAACTCCAATACCAGTCAGTGAGTAGAACCATCCCTCTTCCCTCTACAGCGTGGGGGCCGTGGCAATGAGGGCAGACATGACAGCAACGCCGCCCAGTGCTGCGTAACCGACCACCTCGGCGACACGTCGAAGACGTTTGCTTGGCGGGGCTGCTGCTGCCGCTGGCGTAGAAGCTTCAGCGCGAGCCATCTTGTTGAAACGGCGTCTGAACAGAAGTTGGGTACGGCGCGATCGCTCGCCTCGGAGACGCGCTTCAGCCCGCTTCTCCTCCTCCGGTGTAAGCTGAGAAATGTCGTCGGCCTTTCTCTTCGAAGATTGAGGAGTCTCTGGCAAGTCGTGTGACTCCTCGGGTAGCTTGGGCTCAGCATGCTCAACATTGTGAGCTGGTTCTTCAGCGATATCGCTGGAGGGCACGGCCTTCTCATCAGTTTTCTCGTTGCCGCCCTGAGTCAACTCCAAGGGCTCCTGTTCTCTCTTGTCCGCAGTATTAGCATCAAGACCACCATCGACATCATCCATGGCATCAACAATAGCTGCAGGAGCATCCGTGACGACATCATCGATGCTATCAACAGCACCATCAGCAGCACCATCATTGTTCTTCTTGCTGAGGGAGTACTCATAGGCAGATGATGCCTCCAGAGCGGGCTCTTCTGTGGAAGAAGGCACCTCGGGCTCCTGAGGGGGCGTGTTGAGGAACTCGGCACCAGACTTTGCTAGGTCAGAATCAACCAGCTGGAGTCCTTCGTTAGTGTCGCTGTTGTGCGTTTCCTTCTTTCGCTTGGAGAAAGACGGAACTGGACGCAAACTCTCTTCTTCTAGAGCATGCTTGCGGGGAGGCCTCCGGGAATCTGGGCTGGAAAGAGAAGGACTCTGGGGGACTGGCAGTGCTGTATGGAAGCGGGGCTGAGGCAGCTGCGAGCTACTTGCCATGGACAACGAGTTGGCCTTGTTTGCTTCGCGAGCAGCGAAGAATTCGGGCTTTCCTGTCTTCAGACCCAGCATCTCGGCTCCCGACAACCCCTCCTGGTAAGGGCGGGAGAACAATGGCTGTTGGGGAATAGTCTCCGAGATGGAAGGCAGCCTTGGGTGCACAACCAGGTTCCGTGGCAGGACGGCGATGGGGAAGGGGTTCAAGAGGTAATCCATCTGGGGCTTGGCTGTTCCACGGTTGACTGGTTGAGATTGTTCCGGTGCCGGTGCTGCCAAGGGCGTGGCCTGAATCTCCTTGGCAAAGCTGGGGATTGAGGAAGTCACAGTTACGCGGCTCCCGGCTTGCGAAAACTCCCAAATGTGGCCGGCGTCCTCTGGGTCCTCCTGGTCCTCCTGGTCCTCCGGATCATCCGACTCGTCCAGAGGGTCTTCGCAGTTGTCTAAAAACAAGTCAATACTGGCCAGAGCATCGAATTCTTGGTGATCCATACACTCGTCCTCCTCGAACTCATCACGCTCCTCAAAGTCTCGCTCGCTCATGTCGTCCGAATCTTCCTCTATCTCATGCATGAGGACAGACACGGGAGAGAATCCAGCGCTCTCGTCATCAGATTCAGTTCCAGGCAAACTCTCCGTATCCATATCTGTCGACTGTGTCAGGTTGAAATCGTCGACATTTGAGAGTGACCAGGGGCCACGGGGCGAGTGAGGAGCATCATATTCGGAATCCTCCGTCGGGATAGGAACAGATACGTGAGCCTGAGTTCTCGTCACATCTGAATCAGGCTTTGTGATGGGAGAAAACAAAGCCTGGTGATCTATCTCACCCCTCACGTTGGACAGGGGATATTGATCCTTGGTCGTCAGATCGATTGGGGACTCGCTGGGAGACGATGCAGGAAATGCGGCGGGGAAAATCTTCATGGTTCGCAGGACTTCGTAGCTCTCGCGGACTTGTTCGTCTTTCTCGCTGTCCGAATATTCCACGTCAGTGTCATCAGGAACACTGAAAACCTTGGGTCGATCCTCAGGGCTGAGGGGATGGTTAGCTTTTCGGATTAAATGGGAAGGGGCAGAGCTTACTCGACGGTGCCGAATTCTAGCCGGGCCTTCATCGTGCAGGGAGGATATCGTTCCATGCCTCTCTCAATGGGAATTCCAAACTTTACCATGTCGCCGGTGGTCACGGTGGAGTAAGAGCCTCGAAGCAGTCGCTGCTCGTTCTTGAAGGTGCCGTGGAGGGATCCGTTGTCCTTTATGTACACCTTCTGTTGAAAGGCCACATCAGCATAGGAAACCACAAAGTTTAAAAGAAAAGCTTACCTGCTTGTCGACGTCAAGCTTGAGTTCAGCATGCGTGCGGGACATGACAGCCGAGTCGAACCATGCATTGTTCTTTGCAGCCTCAAAGGTCGAGTTTCGCTTGCTCGTGCGCCCGATCGCAATGGTAGGCTTCTCTTTGGTGAGGAAGAAGCGGCGATCAGGAAAAGCGAAGTCGGATGGGGGGTCGATGCTTTCGAGCGTGACCAGCACTGGCAAGGGTTAGGAGATGCTTCGACACTGGAGGATATTGGGGTTAGATTTTGGAGTTTCACCATACCTTCGTCGCGATACTGAGGCACCGCCATTCTGATTAAACTCGGAGCGCGATGCAGCCGTGAACACGAAGAGGTCAAGATGTGGTTGATTTATCAAAGTGGTGATGGGGGTATCTCGACGCAGCGCAGTGCAGTGCAGGCGTCTCCCGCTGAGGCGTACAGGTTAACGACGTCAGCGGGGCCGAGGATGGGGCAGGTAAGGCAGAGTAGAGTATGAGGCCGAGACCATGCGCAAAGGAAGAAGAAGAGGCCGCGGAGATGAAGATGGAGGGAATGAGGAGAAGATGAGAAAAGAAGGCACAATCAAGATGAATGCAAGAGTAAGAGAGGGCGAGCGGATAGGTGACTTGTGAGGTGCTGAGAAGGGTCGAAGGTGAATCCGATCGAGGTGGGGCAGAGGTGCTGCGGTATCAGGCAGAAGGCAGACAGGTGACTGAGGGAGGTCCCGCAGGCAGCGATAAGCGGCTTATCGGAGCTCGGCGGGGGAGGTAGTTGGGTGGAGGGGTGATTGCGCACAGTGTGGCACACGGTTTGTCGAAGGATGCTGGAACGACTTTCTGCCTTTTGTCTACCTATGGAAAGCAATGATATTTTATCATGATAAATTGATCTTGGTTAATATTTAACATAAAACCTTTTCATCCAATACTTACTACAAACTTGTGCAATTAATGACTGCTATCACTTGACATCATACATTCCGATATGCTGCTGGTATGGTACAGTGTAAACAGCCTGCTTGGGAGCTCCCTTCACACGGAGACCACCCATGTCCCTGGCTCGGAGCACCTGGATGTCTTGAAAGTATAACAGCTCCTACCTACCTCAGTCCCGGGTAAGCTGGCATTCAGTACACGGAGAAATTATTCTTAGAATTATGACTTCTTAAGAAGAGAGTTCATGTCGCCTTTTCTTTGGGAGGCTTAAACAAAGAAGCCCCATCGTTTAAGAGCCCGAGTGTTGGGAGCTTCTCAGTGCAGGGAGTCCATACTTTAAGTGGTTTTAGGGTCTCAGCAGCTAAGCCTATTAGCTTGGCAAGTGGGCGTATGCATGGGGGCGCACTGTACATGACAGCACGGACTGCCGAGACAGCCTCGATTTAGACGGATGAGGAGATGGATGATTCTCTCACTCGGCTTGAATTGCAATCTACCTGGATGGATACACAGGGTACGAGGCCCCTAAAAACACAAACTTCGAGTATAAAGTCCAGGACTCGGTTCAAGTAAGCGGGACTTTGCATTTTACCTCAGCGAGCAACCAGAGCTGACATGATGGGTTCGATGCGAGGGTCGGACCGACGGTAACGAAGCAAACAGGCAGGTCTAGGACAGAGATACCGCACAGTACGCAAATGGATCACAAAAGACGATGGATGGTATCTGTAAGTGGGCTACGGATTTCAAGCTAACATAAATGCGGCATGGCAGGTCGCTCTGGAGCCATCTCATCAATAATGCTACTGTAGATGATGAGCACCTGATGCTCGCTTGCTATCTGAAGTGGACTCCCTCCCCCGCCGCGCCACCACAACACCTATCCATCTCGACCACTGGCCAGTTGACTCAGGCTCAGGCTTCAAGAGGGGAATATGGTTCGCAATAATCGTAAAAGGCATCTCCCTTGCGTTGAGTGATGCGAGCATGACCGTGCAAACCGGCAGGCTTTCACATACGGCATAAAGCCGCAATCAATGAATATGGTTCACGGCCAACCCTGGCCCCTGAACAGACAACTCGATGCGGCCTCCGGATTGAAGCCTCCGTGCTCGAGCCGTTCTATGGCCAGTTTCACAAGGCAAACCCCTTGCTTCCCTATCCCCTGTTTCCTGTGGCATTTCTTGTCCGTCGCCTATTGAAAAGCTACACGCCCCGATTCCCGCCCTCCACGGATGCCAACTCATTCAGGCCCGAAAGAAAGCGACTTCAGCTCACATCCAGAGAAAAGCTTGTCACATGTCGGCTGACGAGCCAGCGGAGTAACGCTGCCTGATGACCCAACAAGACAGCCTGAGAACAGACACGAGCTCATCGACTGGCCATGAGCGCGCAATTTTCTGTCTCATCGTCCCGTGCTTTTTCGTCGGCTTTTCCGCCCGGAATCAGAGCAGAAACCCATCTCGGCTGGTCGTGACAACGGCCTAGAACCCTATTCCTCCCGGGGCTTGCTTCTGCTGTTCAGGTGGTCTTTTGCCAATAACTAGCGGCCCGCAGTCACACCACCGCCTTCATCGCCAGTTTCCTTCTCGCCCGGACAAAGCCGCAAAACATCGCAGGATATTCTTAAGCGATAACGGGAATTTGGTAGTAGATGTGCACATATCTATCAGCCAGGGATCCAGTCGCGTAAAGTGATCATCGATGACGCTGTTCAAGACAAGGGTTATTGATGGGAGGCACTTGCTAACGAGTGGAGCAGCGGGCGAGTGGGACGAAACAGCGGGGGCTGCCGGATGTCTCTAGCGGTTCCCTGACCCTTTTTCTGGGGACAGGCGTTGGATGTTGTCATGATGGGGCCAAGGTCAAGCCCAGGAACAACGGCTTGAGAAGCCTTCGTAGGAGAGGAACTGGCAAAGATCTCACAAGCAACTTGGGAGTCATCGCCCGAGATCTAAGGGAATCTAGAAAGCTCCAGGTACGCTTATCTAGACGCATTACCAAGCCCATAACTGTCGTGCATGATTGCATCCAGTGATGCATGACAACCAGACGTGGACAGACAGCTTCGCCGGGGTTCGCCACTGGAGCCCTGACATTTCTCAGCGGCTGATCTTGACTGGCTCGTGCTCTGGGCCCTGACCCAGGCCCCCTTCCCGGACCAGGCCAGGGTCGCCACACCAGCTCACGTTCCTCCGCCACGCCACAACCCAGTTCTCCTTGATTTAAGAAATATTCATCTCTGTGCGCTTCCAGTCTTGTTCTTCTGCTCTCTCCCTTTTTCAACCCACAAGGTGCGCCTCTTTGTTAACACCTATCCCCGAAACTCTGATCGAATCACCCTCATGGACTTTATGCCTCGCTACGCTTATAAAGTTGTCCAAGCCCCCGTCTATTGTTCCCATCTCAGTCGACCCAGACCGAAAGCCATACCCAAGTGACAGAGTTTGTCAGACTCTTTCACGACGAGGATCACTTGCCGCACAGCTTTCGACTTGCTGAAACGCTATTAAACTTGCTTATATTCTGGCTACGCCCTTTGCAAGTTTTCCTCGTCGGCTTACACATTACACAACTCTTCAGCATCACTCAACAGACTCGTCCACGGACCATCCCAGCGAATCCACTCGAGCACTAATTAATCGATTTGCCAAGCAACCACCGACAAAATGATGAACCACGCCCGAGTCAAGGCCCTCAAGGGCGACGGAAAGACCGTCTCCAAAAAAGCCATCAAGTCTGGTCGCGCTTCTGCTAGCCAGACCCCTCGAAGCTCCCCCTTCGCCTCTCTTCTGACGTCACCTGCGCATTCCACAGCCCCCAGCAGGGCCGCCTCTGACCTGAGCGAGGACGACTACGATTTTGACGACACTGTTAGCACGCATTCCGGTAGCTCTCTAGTCGAAACCAACGAGGATGGTACCAGCACCTTTGACGCCAAGCAGCTCATCGAGGAGCTTCAGGATCGCAAGCACAACAACAGCGACACCCGAAACCAGCTATTGGAATTGTACATCAAGGTTCTTCGAAGTCGCTACGGTCCCTCCACACACGAATGGCTTGACGAGTCGGCCAATGCCCTCGCCGAGCTTTTCCTTCGAGGCGCCAACCGTGGACTGGAAGCCAGGGAGCGTCTGCTCAACTTGCAGTCATACATCCTGACCCTGAGCACTACCGAAGACGCCGACGTTTACGAGCATGCCGAAGCAACCCTCAAGCAGATTGTGGCCGACGACGATGACGAGGAATGCAAGGCATATGGCATCTACGCTCTGTGCTTTACAGCGCTGTATGGTGGTGGCGGCGAGAATGAAGCTTTGGATCTGCTCGACTACCTGAACACCATCATCGAGTCTGATGGTGAACACATTGATGCTTATGACAATGGCTTCATTGTTGCAGCAGCCCTTCAGGGCTGGGCCTTTGTGGCCAGTCATGTTGATGACTTTTCCTACGCGGCGCTGATGGCCCTGGACGGATTCTACGATCAGCTGGACAGTGTCGACGTCGGAGTCCAATCCAACGCTGCAGCATGCATCGCTCTCATCTTTGAAGCGGCCCGAAACCATGAAGAGGAAACTGGAGAGACCTGGGAGTTGCCCGTCAACCCCGAAAAGCTTACTGGTCGCATGACAGAGCTCGCCAAGCAGAGCTCAAAGTCTGTTTCCAAGAAGGACCGTCGTGACCTTCGTGATAGTCTCATCAGTGCTATCACCTCTCTTGAGAAGGGAGTCGGTCCCGGGTACTCGTCCGCTGGATATGCGCCCCAGAAGAGTGATAAGAGGCCTACCAACAAGACGAACGAGGATGGTGTAGTCGAGTTTGGATACCGCCACAAGCTCCGCCTCGGCAACTACGTTGCCGTGATCGACTCGTGGTCACTCTCCTCTCGGATCAACATGATGAAGCTCATTTTTGGTGGGCATCTGCAGAAGCACATCTTTGAGAACCCAGTCGTTTCAGAGTGTCTCAGTGACGCTGACTTTAGCGACCAAGGTCCCGTGGTTAAGAAGCCCGCGAAGAGATAAATTCAGAATGGATGGAGTATTATTGGGTTGTTTTTTTCGTTGGCGTTCTTGTTGGGCATTTGAGCGAGAATCAGTCTCGCTGTAAAGTACATGACCACGAACCATCTCGTAGGTACAGTTATGTCGGTTTCCCAAACCTATGTGTCCTAGAGACCATAGAGACTTGGACTATGCAATATATGTTTTATAGGCATTATTTAGTTCAAACAGTTTCTTTACAGTTCCACTTTCGTGTGTGCCGCCGTTCAGTATACCTACTTCCTCAACCACTGGTTTCTACAATGAACGTTCTTTTCCATATGCATGGCAGTTATTGTACAACCTTGCTAAAGCTTCGTACAGTTTCTCACTTGTCATGCATCAAGGCAATTAGGCACAGTGATCAGATGTTCACCCAAGGCGACACTTCTTCCCCCAACTATGGGCGTACTCTTCATGATGGAGGACTTGGCGCACCGGGTCCCCACTCTGGTTCATGAAGGCCATCACGCATCTTTCCATGTGGGTGTGGCGAGAACACCAAGTCTTAGTTGATATGCCGTTTTGCTTACATGGCACCTCATCTGCGGCGAGATCGACCGCATATCATGGCCCGTTGTGTGTTGTATTGAGTATTGGTGAGGGAAAGGTTAAGGTGTTGCTTGCAGGTGCCATTGGGTCACCAGATGAATGCACACAATCATAATGTATTAATACTGATGTCTTTCTCTCTATGTAAAGAATCCAACCGAAACGCCATGCCCTTTCTTATTATAGTGACCTAGACAATTAATGTGCGTAATGAAAAACCGTCCAAGGACGTTGGGTAGAGATGCTCTCTTAAGCATCGAGCGGGTCCGCCAAGAAATCGTAGCCCTCCTCGGGAGGAAGAAGATACGCTGAGAGGACAAGTCCTGCGGCACCGAGGAGGCAGATGATGGCGCTGACAGTGCTCAGATAGAAGGAGGCGTCCAGATTCCATCCAGGGATGGTGAATTGGTCGTCGTTATCGTAAAGGTAAGCCTTCCCTAGTTAGCATATCCTTCATGTTCCTGAAACCGGTGGACTTACAACGATGGAGATGGTGATGAATTCAACAATAGCGACCAAAGTCATCATGCTTCCAACAAAAGGCCATCCCGTCTCTCGCTTGTACTTGCCACCGCTCATGATGACGACGAAAGTCACCAAGCCTCCCAAACAGAGAATGGTAGCGAACGAAGCCATGAATCCAACCGTCCTCCACAGAGAGCAAAAGTAGCGCTCCCCTTGACACAACTCCTTGGGTGGAAAGTCCATGCATTGTGGTTCGGTCAGAGTCGAACAACTCTTGTGCAGGCCGATGTGCTTCTCGACAGTCTCGCCGCTAGCGGTCGTGACGGAGTAGCTGACCCAGTTGGGCAGCCAGATCGAAGTCACAATCATGACAGTCGCTGTTGCGCGTTAGTGATGTTCGTCTGGTGATGTTTCACAGAGTGGAGGGTCTCGAACGACGTCATAGAAGATGGCGTGTGGCGGGGGGAGTATGGGGCAAACGTACCGGCCGCAAAGGCTACCAGGGCCGATGTGTAGATGGAGACTCGAGTCATCGCAATATCTATCGAGGCAGCTGTCGTCGAGAGTGAAAAGAGAGGTAAAAGGTTGCGTGGGAGGTGGAAGAGGAAATGTTGGTGCCTGTTGGCCTGTGATGGTCGGCTTGAAACAGGGAATGGGCGCGTGGCTGGTGGAGAGGTAAAGTGGCATCTGTAGGGATCCGGCGGGGTTTGTTGTGGCTTAGATCCTGGAGCATTAAAGAACAAGCGCGCCAGGCACGACAGACTCAAGAGGAATTCCAGCTTGGAATAATAGATAGATAATTGAAATGAACATAGAAATAATTTATTTGGTGTATTTATTGAATCCTTTGCCATTTCATGCTGTGTTGTGTTTACTTATGATGGAGATCAAAGTGAAGTTTACAGCATAACAGATAACAGCTATTTCTGGTGGTAAAAGCGACTTATCAGATAGCGACACATCACTTAAACACCAATGTCAAGAAGCTTGAGGGTGATAATGCGTCAAAGAACAATAAAAGCGGTGTATAAGGAAGAAAGAGAAGCAAGAGACAAGAGAGGATAAATCTTTCAATCTATTCTCGGCTTTCACTGCCAAGGTCCTCGCTTCTCATGAGTATTTGTCGAGCACCAGGCAGAAGATTCTCCCATGACGGCCTCAGGACCCCTGAACAATCTCCATAACTCTGTTAAGCCCTCGTTTATGAAACGAAAATTGCCATATTTACTTCTGGCAAAGCTGTCAGTTGCCTAGCTGAGAAATGGCGTCGAACCGGATCACTCTCCCCCCATCCCGGACAGCAGATGCCCAATTCCTGCAAGATGCGTCTCCCTCAGCCTGGGGGATACTCGTCAGCTGGTACTCTTATCAAGATGCAAAGAGTGAATCCTTCCATGGGATCTTGCCTTGGATACGTGGAGTACGTCCTGTAGGGAGTCCCCCTGTCTGTACGACAACGAAGATGTCAGCAACGGAACAAATATGCTCCCCAGCTGAAGTATCTCAGACAACCTCCCCCGGTGTCAACCTTACGGCTGAGCTCCTTGGGGGGTGTTAGACAAGGGCGCGCCACAATAAGCGACCTTGATCGGTGCTTGCCTGGAAAAGCTGTAACCATCGCGGGTCCAAGAATCTGCCGCGCTGCGGTTAGCCAACCCCGAATAGATCACTCCCACGTCCGCAGACCAGGGCTGTTTCAGACGTCATTGCCATGCTGTCATTTATGGGTGTCCTCCTGTCGGTCACCCGCAAGATGACCTAAAAACGTACATGGCTTTACACCAAGCTGCTTCAGTCGGTGGCTGGCACTACCGACCCAGGATGAACGGAGAGGGCTGAGAGGTCACGTTCCTTGCTCGTCGAGTAGTGGTTTTCTTCTCCCCTTTTCAACTGTTGACCCCTGGTTTATGAGATTCTGACGTCGACGTCAGGACAGGAGCAGAGAAGGGTCGCTCCCTTTACTCGTCTTCTCATATCATGACTGTAAGGTTCCCAAAGTGAGACATGTACACACAGTGCAATGGAAGAAAACAGGATATTTGCAAGAGCATAAAGCCGCTTAGGCAACATTGACCTCAAGGCGCAGCCCATCGAGTAGCCGTTGCAGAGCGACATGACAACTGCGCATCAAAGAGCGCATGCTTGCGTCCTGGAAAGAGTGAGTTATCAATTCTTCCAGGGCCATAAATAAAAAAGAAATGTCTTTTTTTACGACATGCAAAGGAAAAGGCACGTCTTTCAACACCCCGTTATAGCTTACGGGCTTTTGTGGTTGCACATTTTTGTCCTTCCCCCGCGGGTCAAAAAAGAAAGGATTCTGCCTTGGCTGTCGTCGAAACATGCCTTGGCCCGGTGACCCAAAGGGAAGAGATGGTGCAATTCGATTGGGTCCCGTCACTGCGAGTCGACGGAGTTTTCCATCTCGTGCTCTTGATGCGCTGCTGCACTGCCACCCCTCAAGAGTCCCAAGATCTGGGAATTGTGTGTCTGCCCAGACTGTCAACCACCATTTTCGTACTTGCTCTTCAATGCGCTACACTGGCCTGACTCTCATAGCATTTTCGGCATCTCCCGCTTTCTTGTCTGCCCGAGAGTCTGGAACCAAGGGGCCTCCGGCATGACGACGTTCCGGGTGGGGGATGCAGTGAGACATGCTGGATGGTCGGCAGTCGACGATATCGTCTTTTACGAGAAACAAGTGGTTTTTCCTCGGATTAGCTGCCGAGCTTAAATTCCCGTCTTAGTCATACAACTTATTTTACCAAGATTTGTTTGTTCATTACAATTCCCTGTCATCAATGGTGATGGCATCTCCCGCGGAACTCGCAAAACTCCATGCCAGACATGCTCGAACCGTCAAAATGATCTGCTGCTATTCTCGCACAAAAAACCTTGGGTTTCAGCTGAGGATTCTGTGGCATATGACGATTGCGTCTCGATGCTGTCATTGGCCGTAGAAAGGTAGCCACGAAAAAGCCATGTAAGACTCAGCCCAACTCAACTAAGGAAACCAGAGCCAATGGCTCGGCGCCACACAAACGGCGCCCGTTTGATCCCCCTTTCGGCTACCATATTTTTCTTGACCACCAGCCAAGGACTTCTTGTCTATCGTGGTGTCTTGGCCGGTGAGCCACATTGTCGGCTCCTGCATGGACGGGACCAGGACGAAACGAGCCTAGGCAATGCGCCTCGACGCAACTTTCCGTACAGTGCTTGTCCCTGGCCTTGTACTGACACCCTGCCGGACGTTCTGCCTGTTGCTGTGGGATTCTTGATTCTTTCCTGTCTATCTTGTATTAGGCAGCATGGCCGATAACTCAAGACTTGGTTGAGGGTTGCGGGTTGTAAGCTCCATGCAACGCAAGACGGCCTCGCAGAATCTTGTCGACAACGACCCTGGACCAACCATTGAGGAAACATCAGGTTGGTGGCTGATTTTGTCTCGCTGCTAGAGCATCCCTTGTCAAATCTCGATGAGAGGGACCACTAATCTCGTCTTTGATGAAAAGCAACTGCGGCATGTGGACTAGACAATATCAAGCATCAACAGGAGAAATACAGGGAACAATACCAAAACTTGCGCCTCCCTGAAGGTGACCGGGGTGTCCGATATACTCCAACTTTGAAGCTGTCTCGGACAACAAACAACACAGAAGCATAGCCATGAGCGGTGTGTGTGTGCGTTGCAACGGCTCCTCCACCAAGACTGCCTCGCCAAGCTGGACCCTCTCCCACGATGCCCTCGAAATAAGCATCTCACGCGTGGAGGCACTGCCTCTCGGCACATGTGTCATTCACAGCCGTGCAGGTTGCGGCACCCAATGGCTTGGCCGGGCCTCGTCCCCCCCATGTTACCGTCCGGGTGGTGCGCCTTCAACCCGGAACACTGCCACGCTCCCAGGCTATCAGCCCTAAATGATGCAGGCGTTTGACGGCTCTTGACGTGCGGGCTTGAGAGGCTTTCCCGCCGGTTCTAAGATTACCTTCCAATGAGGTTGGCCGTAGGCCCTTTTTTTTCGAGGCCGTCTTTGCTCTGTCTACCCTTTCTCTCTTTTTCGCGAACCCTACCGTACAGTGTGGGGGGAGATGCTACTTTTGTTTCAAAGGCCAAGGCAACCAGCTCGAGCCTAGAGGTCGTCTGGCTTGATGTTTATTTTGAGACACGGTTCTTCTTGATACATTTATTCGCTTGGCGCCCTGGAGACTCTGGCAGCTTTCTCTCTCGTGGCTTCATCACCACAAACGCCTATGTACACTGCGACTCAACAACAGCATCCATGGCCTCCAAGCACCCATTGAGACGGTCGTGTGCCTTTTGCCGGGCGAGGAAGATCAAGTGTTCCAACGAAACCATCTGCGAGGCCTGCCGCAAGCAGGGTGCTGACTGCATCTACGACTTTGAGTCACCACGGTCCAAGGGTCGAAACCCGAGCATTGATAGCAACAAGTCCAATTTGCTACATGTTCGAAGCGATCATGGGTTGCCGGATAGCAAGAGGAGAAGATCTTGCTCTGCTAGCTCCACTCCTTCTACTCCCCCGAAGAACCAAGAGGATCAGGGCGCTCCAGGGGAAGCCTTCGAAAGCATCGCTGCCTCCCTAGAACAAATGTTTCGGGAGAAATTTCCTCACAAGTCTGTCAAATTTACCTCCGAAGAGCAATCCAACTCCCAGCCAAAGTCCAAGGCCAAGGATATCAGGTATACCGGTCTTCTCTCCCTCCTGGCCTACGACCTAGTCGGGCTTGTCGTTGACAGATTTGGCTCCTTGGGATGCTACCACAATGAAGAGAACAGTAGTCGATTCTTCCAGTCCGGTCTGACCAGCGATAATACCCAAAACATGTTCGACAACCTTGTCCAGGGAAGCAACCCCCTTTCCGACTATGGCCAACGACAGCGGACGCAACTGATCGATGTCTGGTACTCCATCCACCCCCTATCTTTCCTCATCTCCAAGACCCTACTTCTTCGGGAGGTTCGCGACGGCACCTGCGACGAGGTTCTTATCGCTGCTATGCTCGCCGAAGCCAGCTTCGTCCTTGGAGACGAAATCAGTGTTGGTCGTGGCCGTGACTTGTTGAAGTGGGCCGAAGCACAACTACAGAACCGTCGACGTCATCAACAGTCCAACGAAGACAACTCTATACATTCGAACATAGCTACGAGGGTATACAAGCGAGTCTCTACTGCACAAGCTTTGGTCCTTCTGGCCTGGAACGCCCTCTCCTCCTATGAGTTTCGTCGGGCAGTCTGCTACATTGACCTGGCTAGCAAGATGGTGACGGAGATCAAAGAATGCATGGCAAGAGATATGTCTCCACCAAACTCCAGTCGTATCAATGGGGTCGATGTGTTGGATGTTGAGAGAGAAGTTGTGACCTATCTCTGGTGGACGACATTCTCCCTGAATCTCTGGACTTGTGTCCAGACGGGCTTCTTACCCGAATCCACTCCCGCTACCTTTACCCTTGATTCCCTTCCTGTAACGGAGGCCTCCTCTATCATCATTCAACTTGATCTGGTATCTGAGAACTTTAGCACGCTACAGAAACAAAAGAGCAGCATGCGCGAGATGTGGCCTCTCGCCCACATTTCCAGCACTGTTGCCTATCTATTCCTTCACACTTCCGACCAGGCGGCAGCGAGACATGGAGTGGGTGTTTGTCGAGAGGCTATCCGCCTTTTTTCGGGCGAAGCAAACAAGGCAGAACAGAAAACGAAGGCGCCCTTTGGACGGCAAGCTGACGATGCTTCACGACACTTGCTCCTTGCATTCCACCATACCATGGCTGCCCAGTTTCTCTTCCCAAAAGCCTTTCGGGATCAGGCAACCATCTCTCCAGATACTGTTGATCAGTTCTGTACGTCGATGGATCAAATCCTTCGATTCCTCTCCTTGACTCCGGAACAGCCTTGCGACCCTATCTCTATCACATCCTCCCTTCACCAGTCCCTCCCCAAAGCTCTTTGCCTCCTTCTTGATACCTGCTCTCGAGCCTTCAACTTTATCCGTGCCAACCTAGGTCTCAGTCTGAACGAGACGTACTTCCACCAGGGGTGGGATGGAAGACTGCATCCTCTTGCAACTCGGTTATACAACATGAGCAAGGACGACCGCTTCCATCAGGGGTCGACGCTTCGCTCCGTGAGGAAGCAACTCAAGACTTGTTCTCGTGCTTTTGGAGCAGCTGGTGCCTCAAACTCTCTTGGCATCCCTGAAGCAAACACGAACAACATGCGCTCAGCGTCACATTCTCCTCAGCACAATGTCCAGGCGCCCGGCTACTTCACTACCGCACCACAGGCGATTGGTGATGCGTCATCCCCCTTCTCATGCATTGAGGATATCTCCAGAGTATCTTCATCTATGCCATCGTCGTCTGGCTCATCAGCGAGCGTCTCGACCCAATCGTTTACTCCTTTCGAGCAAATGAGCAAATGGCCTATTGATGGGGGGTTCTCTCCTGATATGCTGAGCACAAGCACCTTTAGCCCTCCTCCTGCCATTCAGCATGGTGTCACCAATGGATCGGCTATGAACAGTATGTGGTATTCGCAACCTCCGATGATGGACCTCGAGCCCGCCGGCCCGGTCTCGATCCAGCTTGGACAATGGGTTTGGCCACCCACTAGCTCCGAGGAAGCTACATATCTCTCCTTCCAAGCCTTGGATATGGAAGAGGCACCGGAATAGATTGAGCTTTGGAAGATGGTATAAGCCAAGAGGGCCAAGATTGGGACAAGACTTACGAAACTTGATAAAAAAGACGAAAGGTTGAGGCGGGGTTTAGGATCAAGGCTTCTGTAGGGGGGGGGGGGGGCTACCCACCATATGATCTTTGCCTGCTTTCAACGCATAGACTACATCATATAGCACGGGATGCTTCTGCCGCCGGCGGCATTAGGCCATGGAGTTACTGCATGTCATCTTTGGGTACAGCGCGGGCGTGGGGTTTGGCAATTCATGACTTGTACGTATGAAACGAAACAACCGAGGCTGGCACGTCTCTGAAGAAAAACAAAGGGACGAAGAATGATGGAATGAACGCGATCGAGATTAGTTTCTCCAAATTCACCTACATGTTAGATACTTGAAAATCTTGACTATTCTCAAGGCTCACCACCACCACCACCTCCAACACCTCCAACACAGACCAGACCCACCCACAAGAACCAGAAGATATATGCAGTTCGCTCTCAGCCTTCAACACCCGGGTTTAAACACTCAAGACGACCAACTCGCCCAGAGAGGCAAGGCTAGATATCTCTCAAGGCTCGGCACCAGGAGGAATACCGCTGCCTACGCCTCTCCACATCGTCCACGCTGTCACAGAGTCGCAGGAGAAGCCAAATGTTGGTGTTAACACTCTCACCATACTTATAAGCGAAGGGCAGGACTAAGCTTCTGAGATTCCCTCCTCGGTCGCGCAAGAGAACGAAAGATCAACTGAACTTCCGAAATTTGAGGCGCCACTCAGCCTCGGGCATTTCTAGCTGCCCGCTGTTATTGCTGCCGTGCGTCATGTAACCAAGAAAAGGATTTATCCGATGGAGAAGAAGTGACGATGAGACGCTAGCAAGACTTATTGCCGGCTAAGGGAATTTGTCTAAGGAGGACAAGGAGGACGAGGACGAGGACGACGGGACGCTGGCAAGACTACTCACCGGCCAAGAATTAAGCCAGAATCCAGGTCGGTTTCCAGGTCCTGGCATAGGTAAGCTAATTAATTTCTCGGTCCAGTCATTGAGTTAGCGGTAGTCATATACTACCTTACTACTACCCCCTAAAACCACCTTATTAATTATGTCCGCCATGGGTTGCCATATCTCCGTGAGTGTGAGTGTCTTGTCGTCCCTTATTATTCCTATCTGCCCCAGGGAGTATATCTTGTATATCTGTGGACCTTGGCGTTATTCTCGTGGTCTTCTAATCTAGGTAGTATGTGGTGTCTCGTCTCATAGTGATTCCCATTGTTATTCTGTATTGGTGGTATATGTTGTCTTATCTCTCTTCTCCTAGTCGGGATGACCTTGTGTCTCTTATTTCGGCCGTAATCTTCTCTCTATGGTGGGCTATATAAGTATCTAGCGTGAGTTTATGGTGAGCCGAGTTATTATCTAATATAAAGCTATTTATGTATTCTGTCTCTATTATACTAGGGTATCCTCCCTTAAGTGGTATATTGTCTTTGTCCTCTGCTCCTCTGGAGTCATAGTACCCCCTGGTGCTCTTAAGTATGGCGTCACCTGCTTATCTCTTTCTATTTGACTCCCGGGGTCTTAGTCGTCCTCGAACCCTCGAGGGCCTGTTCTCTTAATCGCCGGAGTCTCGTCTCGTCGTGTCTCAATGTTCTCCCTGCCCGGGTGTAGTCTAGAGAAGTATATGGCCCGGGAGAGATGTGTTGTTGGTAGGGAGGTCGGGCACGGTGGGGAGACTTGTGGTGTCCCGCGAAGATCTTCACTCGTGTTCGTGACAAGTCTTTGGCAAAGTAGGGAAGTTTGTAGGTAATTTGTCTTCGGCAGTGTGATCGAGTTCGTGGGGAAATCCGCCGTGTTCTCGGTAGAGAGTCTCTATGTAGTTGGTATTAGCAGATGTTCCTCTGTGAGGGAGCTCGTGAGGTCGATTTTACCTGGCCCTATGGGACGTGGGGATACCACGAACTGACCTCTAATGAATGAACTAACTCCTTGATTAGAACTAGAATGAAAAGGGTGAGATATGAAATCATGCCTACTGCCCGAGAACTTCATAGCCATCTACAAGTTTAAGCGCTTCTCTAGGTGTGCCAGGAATTGATTGTCATAAGGAGGTGGATTCCAGGGGCCAGGTGAAATCGATAAGTTTAAGCGCTTCCCTAGATATACCAGGAACTGATTATGATAGAAGGACGTCGATTCTAGGGGGATGGGATCTAAGCTTGTCCTCGTGTGAGCGCTCGTAATTGGTGTAGCTATCTCGATCTGGACTCTTCTCGCTCCCTTAGTGTCTGAGTTCGCCTGAAAAGACACAGTGAGATCCAGGTTTCGCAAAGATCCGTCGTTTGATCTATTCCCCTATATCTCGATGGGACCGGAATTCTCCTTGCTCGCAGCAATGGAGTTTGCCTCCCGCTCCTCTAGCGCGTGTTCCCCAATGTCCCAAGAGTGTGGGACGTCTAGCGAGCGACCTCCGAATATAAGTTTTATAGTGGGATGCATAGGATTACTAGGAGCAATTGTCGCTCAAGGCGCTCGCCGACGCTTCATCTTTCACCATCTACCACTGTCTGTTTTGTCTTCCTCGAACGGCCGGATTCTGTCACCGTCGCTGACGAAACACCCTTCGCATCCTCTTGCGCCAGCGCCGACCTTCGGCCATGTAAGGAGAATGCTCTCGTTGTGCTCGCCAATCGGGCATGTCTTGAGGCTTCGAACATCTCCAGGTCCTCTGCCACCAGCGCAATAGTGTGCCACGCGTTGTCGAAAAGCTGCTCCTGGTCGTGCGAAGGAACTTGTCAAGCAGACAGAGGAAGAACAGAACAGTACTATGGCATATACCATCGCTGTAGTGTAAGCTCGTCCCTCCGGCCCGGGCTTAAAGGCATTTTCGGTTTCATCAGGGAAGGACAGAACATGGACAGGGCCGAAGTCTAATAAACAATGTATTCTTCTAACGCTTTTGATCTTTGAGCCCTCGTACTCTGAAATGCACTACCGTCCAGCTGCGGCAATCTTCACGCCCATCTGCCTCGCGTGCTGAGCCATGAGGGCGTCAGCAATAGTCAGAGCGGCCATGGCCTCAACGATAGGAACCGCGCGAGGAGCAACATTAGGGTCGTGACGGCCCTTGGCGGTCAGGACGCCCTCGCCCGAAGCGTCGTAGCGAGCAGTAGTCTGGTCCTGGGAGATTGTAGCGGGGGGCTTGAACGCAACGCGGAAGAAGATGGGCATGCCGTTGGAGATGCCGCCCTGGATACCGCCGGAGTGGTTCGTCTTGGTCTGCAGGCGGGAGGGAGGAATGCCAACGCCAGCGCTCGGCGTCGCATCGTCGGCGGCGGCGGTAGACACGAAGGGGTCGTTGTGGCGGGATCCGAGCGTCTCGGAGCCGCGGAAGCCAGAGCCAATCTCAAAGCCCTTAGTAGCAGGAATAGACATGATAGCGTGGGCGAGGAGAGCCTCAAGCTTGTCAAAGCACGGCTCGCCGAGACCGGAGGGGCACCCTCGAATAATACAGGTTACGGTACCACCAGTAGAGTCGTGCTTGTCGCGGAGCTCGGCAATCCTATCCTCCATACGCTTCGAGACGGCAGTATCAGGGCAGCGCACGGGAAGGAACTCATCTACCTTCTCGCGGGTTAGGGAGTCAACAAGCTCGAGGAACTTGGGGTTGCTACTAAGGGTGTCGATATCGTCGCTATCGGTTGTAGGCTTGTCCTCAAAGAGCTTGATGTTGCCAACCGAGGAAACAAAGGCAACGATCTCGACACCATAGGCCTCGCGCAGCCACTTCTCGGCAACAGCGCCAGCGGCGACGCGGGCAATAGTCTCACGGGCGCTGCTCCGGCCGCCGCCAGAGGAGGCCTTAATGCCATACTTCTCAAGGTAAGTCCAGTCGGCGTGGGAGGGGCGCGGGTAGAGGTCGATGGTCTTGGAGCCGTAGTCGTGAGGGCGTTGATCCTCATTTGGTACGGTCAGGAGTATGGGTGTGCCCAATCTGCGACCCTAGGGTATTAGCATCATGGCAAACATCATGACTTCCTGCAGGGTTGTCCCACGTGCGCCCAAACTCGCATCCAGATCCTATAGTCACACGGTCCTTCTCATCGCGAGGGGTGGTGATGGCCGATTGGCCCGGGCGACGGCGATTGAGCTGCGGCTGGATATCGGCCTCGACGAGGGACAGGCCTGGCGGGCAGTTCTCAATGATACATGAGACGGTCTTGCCGTGGGACTCGCCGGCGCTGTGACGATGGAGGTTAGTAGGCTGTTGTCTTGCGTTCCTAGCAGTTTGGTGGAGGGAGAGGACTCACGTCGTCACGCGAAAGTAGTTGCCGAATGTCGACATGGTGTCTTTATCCGTTCTGTATGTTCACTGGGTGAATTGATTGACGAAAGACAAAGACGTTGGAGGGGGAGGGGGGGTAATGTAGCGATGTCGCACAGATATTTTTCTGGGGAGTCATACCTACACCGGCGCCGGTGCAATTGAGATCTGTTATGTAAGCTCACAACGCAGAGCCAATCAGAGGTTAACTTGAAGTCAGCCACATAGCCACACTTAGCCACAGCTACCGAGCCACCATACGAGGGCGCCGCTGTAAGTTGCCTCTGTAAGCCAGCTGCAAGCTGCTGTTACAAGCTGTTTCAAGCCGTTGCAAGCTGCAAGAGCTTGGTCAAATGAACGGCTCTGACATTGGGGGGATTCATTGCGATGGACTGTGCTCCGTACGACAGGTCTGTTAGTGTGGAGGGCGGACGAGCGAAGCGAGGACAGCCCTCTTCGCGAGAGGCCTGCCGGAGACAAATTTTTGTCCAGACCTGGAACAATGCGGGACTTCACAGGTTAGTTCATTCATTCTGGATCCTTGATTTGGTATTGTTCGGTCCAGGTTCGTCGACAGATGGCGACACATATGCAGTAGCTTCCTTATCAAGGCCATTTATTAGAGGGACATAACTGGCGATCGTCTGTCACTCTTGTTGAGCATAATAAACTTTTTTTCCTGAGTATGATGCAGTAGTCAATTGAAGGAGACGTCCATGAGATCTGTCTGAATCACCAAATTTCTGCGACAAGAGAGGTATCTATAAGGGTAGCTTACACGTACAACCAAGATAACAGGATCAATAAGTTGCTAGTCAGTTCCTTCGAAGTGTTCATACCTTCCTCACCGGCAAATCAATCACGGTATAAAGTTCTCTGGAGGTTGAAGTTAATACAGCTTCAGACAAAGCCACCGTGTCGCACCCCAATGCGCCTTCCCTGGTACCTACCTAGACACTTGATGAATGAGAGAAGGTTGGCGGATAGTGGGTCCCGCATCTGCAGCCACTCCCGTCAGCACGGAAATAAATAACCTTATTTCCAATCATAGAATTTTGCGGGGGTAACGGCCAACTTTTTCTGTCAAGGTGGAAGGTGCGGCCGACTCAGCCTCCTTGAGTACTTCATCATCTCGGGAAGAGATATTGTCGCCCAACAAGTGAAGGGTTATAGTTAGGCACTAAGGCTAGCAAGGCACACGAATGGTGTACGCTTCGGCGGATACAATGCTTTCCCGAGGCTGAAAGGAGAGCTCAATGTCAGAGACCAGTGACAGAACAGAGTTTCAACCGCGTTCCTCTCTCCAGTTTTGAGCGCCGTTGGCGCGACAACTCTGGAGAGAGAGGGTGTAGTTAACAGCTCTCTGTACATGCCAGCGTTGACGAGATTGCCGCCGGCAGAGTCGCATGGGCCCGCGTTCAGAGTTCGGACTCAAAGTTGGCTTTTGCCCCTATTGCTCATTTCATCCACCGTATTCTTGATGCCCAATTCTATTGTTTGCCAGTGGGTCTGTTGGACGCCCGACGAGAGTGCGTACCAAGTGGGACATGCAGGTTGAGCTGAATAGCGAAAAGAGGATGCATAGTAGTTGGGTATGTTGGGAACATGCGTCTGGGACCCGCAAGGACATTGGAATATATTCTCACTATTGCATTCAGCGGGTTAGCGTATGCGCAACCGGTAACGGCTTGCGGCCTATTCGTTCTCAAGAGCACCAACTGACGGGTGATAGGGCAAAAGGGGATGGGGAGGAATAGAGTCACAGGGTAGAGGAAGAAGTTCACGGGTCTCAGTGAAAGAATATATGTTTGAACAAGTGATCATTGTAATTACTGGATCTCGCTGGACCAGTTGTCATGCTATCTATTGAATAGTGTCCCAAACCTCACGCCGTTAACCATGTTATAAAAATCTTTTCACAGAAACGCTTAAGCCATAGAGAACTGAAGGAGAACCTTGGTGACCCGGTAAGGGTCGGCGTTGGAAGCAGGTCGTCGGTCCTCGAAGTAACCGTAGCCCTTGGCGGCAGTTTCCCGAGGAACGCGAATACTTGTTCCACGGTTGGCGACACCCCAGGAGAACGAGTCGATAGAGCCAGTCTCGTGACGGCCAGTGAGACGCTGGTCGTTGTCCTCGCCATACTCGGCGATGCACTCGGCGTGGTGGGGCTCCAGCTTCTTGAGAGCCTCCTCGATGACCTTCATGCCACCCTCCTCGCGCATAGCCTTCGTAGAGAAGTTGGAATGTAGCCCAGCTCCATTCCAATCTCCCGCAATGGGCTTGGGGTGCAGAGAAACCTTTGCGCCGAACTCCTCAGAGATACGGGCGAGGAAGAATCGCGAAACCCAGAGCATATCACCCACTACAAATTTTTGGTGGTTAGCGACGAAATGGGGCAAAACGGGGAAAATTCGGACATACTCTCAATGCCCAGGCAAGGGCCGACCTGGTACTCCCACTGGGCAGGCATAACCTCAGCGTTGGTGCCAGAAATCTTGATGCCGGCGTCTATGTGATGTTAGAATTGGGTGTCACGTGACTACCTTCCCGCCTCGATTGAACTTCCACAAATGATGATTGCGACGTCCCGTCGCAATCATCATTTGTGGAATGTCTCAAACGTGCAGAAGGCTTCGGGGGGAGAAAAACTTACACAGGCAGGCCTTGTAGTGAGCCTCGACGATATCACGCTGGACAACCTTGCCAGTACCGACACCGCAGTAGTACTCGCCCTGGCTGTAGTGGGGTTAGAAAAGCTTACACAATCTAATATCAGACGACTTACGGAGCAGGGAAACCACCGGAGGGCCAGCCGTAGGGTCGGTTGTCGAGACCGAGGAGAGTGTACTCCTGCTCGAGACCGAACCAGGGCTCGTCATCGGCGTAGGTGTCCATGACCTTCACGCAGTCATGTCGGTAGTTGTACTTGTTGGGAGTGCCATCGGCGTTCCAGCACTCGGCGAGAACAATGATGTTGGGAGAGCCACGGAAGGGATCGGGGTAGACGGCGCAAGGTCGGAGGTAGACATCGGAGTTGTCACCGGGGGCTTGGCGGGTAGAAGAACCATCGAAGTTCCAGACGGGGAGGTCCTCGGGCTTGTACTCCTTCTCAGGGAGAGTCTGTGAAGATTCGATCAGTATAATTGTTCTTCGTCGTCGTTTCTTGCTTCCTTCTTAATCGGGCAATGTCGGCTTTATCCAGGCCGACGGATCGGGACCCGTAATACCCCACAATGTGGGGCATTTGGGCAGCTATTTTTGGCCCCATTGGCCGGAGGCAGGCGCGACGCCGGAAAGAGCGAATGCGCTGCTCAGCCTCGGAAGACCCTGCGGCGTGATGACGCTGGGTCCGGCCGGGTGGCCAAAACTTGCCGATTCGCCATCGGAACAGGAAAAAGGCAGCCCGGACAAAGGAGGCCGGGAAAGGAGAGAATGAGTAAGACTTACTCGGGACTTTGATCGAGTCTCGCCATCGGCATCAACCCAGACGTACTCGGCCATGATCTGGCCCTTCTGGTCGAGCTTGAGGTACTTTGCGAGGGTCTCGGTCCTCGAGGTGGTGGGAGCTGAAGTCGCCTGTGACATGTGGTGTTAGTGGGCGCCGATAACATGAGGGGCAATCATGATAAGCCTCACCATTGTGAAGATTGTTTTGTGAGGTTAGGGGGGGAAAAGATTAGAATTCCAAGCGAGATCCGGAAGAATGAAAGTGAATTGATACTGAACGTATCACACAAATAGACGGGAATGTGAAGGATGACCAAATTCAAGCGTTTGAAAGTCCGGGGCGGATGAGGGTTTTATGTTGACGGATTTGAGCGCCGCCGTCTTGTCTCCAAGCACCCAGCTTGACTCTTTCGCCCACCAAAAGATAAGACTTGCTGTGGCCGGATGCAGGGGTGTGGCTGCTACCGGCCATGGTGGGGATTTCGCCCATCACAGGGTGCGATTGGCGTTCGGCAGGGCCTGAGGAGGGGGGTGGCGTAAAGGATCCTCGCAAACCGCACACGCACATGGAAGATACATGAGCTCTACATAGAACACCTCCTTCTCCAACATGTACTTTGTCTCGCGGGAGAGAGAGAAACCATAAGGTAACGACGTTCCGTTCCAGGGATTTACTCTCGCCACACCCCGAAGCCCAGCCCAGGCCAGACCAGAACCCGAGAGAGCAAGCTGGCTAAATTGAGCGCATTCAAGAGTCGAGTCGGCTCGGAGTCAGTTTCTCTCTGTCATATCCCATCTCGTTGTGCGCGCGGCGGGCAGCATCCCACCGCCCGCTCTCATCATATCCGGTCTTGCGGTCTTCCGGTCAGCCAAGGGGCCCCCCCATTCATTCCCCCAACCGGTTTTCAAGAAAGAATGGGCTGCGTCAATGCTGCTGCTGCTGCCGGCAGGACAGCTATTCTCTTCAGGGCACTGCCGCCTCGTGATGACACCGAGGCGGGTAGGGGAGTCGCTGAGTACCCATATGACATAACGGGCGGCGGCCTCGGCGGAGCTCTGCTCACGAGGGGGTGTGTGCGCCGGGTCTGGTCCATGTACCTCCGTACTCGCACAGCCGCTCGGCGGAGATCGCCAGCGGCATATGGCGGTGCCCCTTCGAGGTCCCTCCCCAGCCACCACCGGGCCGGGTTGGCTCAGCGACCTCTTTAACTGAACTGTAATGCTGTAGACGCAGTGAACAGTGCCGATTCGGCTTCTATTTTGAAAAAGGAGTCATCTGAGAATTGACGACCACGGATGGAGATTCCTGTAGAAGCGCCCTCCTCCGACTCGCTCGCCCACGGAGTCCCATCCCCGACGACCAGGCCAGACCATAGACGCAACGCAATCAGTTCCCCCCCCATCCTCGGCCAATGCAAATGCCTATCCAAGACCCCAATCCAACGTGCGCCAGGGCCTCTTATCGTCAGAAAACTGTTAAAGAGTCAAGTTAGCTGTGGTGCGTGTGTGTGCCCGCCGCATGCCCGCAAGGGGCAAGGTGGGGTGACAAGTTGAAGACCTTTCCGCTCATTGATCAGCCCGCCCACTCGGCGTGTGCCAATTACTCTTCCTCCAGACCGAAGCCATCGCGGACTGCCTGTAAAGGCTTGACAGTTTGTGATTACGCTCTAATAGTCATGAGATAGCGATGCTATCTCATTGACCTCTGTCCCCCATTCCCCATCCCCCCCCATATTGTGTGTGTGCCCCCCAAATCCTCCTACCAAGGCGTCGAGGCTATCAATGGCTCCCGCACCTCACCCGCGAGGAAGATTCTGGGGTTGAAGTGTGGGACAGGCAAAAGAGAGACAGACTTTTTTGACGCGCTGAGGCTGGGCTGGCTTGTGCGGCCAGAGACGACGCAACGGTACCTTGGAATCCTTGTGCGGTCGTCCCCAGTATTCCCCAGGAACCAGTGATATTCCTGGCCTCAACGAGAGATCCGTCTCTGGACCCTTTTTTTTACCCCTGGCCCACGTCCCAATGTCATGTATGTACATACCTACATGTAGCGAAAGGCGCAAGCACGCGGCAACGCATCGCAGATGGCAGAAGTCTGCCATGGCCAACAAGCGCCCTGTTCGAGCCCCTCCCAGATGCGAGCCATGGATGACTGACCTTGTAAAAAATTTGCCCTGTCGCTTTTCTTTTCCTTCTGGGTTACCTATTTTCAGAGTCCGGGCTTCTTTCAACTTGTTCCTGTGACTCTTGGAGAAACGTCTGAGCTCGGTGGTTCCGGTTTGTCCCCGTTCTGTTACCAAATCGTTTGCTTGAGCCCCAGACGGTTTATACTCGTTTGGGTAAGAGGCCCTGTTTCTTTGTTCGACATGTTCCAACCTGTTCACAACCCTGCGCCGCATCGCCATAGGCGGAAGCCTTGTGCCGCCGCCTCTTGGTGCTGCCGGGCGACGAGTCGGTGTCTCTCCAAGCACACCCGTCCAAGGTACCACACCGAGGACCTGTACAGATACATAGAATTAGTGTATACTCTTCAAAGAATGTCTATAATAATGTGATGAAATTTTGAAAACTATTGATAGAATACTTCATAAATTTGATGAGTTTTATGATGTTTTTTATTTTATTTTCAAGTCTTTTCATCTCATTCTATCCTAAAAAAGTCATCAAGTTTGACGTGCTCGGGGTACACCTCCAGCTACGTGGGTACTGCACCAACAAACGCCACCCCAAAAAAAGCATGCTTCTGGAGTCAGAGGAGCCCACACCAGGACGCAGGACGCAGGACGGACAGCAGAATCTTATCGTCGGCCCTTGATTGGTCCCGAGGATGTTCTGCATAATGCCTGTTATCTCACCTTGGGCTGTCACGGCCACGGCTGCCAGCCGTTGGAAGCTCCTGGTTGGGTAAAATCGCTCAGGCGGGCTGAGCAAATCTGAGTTTTTGAATGAACCCCCCAGTCTTTTTTTCCTTTCCGTTTCCCCAGACCGTCACCTTGTAGCTCACTCCGGATTGTCAGGTCCCAAAGCTTGCTCTCCGGCCTCGGGGAAAAAACTTCTTCATCTGGTCCCGTAGCTCCTAGTTTAACCCACGATCCCTTCATCTAGAATATCTTTCGGGATGTTGACCGACATCCCTTCCCCCTTGGCAAACTCACCGAGAAACCTCTCCGTTTTCCCGGCGTCGAGATTTTTATTCCCGAGCTGGGCCCGGTTGCTTGTAACGAACCGTTCATCTTGCTTTCTCCTGTGGGCACGAGACAAGGGCAAAGAGAGTGACCTTGTTGCAAGGGTTGCAAGTCGCCCTGCACATTTTGACTCTCAATTGACACATCCTCGAGTGTCTGACAGTCATGATAATTAACAGGGGAGTATAAACAACGCGCGTGCATTCATAATGGGCCACGTTTGTCTTTTCCTACCTTGAAAAATTGCAGGCGAATATACATTTCTAAAACATAATGACTTGGTACACGGACGCGTTATACATGCACGTAGCTACGTTTTTGTACCCCAGCACCTGCGAAGTTCCCCATCAAAACCAGGGGGTACGTACTGAATGACCCACGCAGATGCAATCGACACAATTATCTACACATGTTTAGGACGGCAACTCATCATAAGAATCGTGTCTTATTTTAACCACCATTTCCTCTTCGGTCACTTACATGCCGTGCGGTCTTTTTTCGCCTTCATCGTCGTCTCGGACACCTGGGAGAGATCTGCGGCTCCCCGCAATCGTGTAACTCGTCTTCCCAGAAAGAGCCAGGGCCAATCAGAGGCCTGTGCGACGGTATGACACGACGAAATGAGTAATGAAAGCTCTGCTAGCCTCTGGGCTTACCCCAGGTTTTACTGTTGATATCTTTCCCTATCTTTGCGTGAAAGAGCAAACTGATCGCGATCAGTAAAGGCTTCGTGTCTATTGGATCCTCGGATCACGGGTGCGGTTCCCTTTTCCTCTTCCCGTTCTACCGGGCGCGACAATCCGGGGAAGATTGGGTGAATGAATCACGTCTCCAGAACCCCCGCGCGAATGAGGTCGTCCTGGACTTGTTGAGATATCGTGCCGGTTGGAAATCCCAATCCGCCGGCTGCGCATTGGATCCCGGCATCTGGGGTAGATGCCGAGATGCTCGGGATCCCATTCCAGGGTGCTGGGTTTCAGAGTTGCGGGCGTATGGTGAGCACCAAGTCGTAAGCAAAGGATTTTGAAAGAGGAGTAGCGAGCCTCTTGGACGAGTTGAAGAATTAGAGTAAGCAAGCAGAGTCCGAGACTGAGATCAGCACGATACAGCCTGTTTCATATTTCACAACAGGTCCTCCAATCGTGTGGATCTAAGCTGCTGTGCCCTCGTGGCTCTTGATTGTCTTACACCTCCCTAGCCACCACACCATGTGCCATTCGTGCGCCCGGAGGTCCCTCCGGGTTGCCTCCCGAAAACTCTCGCCGAGACCCGGGCGGGGTGGGCGGGGGTGTGACGGGGCCTCACCGGGGTTGACCTTGCCGAAACCCAGGCCAAGTGCTTGGTGCGGTTCAACACCACAAGTGGCGACGGGTAACGCTGGTTTAGTTGTCATCCTGAGCCGAGTTTTATGAAAATCAACGGCGGGTTTATGGGTCAAGTTCTACAGCAGAGCGGGTTGTTTCCACGAGATTTTCATTGGTCTTGGCAGCGTACCCCTGCACCCGGGTCAAGAAAAAAAAGATGTCGTCAGTATAAACCCATTAGCTAATTCTCCCCTAAAGATAATAAGAATAATACCGAAAAAGAGCCTAAAGAATTGCCTCTTTTCTAATATATCTTTTGATTCTTTTATTATATTTTATATAAATTTATCCATAATAATTATGAGGAGTTAGGTCACTCTCTTCTGTTGTCTCGTTTATTTAGACCCCCTTGCCCTGGAAGGACGGAAATGCACCAGAACCTCTGATGACGTCGTTTCAACTAGCCCTACACACCCATGACGCTCTGAATGGGGACATCCCAGTACCAACTTGCTACCGCCATGCCGCCAACACTCATCGAGACGGCCATGAGAAAGTTGACATCATTGTTGTCGAGAAGATCCCATCCACTTTCAACCACACGAGAAGGCCGCTCGTCCCCAAAACTTGCCTTGCGGTGCTTGTCCCGAGGATCGTAGACATCAGCGTCAGCTTCACCATCGTCATCGTCTGCAATGGCGGAACCGCCCAGCTTCGCAGTCGCTCTCTGACCTTCCCCATGCATGATGGCCGCTTTGATGTCGGCCCTCTTCTTGGAGTGCGCTGCCGCGGCCTCGGCAGACTCAGCCACGAGCACCCGGTTGCCGCCCTCCCCCTCGACGATCTTTCCAGACCGGACGTCCTTGACTGATCGCTGAAACATTCCGCCCAGGAAGCTGTCGAGCACGCTACCCAACGTGCCCCAGATCACCATGAAGCCCATAAACTTGCGTCGTTCGAGTACCGACCATGGCGATCCACCCCCAGGTTTCTGTGCCGTCTCCTCGCTGCATGAAGGTAGGAACATCATGGACGCAGTGACGATGATCATGGATCCCAAAAGTCCCGCGCCAAGACCCATGAGAGTGACCCCTCCATTTGTTCCGCGAGGCACCTTTCGCAGTGTTGGCGACGTGATGAGGCGGGGCTGGCTCTTGGACAGAATGCCCAGTTCAGAGCTGAAGGTATCGGCAGCAACGGCGGCGTAGTTTGCAATGATTCCAACAACAAGGAGATCGCCACCCCAGGAGAAGCACAGTGAGCTCTCGGGGTCCGGAGTATTCGGGTCGACAAAGGCGGCTTCTCGTTTGCGCAGTTGGTTCGCGTGGAGGATCGTGAGGACCGAGGCCATCAGGCTATTGGCGAGGACTGGCGCGCAAGAGTTAGCTAGCTCCTATCGGGGACAGCGCTTCAGGAACTTGCCTTGAACATGCGTCCTAGGTCCTTCTCCGCCAGATGATCCCTTGGAGGGAACTGTGTAGTGCGACTTGACATCTTCCTTGATCTACGGCCACGTCAGGATATCAAGGCCGGTCCATGGCGACGGGCGCAAGAACTTACATGCGTCACGCGTGTTCCTGCTAGAAAGAAGACACAGAGGAGAACGAAAGGAAGATTCCATGGGTGGTAGGCGTGCGCGATGGCTGTCAAGGTTGCGACGGCTATTCCGGCCGGGGTCAGCGAGTTCCTGCTCCACGCTCGGTAGACGAGCGCGCAGGTCGCGGGGACGGCAATGATCGGTTTCATGGCCGTCGCTGTCGGAGCTTGCGGGACGAGAAGGAAGCTTGGAGGGGGTAGAAGAAATGTGCGTTGGAGCTCCTGATAGATCCAACTGGCATGTCCACACTGGATTCAATTTTGGAGTGTGAGCTCAGATTATCAGCTGACGTCAGCGACGGTGGCTGCTGAGGCCAGAGCACGTGGGTGAGTGAGCTCTTCTGCACCTCCCAAGGTAGGGGTGTGTGAGATGGACGACACCAACCATTGATGGTATGTCAAGAAGCATAATTCAACTACTGTACATAATATGAATCTCTCAGCGAAAGGGAATGAATTCTTAGTTGTTGTCATCATTTTTTAGTGCTTGACACTTGTTTGTATTGACAGTTCCGCCCTGTAGGTTATGGACTGGAGGGCTACCGCTATTTATCAGCTTACACCGTGTCGACAGAAGGTCATTAAATGCAAATGGTGCGAATTTCGCATTGCTATGCGATTAAGGACATGGCGGTTCTGTTATCTACTATCTCTCAAGTTCAACATTGGAGCTTTCGGCATATTGTTCCTATCTCATCTGTGCGGGGTTACTTTGATCATATGTGATATCATTGCGAGATAAGAAGCTTGAGCACCGAATAATCCTAACCTTTATTGGACCCCTCGCTTCACTCGCCTGAGAGCCGCAGGGTGGTGTGGTATGCCTGAACGGAGCTCACGCGACCTCGTGATTTGCTTGTACTGGGCTGTGACTTGTCCTGAAGAGTCAATTGCGTATCAGAAGCTCCCCAGTAAGTGAGCTTGCATGACCTCTTCTACCGACATCTAATCCGGTCGGCATCTGGCCATCGAACCCCTCCGTCCCACATTAAGAACGCTACCGATTCGATTTCCTAAAAAGGACGCTCCCGGGCCGGAAAAGTGGGTCCAGACACCGGACCTCCGGGCCGATTCTGAAAGGGCCGACATCAAGCGACTCTTTCGACGGTGGCGACATTCGGCATGCGCATGTTCGCGGCTGATATCACAGGCTCCGTTTATTTTTAGCCTAGACACGGCCCGGTCTCCTATCATTGAGCATGAAGCGATACCGGTGCTCGGTAGAGGTCAGATGAACAGGCCGTCAGGTGAGGACAACACCCATCAAGCTATCACGGAACTATAGATAAACAAACCATCCCCGGAATTAAACCTTTACCGAACTATCATCTTGAAAACCTAAACAAAAATATGTGTCATATATAATGACTAACTCTCTAAACAAGCATTCCACATTTGAGGCATAGGGTAGTTAGATATAGATACTAACAAGTAAGTGCAAGTCATGCCACAATAGATATGATCCATACAGGCATGGTTCTAACGCATGCTATACAGGTCTAGCTCATATTAAATAGTATTTTCCTGGAAACATACTAAGAGGCTTTAGTATTCTTAATACTTTATCGCTGGCTTAAAGCTTTAGATATATGATTCTATTTTTCTATGTTTGAGCTCAACTATACTCTATCCCCTCTCCTACCTGATACACATAGGGAAAATACTCACCATTCTCTCACTAGTTTTAGATATTATAAGGATCAGAGCCACAGTGGAGCGAGAAGGCAAAGGCGAGAGATCTCAGGATTGAAACCCCAGACCAAATATTCTGACATTGCTCTTCACGTCCACACTCGACATTCCCAGTCGCTATGGTTTTACCTACATTAAAGACGATAGCTGAGTTCCTCGTAGGCTAATAAACAAAAATGATGAGCAGGGGAAGGCTTACTGAAATATCCTCACATAGCAGAAGTATATACCCTCCAGTGATGCTCAAAAGCACATTGCACTAAACTGGGATGACATACATTTCTTCTGGTATCTAAGCATCCGAATAAAGCGATGATGCGCATTCCCTGTGACAAGATCTTGACTCTGTACCCGAAGAAAACTACATAGACAGCCTCTGAGAAGGAGATCGACGGTATAGAAACTGGTAGGTCCATGGCCTTTGGCCGAGCTCATCGATAACGTCTTGACTTAAATGCACTTTTGGGCAGGCCATTTCCAATCCCAATCCTTTTCTGTGTTGATCTTCTCATAATGTGACGATACTAGCGTTGTCTAGTAGGCCTGGGGTTAATACCGACACCTTCTTTGACAGTTGCTACCCTCTCATCGGACGATATCGTACTTCAAGATGCATGGCTTTGTCCCTTCTTGGTAGAGCCTGGCTAAGTAGCCAGCGAATAGCTGTGTTATCCTGTGTTCTGACCCCCCTCGCTCCTATCTTTGTCTAGCTTGTATTTTTGGTTGTTCGGTCTTGAGGTCATGCTGGTTGAGTAGCCTGTTGATGACTGGGCGATACTGAAACTTGTCTTCCTCACTTCCTTGAGTATTTCGCTGTCTAGCCTGTATTATTTGGTGATTTGATCATCGCATTTCTCTGGTCAGTTACCATTTTTGTCATAGGCGAGGCCGCCTAAAGTAACGCTGCCTTTCTTGACATCCGAGAGACCCAAGTCGAGATACCTGGATATGACGGGCGTGGTATGGAGGCGAATGGCATGCCTTTCGTCTGATTGCTGCTGAGACAGTCACTCATGTTAAGGGAAATACCAAGCACGCATGGGGTTCGCACGTGTTGAGCGAGAACAGGTCGAAAACCCTTCGTCTTGTCACATTCAAAAGCTGTGGGGGGGACTGCCACGCTGACTAGTTTGTTGATCTGTGACGCCGAATTGAAGTCTCGACTTGACCAGAAGGAATTCGATTACAGATGCTGAAGGAGGAGAGGGTGCTGGCTCATTTTTTTCGTCGGCTTTCCCTGTATCTATCCACTGACCACTGGCGCATCCTCTGGCACTGGAGCCGCGCTGTCTCTGTCCAAAATGTGAAAACTTCAAGTGTCTCCTGCTTGTGAATACCTTGTGATATCCGTTGGATTGTCTGCGCCGCTATTAGTAAAACTATACTGTGGATGAGTCCTTACTCCCTCCCCCCTGGCAAACCTACCCTTGAAAGCACTCCTCCATGTTCCATCATTTCTCTCAGTAGCACCCTCGTCTGACAGCTCGCCGTGGCTGTTGCTCACTCCTCGCTCTTCTCGAATCTTTACATGATCCTCTTCAGCCCTCATTCTCCTACCTTCTCTTCAAACTCGCCCTTTTTCGTTAATACTTTCCATCTCTGTATATGCCTCTCTCCTCTTACTCTTATCTTTTCTTCTTTTCTTTTGTTCTTGTCGCCCCTAATTACCCTTTTCCCTCTGTTTTGAACCATTTCCCCTCCACTTCTCCTTTACTTTGGCGATCACCCTCAACTCCACGTCCCACGGCCCTTCTATGATCTTTGACTTCGTCTCCTGGGTTTGGTCTGATGTTGCAAATACTTAGCGGGGTTGTTTCGTTATACTTTGTGGTGTTTTGACATCAGGCTCGAGTTCGACTACATCAATTAGCCGGCGGCGACTGATGAACATGAGTTATCATCCACCTCTCACACCTCCAGTTAAGCAATTTGAAGATCATCTGAAGTCATATCGACCACCTAAGGACCGCGGGCAGCCTCCCTCAATCAAGGTAGTGTCATCCCGGAGGTCGGAGACTCGTTGCTGGTTGAATCGAGTCTTATTAGAAATATGTCGCGCTGTGGAGATATGCCCCGAGAAGCCATGGAGCGACAGGACTCGTATTCAACAGAAGTCTGACACCATTTTGGAAAGGAGGCGGGCCTTGGTTCTCTGCGTTCACACGCATGAGGCCGGATGTATGGGATAAGGATAGCTGGTATATCGTCCATCCTGCATTCCGGGCCCCATTCGTGTTATTAACTCATGGCGTTAAGAAGTTTGCCAAAGGGGTAAACGGCTTGATGCTTGGAACTTCGCCTGATATCGCCGTATTGACATGATCGTTGTTTTGTTGGTCGTCTCGGCTTTTCTATAGTGGCGCCTGATCTTTCGTTTTTCCATCGCACTGCGGACGTACTTTGCGAGCCTGAACTATTCAGTCATTGGTGATGGGGATTTCTCTGGAGATTACCTCGAAGAAGTGCGGCCAACGACCACGATTGTTCTATAGCTGCGGCGGAGTGTTCATGAGCGCATGACACTGTGACGGCCTGGATTGATTATTAGAGCTTTCGTGTCATGGAGCACACAGCAACGACATACCTCGGTTTTCCATATTCACAGTTGAGATGTCCCGATTATAAAATTCGGATGCCTGCTTCAAACTCGTCGTGCTTCTAGATTGCCTGGTTCAGGGGGTGTCATATGTTTGCTTGCATCAAGTGGTTGAATGCTTGAGTTGTTGTTTGTTCTGAGTTTGCGTAGTCGTTTTGTATACTTGTCTTGTGTTAATTTTTGCGTTTGATAGTCACTGCTTGAGTTGTTAATGGGGAGTGTCGATGTCGACGTTGGTGTCAATGTCAATCTTTTTAATCTTTCTATCGCGGTACGATTTGATTGACACGAGCTGTGATGCAGGAATGGTTTGCGCAAACCTCGAATCTTCCTTGCCAATTTCTGTGCATGGGTTGGCCGTCCGTCCTGGCAGAGGTCATGCTTCCTGTCCTTCGTCTTAATCCCAATGTGCTTGATGGGCTTCTCTGGTTCACCTTCACTCGTCGCGCTGGCCGAACGCCTGCAATTTATCCTCACAATGCTTGATAGTTGTTAAGGATTTGTTCAAATTGTGCTATCGAGGAGCCTTGCGGTAGGTGGAAAGTTTTCTTAACTGTTTGTCAGCTCCGAAGTTCCTATCGCCCCTGTCACAGTTTTGTCTGATATTGCCTCGTGTTTTCGTGTTCGTGAACGAACAGACAAGCCCATTCTCAAGGCTGGGCGGCGTTGACGTGTTGAGTGGCCTCGAAATTGTGAGGTTTGGGGTTGACGGCTCGTTCGACGGCCTCACACAAGATCCGGGCCTTTGCACCGTTCTCAAGGATAGGTGGCGTCGAAGTGTTGAGTGGCCTTTGGGCCGTCGTGTTTGGAGTTGAAGGTTCGTTCGACGGGCTCACACGAGATCCGGGCCTTTCCATCAGGCTACTCGATAACGTAGCCCCTATCACCAGCCTGACAGGTGGTGACCAAAAGCATCGAACTTGCGGCCAGAGCCATGTGGCTGAACTGAGTCTGGTGTTTTAATCACCACTGGTAAGCGCCCACCGTGTAGGGTGACGAGCGTGATAAGTGCATTCTAAGCTTTGGGGAAAATCATATAATAGCACTCAAGGCCATTAGAATTTTATAGTATGTTATGATAGTTTATTGTCTTTCTTTAATGATTTCATGTAGATCTTCATCCTAAAATAAGCAGGTATGTGATAAATTTTAGAGGAGAGCTTTGGCGTTCGCGTGCACCCAAGGCGTGGGCATCTGCCCGACCGATCTCTCGTTGAATATCACCACAGTCCAACCAACCGTTCGTAATGGCGAATCCAGGCAGCGGTGGGCCGTTGTAGAAAGATCAAAGAGGGAAAGTTGGTTTATATATCTCTTGGTTCTTTGCTTGTTGAGCACGTGAGCAGCATGTGATCTTCTGCTCCCTGTTTCCTATATAAATAATGCTTGCTGATGAAAAATCAGCAATCTTGAGTCTACCTCCTTAAAACTGAAGAACGACGTCGCTACACTCACCGATCCGCCTCGAATCTTGTCAAACTCCCCATGCCGCTCAGGTCGCGCTTCAGGGGCAGCGGATCTTGGGTCGGACGGGTTCGCCTCTCTAGACACATCCATGCTCGTAACGCAACGAGATGCCGGTGAGGAGGGACATCATATTTATCATAAGACTTAGTAAGTAGTGAAAGAGGACTCTATAAAGATTAATATTTATATAAGACCATTTTCTCCCGCCTTTAGACCTTTATCCCATAAAAGATTTGTCAATGTTAGCCTACAATTATTGTTCGTACGTGATAGAACGTGGCCGTACATAAGTACCCCTTAAACAGTAGCTATTTAATTTAAACGGTACTCACCTCTATTAACAGGAGTTTTGATATGAATACTCTTCCAAGCCCATCATATCGACTTACATACTCCGTTTCCCTTTGGCTTGGCCCATAGGCGTGATATGCTTGACAAAGCAAGACGGGCCCCCCAAACGTGAATGACCGCTCGAGAACGTCCGTTCTCTTTGAATTAAAATGCATAAGGAGCGCTATTAAACTACAGCTCACTTGTTCATTAGTTTGTGGAGGAGGTGCACTCTCCTGTTACGACCTATATGGGAGCTATGGTATCTATCTTATATCATAAAGTCCGTCGCACTTTTCAATGACCCCTAGTGCTTACACAGCTTGTGTAACCGAAAGTGCAACCAATAGATCCCAGTATACGTTGCAGCCGAGTTCGTATTTGCCGAACTGGGTAGTTGTGGGGTGGGACTGGGGGAGGGCGATCAACATCAATCTAGAACTTCCGACTATTGTATTTAGGTCTTGCCTTACACTTCTATAATAAAGATTGCTGTCAATGTGTTGAGTAAGTTCCCAATAGCCGAGTGTTGCCTTGGGCAACTTTGCTCGGTGATGGCACCAATTAGGCTATATTAGGTGTATCCTCATAAGCAACCAGGATCACGTTGTAAGATGTTCATCATGAATCAAAGAATATGACCGTCATAAATCAAAAAGAGTCAGGTCAATGTCAGTGAAAATTCTCTGAAAAGTATCGTCTGCATATGAAGCGTGTAGCCGAGCCGATGTGTCAGGTATAGACTCACATTCCCTCACACCACTTACCTACAGCCTCGTTTCCAGATGCATATTTTTGCACTTTGAAACCGTCTAGAACGTCAAAAATGCATGTTTGACATGTATGTGTTGTCAAATCGATCAGCTTCCTGCATCAACCATCTCCGTTTCCATTTCCCCATGGCGAGCGTTGCAGTTACAATAGCAAATAGCACATGCAGGAATTCATCGTTCGAGTTAGCGTCTCACTTACGATCCATCTGAGCCCGCATCTACAGCACTTTTGTTTCGCCCGGCCGTAGTGTAGCGTAAATATACTTGTGAGGGGTCCTAGGCGGGCGCCTTGTGGCGAACCACTCCCGGATTACCTCTGGCGATCACCTCCCCCACGTTGTATAAATTCAGCCGAGTCAAGACCCCTTCTAGATCAGTTCGTTAGAGACAAGGCAGCCAGTAAGCGATTCTCCTGTTATTACCGTCCCTGGGCTTGTTTTTTGACCCTGTGACTCTGCACAGCCCTCTTGCTAAGACACGTGAGATCACAGAGGCCTTCTAGCCTTGTTGAGGCCTCCGGGGCTAGACTTTAATTCGCGTAGTTAGTTTTGAGGCAAGACAGAAAGAGCCTCAAAAAATTTGGTTGTGTGGACATAAGGCTCAAACAGGTTACCATGTCGTGCAATGCCATGACATGTTACAGAGGCTGGCCTGAGGGTGGGCATTCAATTTGTTTTATTGATGTTTTTAGTGCCTTGGCTGGAATATTTCATGTGCTTCTACCCACTATCCGCTGAAGACCTAGGCAGGCCTCAGTCCTCAGAAGTTCAACCCGTTGACGAGGAATATGACATGTCGAAGCCATGCGCAGCTCCATTCCCCATACCCATTGTCTGATACAACGGCAGACCTGGCGTGACGAATAGAGAGCGGCCCTCATGTCTAACCTGAGAGGTAAGCCACTCGCCCGGGCTGCGAGGAGACATGGTTATATCGTCGATGCTGCAGATGGACTCTTGCGAGTGTGGAGGTGTGTTGGGCAGCACACACGGGCGTGCTGCATCTGTTGCAGATTCGAGGGGATATTTCGGAAACCCGGGCAGTTTTAGACTTGGATCGAATGAGATGAGGGTGACGGGCCTCAGTTGTCCTTCCCTCCGTGCGGGCGAATAGACGAGAATTCGCTCGTCCATGCTCCATTCGAGGCCATCGAACCTTTTTGAGGGGTCAATGACCGCGTAGAGCTGAGTCAAGGCATCGTCGGGTTTAGAAGGGCTTGGTTCTGGCGGCCACATCTTGACTGCTTGCTCTATGCCATCCTCTTTGATGGCCTCCATCTTTGGCCTCACCCTGAGCTGCAGCAGTGGATTGGCGGTATACGCTTCGTACACAAGATCGACGAATGCTTGGCAAGACGGGTTATAAGACCGGACTTGGCATTCGCCGAGGGTGTAAGTGATGGTGTCCCTCGGATTGTCGCCGATGTGGATGTCCTCAGGAGTTCGCTTCTCAGAATGCTTCTCGCAATCCCAAACCGGGTCGATGGGTGAGTTTTCGGCAGTGATTGGTGGTGTAGGTAGAGGATTCCCGACGATATCGTCGCTGAACTGGAGTCTTTTCTTGTAACAAGTCCTCTGGCTCCCCGCATTTCCTGGGGACCACTCTCGACGGACTTCGATGATGAAGACTTCTCCTGTTTCTTCATCTTTGGTGAGTTGGAGTGAGGTCCAGCGGTCATCGACGGCGCCCTCTGCATCGTGACGCCGCCAGAGGTTGCGTTTCAGGGGCTTCTCACAACTCTCATGCGTTGCTTCACTCACTGGAAACCTAACAGCTTGGTAATAGCAGTTTGGAATCTCGTAGTTGGTCTGCGTCTTCAACTTGTTCGAAACGCAATAAAAATGGTCGTCGATGATTTCGAAACAGATTTCGGATCCAACGTTGGAGCCCTCAAACTCCCACAGGATAACATGCGTGTCCGACCACTGCCGTGTTGCGAGATCGAGACGTTGGATACCCCATCTGTAGGTGCCGTCGATCCTGGCATGTGACTTTGTGACGCAGAACAGGTAGTTCTTGTCATTTCGGATCAAGATCTGATGCTCTGAACACAGCCGCTTCATGACAACCCATTGGAAGTCTGACCTCACCTCAAAAATGATGAGCCAGCAGCACGTCGTGCTCCCCTGGACCTGAGTGGCCAGACACGACAGAACACCCTCAGCGCAGTACAGGGGCTCAAAGGAGTACGGCAGAAGCGGATCGTAGTCGCGGATGGTGCGCAGGAGCAGGGGAACATTAACCTTGAGCTCCTCCGAGGGATTTTGACGGACATTGAGAACACGGAGGTGCTCGCGGTTCACCGTGTAACACAGGTACCCGTTCGTATACACGAAACGATCCGCCATTGCCACGATGGCTACCGTCCAGGGCTCAGCAGAGCGAACGGCCATTCGTCGCTTGACGAGTCGTCTAAAAGCCCTCGCAAACTCCCCCGTCTCACTCGCCTCTCTGGCCTCAGCCGAGTGATTCGCCTTCTAAGCTTTCGTCAGCGGACTTGTAAGCCAAGGAGGCGCAGCTAGACGGACCTGGAGAAGAGCGAGACGACATATGCGTCGATCATAGAGAATGTAGCTGAGGCGACGGCTGGTCAATCCGAGGTTGAAGATGCTCTCTACATCGAGGTTTTCGACGAGGAGGGCGACAATTTCGGCCGGGAGGCGGAGGATGCTCATGTCGGAGTCGAGGTCCAAGGAAGAGAACGGAGCCCTTTCAATAACGACGTCATAACATGGTCACCATGTATAGGAAATGTGTAAATGGCGAGATGCTATCCAAGGGCCAGAGCAAACATGGCCTATAAAACCAAATTCGAGCAGAGCCGCATGTTGACAGCCTGATTCAGTTCCGGCTCCATTGAGGCTGCTGCTTCACCCGCCCTAGACGCGACGCCAGTGAATGAGCTAGAGTCATGCTAATGAAACCGAAAGTGATTAGTTCAGAAATGGCTGGGGGAGTGAAAAACAGGGCTAACCTGGTAAGTTAGACAATGAAGAGAGGCTCAAAGAAGGCTATGAGAAGTGAAATGGAGGAGGTGATTATGCTGACTGCTATTTTTTTTTTCCTTGCACGCGATCTAAAAGTTCTAGTAATCATTCGGAGTGGGTGTGCTACCCATAAGCTGTAAGTCATGCAGCAATTAGAAATCACGAGAGAGGTATTGTTGAATGTATCGTGGTGCCACGATCTTTACTTTGTGGTGTTGAGCCTCACCCTTGGTTGAGCGCTCTCACTCGGCTAGAGGCGTCTCGGCATGGTGCTCATCCAATTCCAGCTGTTTCCGATTCAATGGTAGACCAATAATCTCATTTGTCTCTGTTTATGAGGCGCAGCAGCGTACAAACAAGACACGGGGTTGCACATAGGTGAGCCAGTGTCTAGAAAACACGGGTTCAAGTTGGACCCAGAGGATAATGCGGCTCTGCGTGGTGGCGTGCCACTGCAGGGTTTATTCTTCAGTGAGCAACTTACATGTGTCAAACAACAAGAGCCTCAACATGCCAAGTAACCTTCACAGACGATTCGAGCATTAGAGTTTTTATTTGCATTAGAATCAGCCATTGTTGTTCCCCTGTGGTCTGATTCACTCACCAAAACATTACATCTCGGAGCCTGATTCTTTTTACTACGAGGCTGTGCTTTGACTGGGCGTCGCTTCCGCTCTCCCTAGCGACCTACAGCCAACAATTTCACGAGAAACGATCTCTGCATATGTCACTCTATTGCTGGCACACCGGTCGACAAACTGCACATCCCTGTTAAACGGCTCTCAACGACTCTAACCTAAGAATAGAAGAAGGTTTTTAAATAATAGAAAAATTACAAAGATCCTCATAATAATGGATATTATTTTACAAGGCTTATGTGTTATTTTACTCATCATTTCTTATCCTTAGGTAAGTGAACTAATACTCGCGTCGCGTGCCTGCTTTAATTTGACGCCAATGTTTAGTGTCTTGTGCCATTCATTGTTCCTCAACACCAACCCCCGCATCACGAGCAGAGCCTTATTCTCGTTCTATCGAATTGTCTAACCGCTTTTTCAGATCAGGCTCTGAATGGGGCAGTGCTAACTCGTCTGTTCAAAATACGCCCTTCCCAAACCCTAGTCCAAGCACAATGGTCACCGGAATGCTTCCCCGGGCGTCAAGGGTGACCTCGACCCCGGCTGCTTTCAACATGCTTCACCGGCCCAGCCTTGGCCAATTCCCAAAGTGAAGGTATACCCCGCTCTCACGAACTCTTTCCTGGGGTCATTGAAGCTCTATAGCTATTCTACCAATGCCTCGGCTTACACACGCGAGCATCCCTCTCCTTCTCTCCTCTTCCGAAAGTGCCGTCCCCCGGTGTTCCACGCGCCCGCTTTCAACCTTCACCTTGCAAGTGCCGCAGTTACCAACCTCGCAGGACGATGGGACATTGTCAAACTCTCTGCGGAGCACCTCCAGCAGGCTCTCCTCCCTGTCCACTCGGAATAGCTTGTCGCCCCGGTTGACCACCTGCACCTCGAATGCATCTCCCGACACCTCAGCCGCAAATCGCTCAAAGTGAGCCTCGTTTGCGAGAATCCCGTGTTTCTGGACCGCCTCTTTGGCAGACACCATCATCCTGGTTGGCCCGCACACGTAAAGGTGGCTGTTCCAGGGGAGTGCCTTGACAATCGCTTCAATGTCCATCCTCTCCCCCTTGCTCCCATCATATACGACCACATCATCACCTAGAACCTCTAAGCGATCCCGATATGGAAACTCTTCGACTGAACGCATAGCATAGTGCAGCTTTAGCGCCCAATGGATCGTGTGATATCTCTTCAGCAGGTCCATGAATGCAGTGATACCTATCCCCCCTGCAATGAAGACGTGTGTGCTTGCTGATTTGGCTGGGACGACATCGCTTGTGATTCTGCCGACCTGGATAACGTTTCCTAGCTGAGCGTGGTCGTGTAGATACCGGGAGCCTCCGCGGCTTTTGTCGTCGAGAGCAACGCCCAGTTCAAACAGGTTCCCCACGTTCGTTTTGTCTTTTTTGTCTGCCGTGGACACTATCGAATAGGATCGTATCAGTCCATTCGGGAGCTTCAGTCGTGCATGAGATCCAGGAACAAACTTCTCCGCCTCGGAATCGGGAGTAACAGCTTGCAAAACGAGTGAAACCACTCTGGCAGTCTCCATCTTGCGGCTGATGATCCTGTATTCCTTCCAAGAATCTTTCCTGTTCTTTCTCCTCGCCCTGGAAACCCTCTTCAGGAACTGCCCTCTGCTCTCCTGACCCAAGACTTCCAAAGTCGACAACTCCTCATTCATTTCAAGATTGTCCGTGTTGCGATGCAAGTACTCCTGCACCCGCTCAACAGTCCACTTGGGCCATTGACGTTCCACGAGCCTCAATTCATCTCCAACGCTGACGAACCCTTCACGTAGCACACGGTAGTACCAGCCGGTGCGGCTCGTCTGGTATGTAACAGGCGCAAAGTTCTTGAGTGAGAACCGGTGGTTCAGTTTGAAGCATGGCTGACGGGGTAGAGAGACCTGCAGTAGAACCTCGGGACCGACAGAGATTATATCGCCGATGCAGACGTTGCGTTCGTTCATCTTGGCGGTCACAAAGTTCTCACCGAATCCGCCTGGCACAAAGCGATCTTGTTGTTCTGGATATGATGCTTGCCAGGCGAGATAATGAGAGGAACAGTCTGATCCGGGTCAGTAATAGGGTTAAATAAGCACATGAAACGGATATTCTCGTGCTCAGATCAGAAGAACATAAGTACTCACATCCAAGAATGGCCTTGTCTGGGCCACCATGAAACGTTGGATCATGCTCATCGCCTTCGAGACCAAGCTTGCTGACTTTCATTGAGCATAGTCACATCTTCTTGTCGATTCCTGACATGACCTCAAGACCTGGCATCTTTTTCATTCTTGATGTCCGAATCTCCAGTAACCTGTCCACCACAAAGGGACGGCTGAGATCCTCAGGAGACATTACGGCCATCTCATGTCATGCATCAGCGGATGACTGTCACTTGAGCTGAGATGTTGTGAAGAAAGATGTCCTTGAGCGTAGCCTGTGAGATACCGTTATCGTTTGTGTTAAGTCCAAATTGATACCGCAGTGGAGGTCTTTCTCATTCTAACTGGCCTAGTGAATGGCTGTCCCCACAGTCGAAGAACAAAGGCAGTTGGCACTCAAATGTCTCGAAGGATTGACTGTTAACTACCTAGCCGGAGGTTTAGTGAAAGGACAGAAGTGTCACTCAGTCCCCGATCTAAGGATGATACTTACTCATCATAACTGACCTAACGACTTATAGGTTCTTCCTATAATAATCAGGGGACATTGCTATCCGCCTATCATGTTAGAAGAGACTTTATCTTACCTCGAACTATCCTTCTGCCCAGTATAGCGGATATACAAAATGATTAGACATGTCGCAAAGCCTAAAAGTATATGAAATAATCTTGTCTCTTCTGATCCAGGTCAACCCCCTTGGGCAACACAGGGACCCAGGGAGTTCTGCCTATGGCTCTAAACTCATCCTCAAATATCAATATGATTTAAATTATCTGCTTCTGCAGACGTCAAGCAAATGTCCTTCCATAACGCCAGGAATGCCCGTCTTTGACCGCAGAGGCTCTCCAGATACAAGGGGGCTCCGGGATATCGCTCCCGGGTTACATCAGTCACGCGCCCTTCCTCTTTCTTGTCCGCCCCCTTTACTTCTCCCATACGCCTGGAATCCCTAGAGCTCCACCTGGTGCTTCTCTCTTGCATTTATGAGCGTCTATCGTGGGCGCGTTGCGATGACATGATTCGCTTCGTTGTGATGGTATCGAGGTAAGTGAAAGCCTTGTCGCGGACCGGACTGCCGCCGTACATGGTGTCATGGTCAGATTCTTCAGCCGTTAAGTTGTACATAGTTGCCTGATATTGTGATTAGCTTGATAATTGAAAGTTGCCCAAGTAGACCTACCAGGGAATTGTCCCTCCTTGCCATCTAGACGTCCCGACCACCATTCATTGTCATTTTGCGTCCTCTGGATAATCTCAATCACGTCGCCTGTCCGGAAACTCAAGTCACCCTCAGCTTGCGCGGCGTAATCGTAAAGAGCCGTGACCGTCTCGGCCGCAGGCGCTGTTAGGCGCTTGGGCTTAGGCTTGGGCTTGGGAGGCGGGGGCTTCTTCTTGCCAGCGGCGATCGCGGCCAGGCCGGCATTGGCACCAGTTGGAGGAGTATACGGTGGTGGTGCGGCCTCGTTGGACTCGGTTTGACGTTGGTATCCGCCAATCTTGGGGCTGGTGATGGTGCTGGTCGGGCTCTTTGAGTCTTCACCCTGGGTGAGCAGCGCAGGCTGCTTGGGGCCCTCGAGTGCGGGCTTGGCTCCATATCTCACTGGTCGGGGGCGACCAGTTGTCTTGAAGCGAACGATTGATAGGGCTTCGGCCTGTTCTTGGATATCGCCGCGCTTCTGGTGGAAGGCCTCCTCGATGTCGAGCGTCAGGTCAAAGTATCCAATATCGCACTGCTGCATCCGTTCGTGCAGGGTATAAAAGATGTTGAGCTGCATATAGTAAAAGGACTGGAAGAGAGGCTGGATAAACTCGCGTTCGAGCGCAAACAGCTTGGGCAGCTCATCTTTGAGGAGGTCGTTGAAGTAGTTAAAGTCCTGGGTGGCCTGTTCAACGTCTCCCTCAGCCTTCCACATGGCCTTCTCATCCTTAGCGGTGCGCTCCTTCTTGTCCTGCAGCTTCTTGAGGGCGGTGCGATGACGGTCGTAGTCGAGTCTCTTGTGCTCGCGCTTGACGGCCGTCTTGCGTATCACCTTGATGACGTCGAGCAGCTCGTTGGCGGGACGGATAACTCTAGTCTCGATCATATCCAGCTCGGGCGCTAACGTCTCTTGCAGGTCCTTGACGACGGCTTCGTACTCTTCGCAGGCGGCGATGCCCTCGGGGTTGCCCTCGACAATGGCCGAGTCGGGGTCAGAGGCACGACCCGAGATGGGCTTGTAGACTTCGGTCATGGCCTTGCTGAACTCGATCTGGTGGGATAGCATGCCATTGATGGCATCAAAGTACTTTTTGGATTCATCGTGGAGTTTCTTGGTCTCAGTCTCGAGTTCCTGAAAGCGGCGTTCGGCGTCGATGTAGACAGCGTCCTTGGTGTGTTCGCCAATGTTGAACTTGGCTTTGATTTGTTGGGGGGCCTAGATGATTCAGAGATGTGAGTATTGCTTCTTTGTCGCATATTGACCTGGCTGGCTGTTTGTCCTCCCGTGTACCCAGCTTGCGCGGCATCGCGAGGTGTCTCTGCGCGCGTCCGCGGGCTTCCACAATCCAGCCACCAGATGAGGGGCAGGCACGGCTTACCCGGGTGAGGCTCTTTTGAAAGCCTTTGAAGCTCATGGCTAGGGCGCGATGGTGTCAGACAGATACTTGATGGTTCGGCAGATGGGTCAGCAGAAGGAAGAAAAGATCGCGGAAAACCTCGAATCGCGAGGCCGCCAAGTTGAACGAAAGGGCATCAACCTTAATTAAGAAGGCATGTGGATGGATCAATGTGACGACTCGTGGAACGGTGACGACTTTGAAGTGGCTGTGCCCTCTGCATTCAGCGTCCTCGCCGAGCTTTTTTGCTGCCCAGCCTGCCCAGCTGCCAAGCTACTGTTTTGTGGCGCAGGCGGTTATTCGGAATCGCTTTTAGGGGAGCTTGCGCTGATTCCACGGGGTTTAGAGGGTCTCCGGGACCCGTCATGAGCCACAATGTGCCACTGCGTCACAGGAGAGTTGCGTCACTACTGCTGGGACCCAGGCATCCATGGATCCATCAATCTCACTCTTCAAGGCACAGCACCTCGTCTACAGGCTGGTTCAGGGCATTCAGGCGAACACCTGCTACGCTGTGATGGAGGGTACGTACCATACCGAGAACGAAGCTCCGCAACGGGAACGACCATCCTCGCAGGGAACAAGGCATGACTGTGCTGGGGTAGTTCTTCTCAAGGGAGCTGGAGCTCTCCTGGAAATGATCAAGCCCTGCAGCAAAAACCAATCTCTGGCACAACTACAACACCAACCGGATTCATCTCACAGTTTTGTTTCAAATTGCCTCTTTGGGTCTTTCTACAGCTTCTCGCCACTCGACACAACTCGATGACTTTTCCATCGTCTTTCCCCTCCCACGCCAAATACCCCGTCATGTACCTAAAAGGCCGCCATGTCCGGGCCCCCCAGCCTCTCCAGCCAATAGCCGGGCCGGATCTGCCGAAAGCCCAGTCTTAACCCCGATGCCGAGCGGCGAATGACAAATTCTCGACTCGGAGCTCACATCTCCTCCTCCACTCAAAATTCCCTTTTCTTTCCCTTCTTTTCAGCTCTTGCTCGTCCATGCAACTGCCAGCAAATTGACCATCATGGCTAGCAACATTGCATCCTGCGCTCTGCGCTCGGCGGGCCGAGTGTCTCTGACCTCGAGGTCCCGTCTATCGGCGGCTCCTTTGCGAGGTCTCCGCGCAGCTGCTGTCGTGGCGAACCGGACGTCGCGCCGCGGATACGTCTCCGAGTCCAAGAGGGATAATGCCCAGGTCGAGACCGCCATCAAACTCGACAAGAAGGACTTTGTCGATATCTCTCCTGCGATGGAGACTCCTTCTAACGCCAAGGTCAGCCCCATGGCCGGTGAGTTTATCCATCTACCAACCTTTGCAAGCTTCAGAAAATTGACAGAGATATTAGAGGTGTTGAAGCAAGCAGCAGTCATGGAAGAGGGCCAACGCCCAATTTATCTTGACATGCAAGCTACCACCCCCGTCGATCCTCGAGTCCTTGATGCCATGATGCCTTTCTATGTCGGCGTCTACGGCAACCCCCATTCCCGAACACACGCCTACGGCTGGGAGAGTGAAAAGGCTGTTGAGGAGGCCCGAGAGCACATCGCCGCCCTCATCGGCGCTGACCCCAAGGAGATCATCTTCACAAGTGGCGCTACCGAGAGCAACAACATGAGCATCAAGGGCGTCGCTCGCTTCTTTGGCCGCTCTGGTAAGAAGAAGCACATCATCACCACACAGACTGAGCACAAGTGCGTCCTCGACAGCTGTCGCCATCTTCAAGATGAAGGCTTCGAGATCACATATCTTCCCGTCCAGAACAACGGTCTCATCAAGATGGAAGACCTCGAGGCCGCTATCCGACCTGAGACTGCCCTCGTCAGTGTCATGGCCGTCAACAACGAGATTGGTGTTATCCAGCCGATTGAGGAGATCGGAAAGCTCTGCCGGAAAAAGAAGATTTTCTTCCACACTGATGCCGCTCAGGCTGTGGGCAAGATCCCTCTTGATGTCAATGCCATGAACATTGACCTCATGTCTATCTCATCACACAAGATCTACGGGCCCAAGGGTATCGGCGCCTGCTATGTCCGAAGACGACCCAGGGTCAGACTGGACCCGCTCATCACTGGTGGTGGTCAGGAACGAGGTCTCCGAAGTGGAACCCTCGCACCGCCCCTCGTCGCCGGCTTCGGAGAGGCGTGCCGAATCGCCAAGCAAGAGATGGAGGTATGTACTACTCATTTCTCCCCCCCTGTCTTTTCTACGTGATGAGTTGCTCTACATGCATGGCTTTCTGAATGGCCCGTGACAAGGCCGGCCCTGTTGATTGAAGCGTTTGTCTGATTCTGTTGCTTTACTTTGCCTCTGTTACTCGTCCGCCTTCTGTTTCACAAGGACTGACCTGTTCCTAGTACGACACAAAGCGTATCAAGTACCTATCAGACCGTCTGCTCAACGGTCTGCTAGCCATGGAGCACACCACACAAAACGGAGCCCACAATTCATTCTACCCGGGTTGTGTCAACGTGTCCTTTGCCTACGTCGAGGGCGAGTCCCTCCTGATGGCTCTCAAGGACATTGCGTTGTCCTCGGGTAGCGCCTGTACGTCGGCCTCGCTGGAGCCTAGCTACGTTCTACGTGCACTGGGCAACAGTGACGAGAGCGCTCACAGCAGTATCCGATTCGGTATTGGTCGTTTCACCACCGAGGAGGAGATTGACTACGTCCTCAAGGCGGTACAAGAGCGTGTCACATTCCTACGAGAGCTGAGCCCTCTGTGGGAGCTGGTGCAGGAAGGCATCGACCTGGACACTATCCAGTGGAGCCAGCACTAAGTTTGTGACTGTTGATGATGAATGAATGAATATAAGGGGGCGTATGGGGTTGTTTGAGGAGGATGGCCGACTGGAGCGAGGCTCAGCCGTGTCTGTACAGCATACTGTAATATCAGAGATACCTCTTTCTTTTGGACTTGGAGAGGATGAAAACGGGAGGGGGGGAGTCATGGAAATTTCCAACCGGACTTGGGAGGATGAGATCAAGGATAGGATTCATGCAGAATGAGACATGACCATTTATTCGTTAACCTGAGCTCTGGCCGTGAGTCAGCGAATCTGGGTTAATACTATCCAAAAGACGTCAAAGCAGCCCAAGTTTTCATGTCCTATGACTGTTTGTTTCACTTCAGCATCATAGTCGTTCAGCGCCTAGTTTCGAGTTGGTTCTACAACGGAGCAAAAAGCCATGTGCTGTTTCACTTGACAACGATTTCGATACTAAAATGGTGCCATTCCTGACGCAATTGTCCATGTTCTTGCACATCCTTGCGTCTTCCGTCCCTCCCATAACGTTGCGCCGTTTGCCTTGCTTGCGCAGAGCCGCACACGAAAGACGCAAGCGCTCTGCGGGTGCTGCAAGCATGGGATATCACATGTCAACACCACTTGCGCCAAATCTCGATCTCGACGCATCAAGTGACAGGGGTCATTACGTTTTCTTCGCCCCTCTACAGTAAAAGATCGCAGCCTGTACAGTACAGTAGTAATTACGTACACACAAAACATTTGCTGTCAGCGTCCGAGGCGCTTGCTTGCAGTAAATGTCCCTCTCCGAATCTGGAACGTGCTGTGTGTCTCCCGTTGACGTCATGATGCCCCCGCCTCCTGCCCGCTATCCGCATCCTTTCAACGCCGCAACTGCGTCACCAACACCCCGATTGTTTGTTTGCAATGACATCACCGAAATCCCCATTCACGGTCGCGATGGCCCTGGAACTGGAACCTTCATCGCGCCTGCACCTGCCTTGTTGCACCTGCCTGCCTTCGTGAACAACTTCCTCTATCCAGCTATAAAGATCCTTCCTCTCCTCGTCTCCCTCCCATCTTCTCTTCTCCATTCCATCTACAAACCAAACCTCAAGACCAAAAACACCATCTCGAGCCTTTTTCAGCCTCAACAATCCATCAACCCAACAACCAAACCATCTACACCTTCACACCAGTCAAAATGGCCGACAACAACTCTTCCACCCTCAAGTCCTACGTCGACTCCGCCACCGGCGCCGTTCAGAACGCCATTGGCAACCTCACCGGCAGCACTGGCGACCAGGCCCAGGGCGAGGCCAAGAAGCAGAAGGCTGAGGCCGAGCACGAGGCTTCCCACGCTACCGCCAAGCTCCCCGGTGCCACCCTCTCCGGCTCGGGTGCCGTCGCTAAGGACAGCTCTGATCGCACCGAGGGTTCTTGGAACCAGACCGCAGGCGCCACTAAGGAGGCTATTGGCGGACTCATCGGCAGCGAGGTGAGTTGATTCTAATGTTGTTCAAACGTTCTCTTACTAACAAACATGCTACAGTCCCTGAAGAACACCGGCCGTCAGCAGAACCTCGAGGGCCAGCAGCAGGAGGCCAAGGGTCAACTCAGCGACCTTGGTGCTGGCATCGGTGACCGCGTCCAGGGCACCGTCGGCAGCGCCGTTTCCAACATCACTGGCGACAAGCAGGGCGAGGCCCACTACGACCAGCTGCACGCTGAGGGCAAGACCCGACAGCGTGGTGTCGAGCACGACCTTCAGAAGAAGGCTGAGGCTGAGCAGAAGTAGAGCAATGACACGATTGGACGTTGCGATGAGCGGAGGATGTTGCTAAGCACGAGATGAGAACATGATACCCTAAGTTGCGACTTGGCATGACGAGAGTAGCTTTGGCACTCTCACCTAAATTCATTCACCTTTTACATCTTTTTTCTCCAAGTGATGAATGTTTGAACTCCCTTCTTGACAGCGTGAACGTGACCGCCTTGCGTGAGAGCTGACACAGGGTTGAGGGACCAGAGAGCTTCATAGATCTTCAGAGAAGTTGCATTGCCTTGGGAATATCTTCAATTCGTTTGCCTTCATCACACCATCTATCACTCAGACCAGCGATGTATCAAAGACAGACAATAAGGTGACCGCTCAACGGCGGCCCAAACAACATAACGCACAGGTCCAAGTCCTTAGACCAGGCATTTCGCACAGCCAGATTTTGAATCCAAAAAACTAGGTATTAGAAGGTACATGAGCTCATGGGCGTATATATCCTCGTCCAAAACATAGCTAAACATTCGCATGCAATAGATCACATCGTAAAGTAAACGCCTTCGTCCCTCGA